TGTTGGGGAGAGCTTACCTGATGTGTTATCCAACCTCTTGGGGTTATTCCAGAACAACACTTTGGCACCAAATGGAATGTGCATTGCAGGGAACTCTTCACCAAACCTGAGTTGCCATGGGGATTCACTGCCGTCAAGCTGGGGGCTTGCATTGATCGCGGTCGCATGATGCTGCATGGCCAAGGGCCACATCTTCAAAGGCAGTCCTGATTGCAACAAGTTGCTCCGGGCACCTTCCAACATCTGACGAACTTCGCGCTCAGCAAAAGACTTTGATGAATCTACATATTCAATGGAAGTCTGGTGTCTGTAACCCAAATCCTTGATGGCCCTGATCAATTCTGGGGAATTGTCAGTGTACACAACTTGAACATCATCCTTTGATCCAATGAAGTGATTCAAGCCATCAACACAACTTTGTGAATCTTTGGATTGGCTAGGGTAGACATACCGATATTGAGTGTGCAGATCTTTCAACACCAACGCAACTTGCTCCCCCCTGAAACCCTCTTCTACGTTTTTCTTGATGATGACATGATCCCCAATGACGTGGTCACCAAACACTTCAGTTTCGATTCTCTTCTGACCACCTTTCTTTCGTGCCTGAGGTGCCATCATCCTTGCTCGTTGGCAGGTTCTGCAAAAGGGGTTCTTGCGGAAATGCGTATACTGATGTTGGGTACTTGCAGCTTCAGCCAACAGATCCTCAGTCTTGCGGCTTCGGATGTACTCCTGCTGAGCGTCATCCTCCACCAGCTCATCCAATTGCTCTTCATCTTGGGCTTCGTCCCGCTTGGCTTTTGAGCTCGACCGTGAGGTCGGCATTGCAAACAACTTTTTGAGGTGCTTATCCTTTTGAAATTGATCTTTGGGATAAACTTTGCAACTATCATCCAAGATTGGGACATGACCTTCGATCTTGAGCTGGACGACCTTGTCATCTGGACGGACTAGGATTGGTTTACCATTGGCAGGCCATACAAAACTGTAACCCTGATCTACACATCTCGTTCCTACGGGGAGCACAGCTGGGGTATGATCGAGTACATACGGATGCACAGGATCTGGCAATGCGGACAACTTGACGTCAGCAACCTCATTGGCCTCAGTCGAGCCGTTGGCTGTGACTAAGGAAATCGGATGCTCGGCTGCACGGCAGTTCTTGGCGCTGACATCCCTCAACATACCCTTGGACACAAGATCGGATTCACTACCTGAGTCGACAAGCCAACTAACACCGGCCTTCGGCGCGGCTGTGGCAATTGACGGAAAACGACCAATATCTCTAAGAGCTTTGGGACCGCTAATGAACCTGCACTCTTTGCATGTGATGTCACGTGTGTCCTCATTCCAACAACAAAACCCACAACTAGGTGCAACATCTGAATCATGAAGTTTCACAGTTTCTTGAAGCTGTCTTGCACGAACCTGAGCCTCATGTTGTTCAACCTTGGATGAAACTGGGACGTCTTCAGCTGTCTTGTACACCTTAGTGAACTCTCTTGGACGGTGCTTGACTGGGACTTGATGACCAACTGCTTTCACCTCGATCACATGTGGGGCCTTTCGGAATCTAAGACGCTTCATGCTGACACTTGACTCATCAGAGCACGAAGTTGCCTTCGGCTGTTTTTGGACGATGCATGCAAACTTCTGGATCAGGCATGGAGCGGCTGTGGAATCCTTGCTCTTCTTCTTGGGAGCGGGTGAATTGGCCCTTTTGGTGTCTTTGGTGGCGGCAGCAGCTTTGTCATCATGCTTATAAAAACATTTGTCACCACGTCTGCACTTTCCCTGGGCATGATAGATGCATGGGGTTTTGGCCATTTCTTCCTTGGACATTTTCTTCCCCTTATCATCTTTGTTGCCCCTTGATGGTGAACGTGTTTTAGTTCTTCTGGGTGATTGAGTTCGAGATTTGTCATCCTTGACATGCTTAAATGGACATTTCTTTCCCTTATCACAGGTACCCTTTTGGAACTTATAGCAAATCTTGTCACCTTTGCCACCTCGTTCCTGCGATCTACCACGACTTGGGGAGCCCTTTCGGCCACCGCGACCATCGCCTTTGGCGGGTGCGGCCTTCGTGTCCTTGATCCCAGCCTTGTTCTTCTCCGCGATGCGGTTCCTGTTCTCCCTCAATCGTTCACGGTCGATCAAGTTCTTCATGGATTGGTGAAGAAAACTATAAGACTTTTCATGGGATTTCTCATGAGCACGGTCAAACATCTCAATGTCATATTTCAGCAACTGACTTGGTCGGATCTGCCTCAACAAGATGTCCCTTAACACAGCATCATCGGGGGTGACAGCCATGCCAGCTAGGGTAGCATCCCATTTGTTGATGAATCTTCGGAGATCCTGGACAGTATCGCCTACTTTGACAACACCCAAAAGATCTTCTACTCTGTAAAGGCTACCTGCTTCTTCTGATGTCTTGAAGTAGTCCTCAAACATGAGCAGAACATACCTTCCCCTGACCTGGATGCCTTTTCGGGATTGCTGCTCTTTGAAATTCAAGATCCTAGTTGCGAGGTCCCCTCCGGCTGAGCGTGTGAGCGCTGCTGATAACTTTGTATCCAGCGTGAGGAACTTTCCAGGATCTTGGAGTTTCTTCTCCAACTGTTCTCTGGTGCACTCTTGATCGTACACCTCGTTGAGCCAGAGCCACGCCTCATCTGGGCGATCTGAACAGCTTTTCACTTCATCCCTGACATGATTCTTCCAAGTCCTATACGATTCCGGAGCGGGCATGTTGTTCAGCTTGATGATTTCGGCCTCCTTAGTTTTTGGCTTATCCTTTTCTTCCCTTTGGGTTAAGGCTTTTACCAATTCAATAAGATCTGAGGGACCCATCACTTGCTGTTGCTTGGTTACGCTCTTAGGAGAGTCATTTGGGGGAGTTTTGATAGCTTCAGTGGGAGTGAAAAACCCTGACTGCGTTGGCAATTGGGGCTGGTCGTTGCCGACAGCCGGCTTTTGCTTGGGACTGCCACCTTTGAGCAGCTCGTCCAACTTGGCCTTTGCTTCCTGTGCCAACACTGCAGGCGTTTTCAACTCATGAATCGGCTCATCACTGCCTTTGGCAGCCTGTGCATCGGATGCTTTGGGAGTGGCAATATTGAAGTGGGGCACGCTAGTGGTAGCGGCCGGCTCAGCATTCTGGACGGATGCTTTCGGAACGGAGGCATGCTGCGCTTTGGCAACATGCTTTAACTGCTCCTGAAGGTCATCGATTTGGTCCTGAAGGCTAAGGTTCTGAGCCGCTGCCTCATTGATCTTGTCGGCCATCTCCTTCTTGTAGTTCTCGAACTCGGTCCTCAAACTGATGAGCCTGGCCTGATCAATTGCAGCCTGGTCTTCATATTGCTTCTTTGTGGCAGCTATGGCATTCTTAGCATGTTCAACAGTCTGTGCATAGGAAGCTTCGAATTCACTAGTGATACGTTGCCTTTCCTCTGCAATTTTCTGATCATGCTTTGTGTTTGCCTCTACCTTGAAATCCTCTACTCTCTTGTCATGCGATGCCTGAGCCTGATTTAACCTGACCTCTAACTCGTCGCCTCGTTTCCTTTCCTCGTTGACGGCACTGATGGCCTTACCTTCAACCTCCTGCAACCTTTGCTCATACTCCTGCTCCAGCATTACGAGCCTACTTGACCATTCGTTTCGAATTGAGTCAACTACTCCATGCATTATCTGAAGGTGCCTCTGTTCAGCTTCCCTCATGACTTGCAGGGTGTTCCCACTGGTGATTTGGGAAAGGTTGTTTTGTATGAAGGTGAAGTACGCTACAACGGGTTGGAACATTGTTTCGTCATCCATCGGCTCGGGGTTGCCCCCGGCCACATTGGGCACAGCGACAGCCGATGGACCTGACCCTGGAACGGCGAGAGATAGGTCAGTTGGGGTCCCCATAGCAAAGTAGTGAGACTACGGCTGATAACCTGTATTTTACCAGGTCAACCGACAATGGGGAAATACTACAACAAATCCGCTAAGCTCTCAGCTCTTTTTGAACCAACGCTACAGAGTAGATCGATGATATATACACTACATGGTTTTACTGCAGGAGTTTTTACATATATATATATATCTATCTATATCTATCTATATCTAGTTGGTCTCCCATCCAAGCCCCAACAAAAAACACCTTGTGCCACCGTCCATCGACCCCGAAGTTTTCGAAACTGCCAGAAACTGCCAGGGCACGAGGAACTCCCCGCGACCGGAAGGATACTTGCGTCCAGCAGTTCAATGGCCTTCGTCAACCGGCGGAACCGGGCGGAACGGTGGTCGCAGGGATCGCTTTCCGGAGAAATCCTCTGGGTATACCCCCAGTTATATGAGCTACTCAAAGAGGAAAAATAGGGAAAAATGTGGTTTTAATCCAACGGATTTAGAGGTACACAAATTCATAAATTATGTTCAGAGAAAATCATCGTAAGTCAATGATTGTAACATGGATTACTGGAATCCAACGTGGGAAGACTGGGCATGAATCGACAAAAAGGATATCAGCAAGTTGAGTAAGACACCAAAATGGCTTTCAATCAAGAGTGGAAATATTCTGGGATGATAATTATCTGGTTGGTGGTTGACCTACCCCTCTGAAACATATGAAAGTCAGTCAATGGGAAGGATGACATCCCATATATGAAATGGAAAAATTAAAAATGTTCCAAACGACCAACCAGTTATGATATACCATTTATAATGGTTATATATAAATCCTATTAAATCCCTATTTGTTGCTGGTTCCAAACCACCAACCAGTTATACAAAATAGCTTTCACCCCCATAGTATGCCCGTGGCTAGTTGTCTGTCATGTTGTCATCGGCGATGTGAATCGCCCAAATCAGTGGGGCTGTTCAATTAGGGGAGGTACGATGTAAGTATCAGATTAAATGATGACTATTTGGGGAGAAAAGCCCCCTAATTCATAAACAATTTATCAATCCGGGGTTGACATTACTCCCAGTTTTTGCTGAAAAATATCCTAGTGAATTCCCAGATGTTCTTGCTTTTTCTCCACTTTTTCCTGGAGAACTCCCCATTTTTGGTGGAAAAAAACCGTGGATCTCGTGCTAGCCAAAGCGTCCATCTCCTTGTTGCGGACCATGTCGTGGACCAAGGTTTTGCTCTCGGGCCAGACCAGTTCTTCCAACTGTTGATGCACTTCGAGCTGTTTCCTGGGGAGATTCTGCAGGATATATGGCCCTATGGCATCCCATGGCCGTGGGTGATCTACACGCCGTAACGGGTCTTCGCGGTTGCGTTCTTCGGGGCGATTTTTTTGCACGGCTCACATGGGCCATGCCCTTGGGAATCTCATGGGAAGATCGTGGTATTCAATGCTATTTCATGGTATTTCCCATAGGATCCATGTGTGCTGCTATATATGGTGACATTTACCATCAATATATACCAAATGTTAGCATTTTTCTACCAGCACCATGGATCCTATGGTATTTCCATGGGAAATGGATCAGATTCCATGGGTTTTTGTTGGGGATTTTTGGGGATGCTGGATGGTGGTCATCCCACTATTGGTCATCCCATGGGATCCCTGAATGGCTGGATGGGGCCCCAGTTCGTTAGCTAAGTTGGTGAACATAGCTATAATAACAATAGTGTATGATACTTATAACATCTTATAACTATATATTGAAATGGGGTTGTAAACCAACTTGTAACTGGGGGACCCCATCCTGTAGATGTAAAATCTGGAATTTACCAGCCATGTTTGATTGACTAATCTTGCCTAATCTTGTCAATTGCGAACATATTTTGGGAAGATTGGGTGGCCATCTTGATCATGACGAGGATATAGAAAAAAGTTGCGTTGAGGATTTGACTTGGTGCTTCACAGTTAGTGGCTTCTAACCCCAGTTACCCTCTGGTAAACTTTCACATAACTATGGAAAAATCCACCATTTTTAATGGGAAAATTCACTATAAATAGCCATTTTTAATAGCTATGTTAGTCTACCAGAGGGTAGCCAAACCTTAGAACTGATGGGTCAGATCACAAAAAGGTTACCCCAAAAAAAGGGTGAAAATAAGATCCCATCCTTTTCGAGGCTGAGGGAAACACCCTGGTTTTGCAGTGAACAAGTTCCAGGTGTGTTAGATCATGTTAGATCCCAAGGTCAGTCATGTCCCCGGTTGAAAAAATCTTGGCGAAAACTCCCTGTAGTCTGTCCGGCCCATCAACACTGCAACTTCTGGATGCCCGGCATGTGTCTTACCCCATCTGAACTTGGCCCATCATGGTGCAAAATCTGAGATTGGTCGTTGCGAGTTCCATTCATGTGGAGGTTTCCGAAACCACGGAGCTACCCAAAAAAATCATCGATTTTGGGATTTTCCCATGGATTCTCCCATGGAATTTCATCCCATCCGGCGATACCCCCAGTTCCATGAAGTGGTCGAGTTGCTGTTCTGCCCTCTTCAGTTCTTGAAGCAAATTACCTCAGCCAGAGATCCAAATGCTCCTATGAGTAATTTGCAGTCCACTCATTGTTATGACTATGATAAATGATGATAAATGTATATTCATGTATCAATAAGTGATAAATTGTCAATATCTCTTGATGATAGCCAATGACAATAATGTTATTAGGAGGATGAGAGGAGCAATCTTCTCCTGGACCTTGTTTAGTGAGGTCAGGAATTCAGACCTGTTTGAATGATCTGTGATGTGAATGACAATAAAAATTTCGACAACTCAGGTGCGAAATCAAATACTGTATGTACCCTCTGGGAAACAAACATAGCTATTGAAAATGGCCATAGAAATAGTTGATTTACTCATTAAAAATGGTGATTTTCCATATTTTTTTGTATGTTTACCAGAGGGTAACTAACGGATTGACATGGGGATTGACATGTTCCACCTCGGATATGTGTCTTGGCCCATGTGCAAAAATTTATGCAGTAATCAGTTTCAAAAGCCATGAAACCCACTGGACAATCCCGCAGGTAGTATGTTGATGTATATCCCATTCTGTCGCCATATAGTATCCCCATTCTGTCCCCACAATCATAAAATGGTATAACCTCCGATCTACAAAACAAAATCATATTTATGTATCTCCTTCTGTCGCCGTTGTATCCCCGAAACCTATCCCCATACACTACACTGATAATCATCAGCCAGCCATCATTCATCAGCTGTATCACATTCCCCATGTGTTTGATGCTTGATGGTCCATCTGGTTCGCATGAAAATCCAAGTAAATTGGAGTTCAACCCTGATGTTTTTTTCACAAAAAAAAACACATCAATTAGGCAAAATGCATCCTGGAAAGTCTCGGGATAGCCCAGCCTCAAAATCCACTGGTTCCAGTAGGGTCAATCAACTTCTGAAACTGCCCACTCAGGCCATGGACTTAGTTCACTACTTTGTACTTCGTAAATCTTGGGATATACCCTCTGGTAATCTTTCACATAACTATGGAAAATCACCATGTTTCATGGGAAAATTCACTCGAAATGGTGGGCTTTCCATAAGTGATGCAACAAATTACCAGAGGCTAGTAGATCTAGTGGAAACTCACCCGACCAAAAAAAATCGGAAAAATCGCCGTTCTTCCAGCATGGCAGGGGCACGCAGATTCCGTTGCCCCGTGGTCATGAAGTCAACCATCCTGAGAGGATCACCGGCAAGGAAAGATGTGTGTGATATATGATGTATATATGGAAATGTTCCATGAAATCTATGAAAATCTATACAGAATTATATATGTGATGAGTGGACATTTGGTGTATATATATATGTAATAATATATATATATATATATTTTACACCCAACAAAAACTGTATTTAACCAGGTAGAAAATGGTGACGCATATCTTGCAGTATGCAGAATAAGTATTTTGTATATATATATAATCTTATACATATATCCTTACATGCATCACAAGTCGGGGATTGAAACAGAACTTCCCTCTGGTTCTGAAACTTTGCTGGAAAATTCCCCAATGGAGTTCGATGAATTGCCCAGGACTACCCCCCAGTTGATCAATATACGAATCCATCCAAAAAGATATAGAACTTGGTCAACATGTCAAATCTAGAGTGACAAATTATATGGAGGTTTCCCAAAAAGGGCTACCCCCAGTCATCCATTCTAGATGGCATTTTCCATGAAATTGTTATCATCCAGCTATGGGGGTACAGTGTGGCGCCCCAGTTCGTTAGCTAAGTTGGTGCAAATAAGTCCGATTTCACTATGGTGTATAGGTGATATATCGAACTAGTTAATCTGGTTGGTGGTTTCAACATGTTTCAACCCCTCTGAAAAATATGAGTCAGTTGGGATCATTATTCCCAATAGATGGAGAAAAAAAAAAGCCATGTTCCGAACCACCAACCAGTAATGGGATTATAACCCATTTACCATCTGGTTATGTTATGACTAACATAGCCATGGAAAATCCCACCATTTCTAAGTTCGGTAAACCATCTATTTCTATGGGCCATGGCTTAACCATGGCTATGTCAGCCATAACCAGAGGGTATAACTGGGGGGACACCACGACCCTCATGGTTGGAACACCCGTCCGCCACCGCCACCGGCCGGCCCAAAAAGCCCTGGGCCGCCCGCACTTGGCCATCTGCGGCCCGGCGCTCTCTATGGAGCGGCGTGCGTGGAAGCGCTCCTCGTCCAGCGTGTCCAAGGCCTAGCAAAATGACATGTAGAACCCATAGAAATAGATGGTTTACCCATTAAATATGGGTGGATTTTCCATGGCTATGTTAGTCATAACCAGATGGTAATACTGTTCGGGTTTAAGGGAAAATCTTAACCGTAAACCATGGTTTTCACCATCAAATATAGAGGTTTCCTGTACATTTTCCCATCATCCAACTCTGTGAAGGGACGTTTTCATGAAGGAAAACGGAAGATGTCCCACATGATTGATTATCACCACCAAACATAGGGGAATTTTATGAATTTTTGGGATTTAGCCAGGAATCTTCAGAAGAATTGGGATTGCACGATATTTATATAACTATCTCAAAATCAAGGAAGGGGGTGGGAATGTGACCCGGATTCGTGACCGTCAAACATTGGGATCCAGCGATGGAAAAATGCTGCAATCTCTGGGATTCTATCGTTAAGAGACATGGAATTGACCAAGAACATCCAAGAACAATGAGTTGAACTCGGATTGAGTGAAGTTACCATCTGGTTATGACTAACATAGCCATGGAAAATCCACCCATGTTTAAGTTCGGTAAACCATCTATTTCTATGCGCCATCTATACCATGGCTATTCATAAAAAGGGGGTAAACCCTAAGCCCTTGATCAATTGAGCTTGATGAGAATCATTGGCGGAAACCAGTTGGGCTTCCAACACGCTTTCAGGGTCTGGGCGTGTCAAACTCAAGTTGACCCAAACTTCTAATGGCCAAAAAGGTAAGTCACCAATGATTCGTGGTACGCCGATTGCAGAATATGAAACTCGTTGAGGCGAAACTCAGTTTTTTTTTCCGATGAAAGTCAGTTTGATTTGGAGGCTGTGGCCAGCAAAATTGATAAATTCATCATTATTGGGCAATATCATAGCAAACATGAGAATATCATCAGCAAAGTTGAGAATACTGCATGCAAGAATCCAATAATTCAACAACTTCTTTTTTATGATTTTCCAAATGGCTTATGAACATATTTGTTTAGACCCCATGTCATCATAGTTCACTGTAAATCCCATGCAAAACGTTCGCTTTCGGAGCCAAGTTTTTACCCAACTTCGTCTTCGTGCCTCGTCCATCTCTTTCACACCTTGGGAAAAAACTCTGCCGAATCTTGACGATACCCACAGGATTTTTCTTTACATTCCCATGAATGGCTAGTTCTACCACTCTAATTTCATATATTTCATCGAATGTTCATGGATTTCATGGTCACGTCTCTGTTCCATCCCGATTTCTAGTCCCATCTCTGCTTCTAAAATTCCCATCTTTGCTGATAGTTCACCACCAAGCCAGTAATTGTTGATCAACAACTCGCGCGCCGCTCGAGTGCGTCTGATGATTTTGGGGTGTACCCATAAACTTGCCATTTATGAAACGTGATGATAAACCAATGATTTTTTTGGGGTACCAAACAAAGTCAGACAAAGACATTTGGGTTTGTTCAAACCACCAAGTGCTCCAACCTTCCTACCATTTTGGATGGTTAAATGACCATGTTTGATCCATTTTGGATGGTAAAATGACCATGTTTGATCCATTCTGGATGGGTAACTTACCCTCTGGTAATTTAACATAGCTATTGAAAATGGCAATTTATAGTGAGTTTTCCCATTAGAAATGGTGATTTTCCATAGTTATGTCAGTTTACCAGAGGGTACCATTTTGTTTGGTGAAATCCCTGAATTTTTGTTGTGGCTTCAATGCCCATCATGGGCTCAACGGGCTCATCATGCGCAGCGTCCAAGGTGCTCTTGGCGTGTTGCAAGCGTCGTTCGCCGCTGGTTTTTGGCCCCTCGGAAGTACTGGTCTGCGGTGCCACGTCCTGGCAAAATGAGGAAAACCCATGGGACAACGACAGGAAAACCATAGGGAAATGGTGACTAAACTAAGAAAAATGGAGATTTCATAGGGATTTCAACGGGTTTCATTGGGGTTGATGCCGATTTCATAGGGATTTCAAGGGATTGATATAACGGAATAACCTGGGGTAAAACATACACAAAGATATGGAAAACCAATGATTTCCCGTCCGGAAAATCATCTAATGATGGGTGTTCCACATCGTTCCTTTACAGGAGGGTAACCATCAAAAAAATGGGATTGAACCATCAAAAATTTGGAAACATAACGGTTTTGTCCGGAAATGATCTGGGTACCCTCTGGTAATTTAACATAGCTATGGAAAATCACCATTTTTAATGGGAAAATCCACTATAAATGGCCATTTTCAATAGCTATGTTAGTTTACCAGAGGGTAAATCATAACAATTCACTGACCTGAAATGTTGGGGGGGATGATTTCCCTAAAAAAATCCCAATCCATGGCGATTCCGCTACCAGAACTGATGGTTGAAGTTTAACACATGGGACTCGGGGGTACCCCATTGACATTTCACCAACATGACATGTGGGCGACTGAAGAGTGGGGACGTCATCAACAGCGAGTTCACTATGATTCAACCACCCAAAGTCTGAACTGTTCCCGTTTGTTTTTATCTAAGTGATCAAGCCTTAGTTACGCTGTAATCTAAAAAAAGAAAGATGTGGTTTGTTCCCACCATTTATGGGCATTTTCCTAGAGAAACCATTGTTTTTTTCCACATCTCTCCGTAAGTTTCGGTAAAGAATGGCCTCATCCATCTTCCGTCGCTTATCCATGAGCTCATCCAGCCTCTCTGGGGCGCGGCTGTGGACTATGATATGGATATGTGATACCCTGACATAATTTGTCTGATCGTTAAAACAATATCATGGTACATGTCGACATTGCGATAAGAACAATATATGATGACAAATTGTGGCTGAAAATACGCCACAAAGAGAACTTCACAATGCTTTTCATGACGCAAAAAAACAAATGCAAAGAATGGGCGAAGAAAAAACCCATTGCTGCAAGGCTATTTGGTTGATTGATGTTTGGCTCAATCCCCATCAAAAGATTCCCTGTTGATCATCCAACATGGCTCCATGGCTGGCTGGAAAATGTATGAAAATGTCCCATCTGGGTCGATCATTCTGAAAAACCAGAAAATTCTTCCATGAACAAAAACCATCTATCATTGAAGGGAATTTCCCATATTTATGTTTGATTGTTGGTTAGTTACCCTCTGGTTATGACTAACAGTTCGCCATGGTTTTTCGATGGCCCATATTAACCACTACTAATCAGTATCAACCACTAGAAACCACTATCAACCAACATAAAATGGATGACTGCTTAGTTAAATGGCAGTGTGTCAAAACCTTGTACCCCTGTAGTTCACATCAAAAAAGCTGGGATTCATGGATGTTCATCCCCCTAAAAATGGTATTAATAGGTATTGATCCATACCCAAATCATCTTAAAATCCCCCAAAAAAAAATCGCGGCGTCGCCCCGGATGAAAGACCGAGCTGCTGTCGTTTCAATTCCCAGACCTCAGGTCTACATGATTCTGCATGCGTTGTACGTTAATTGTTATTATTCTCATTTATTATTATTATTATATTATTATTATTATTAGTAGTAGTAGTAGTATCAGTACTATTATTTTTGTTACCATGTTTATTACTAGTATTATGAAAAAGATAGGAAGGGTTAAATGTTTGACCATTTTAGTATGAGTTTACAATTTATTTATGTTTATTTTTTGGGGGGAGGGGTATTATAATATATTTGACAATATCATATATATATAATATATCTGAGATCTCTGATAAATAATGAAAAAATACATCATGATATCATATCAAATAAATAAATATATAATATATATGTATTGTTCCAACCTGTACCCGTCCGGTAATTTTTCGAAGAATTTGCAAGCAGTATGAAGGCCATGACCCATGAAGGGTTCCATGTGCGTTTTACGTAGGGAATGGATGGGAATGGAGGTTGCTGGGATGATAACATTGATAGTTAGCCAGTGGATCATTCCCGAAAATTCCCTACTTACTTAGCACTTAAGAAAATTGGTTCAACCATAAATAGCCATGGTAATTTCAGGATCCTTACATAGGCCTTATATATGGTAGGTATAACCCATATATACCCATGGCATAAGCATTTTCTTTTTCAAATGATGACCGTCCATAGCTGCCAAGATGTGTAGCTGTAGCTGCCTTTTTGTCTTGGATTCACTAGATCCATATTCAACCCATTTCAACCCCATACCATTTGGACTTAAATCTGCTTCAACCCCAAACCATTTACGGATTACAAAACCCATTAATGTCAACCCCGGATTAATAAACCATGGTTTATGACAATTAGGGGGGTCCTCCAATAGTCATTTCATCCAATACTTAAATGGTATCCCCCCAATTAAACAGCCGTTTGGGGTTGATTAATCCAGGGTTGACATTATATGTATATCTCATATTTATAGATTAATTATTTATGTTTCCTTTCAACCATTTGGACTTCTTTCACGTTGTTTCTATGGTCTTCGCTAAAGATGAGATTTTCCCATCGAAATCGCCATCCCAAACAGGTCCGGTTTGGGAAAGTTCCGAAACGGAAATGTGTTGTTTTCTCAGGTCAACGCAGGACATATGAATGTGGAATAATGTGGATATACCATTAAAAATTGTGGTTTTCCCATGAAAAACGGTGGTTTTCCCATGAAAAATGGTGGTTTTCCCATGAAAAATGATGATTTTCCATAGTTATGTTGATGGAAATGATATATATATATATACATACATATATCTGGTTGATGGTTGACCTACCCCTCTGAAAAATGATGCAGTTCGTTAGTTGGGAATATACATACTTTACGGCAAACCCAATGCCATAAACCTAGCATTTGCGGATGGATTTATAGCATAGCTATTGAAAATGGCCCTAATCGAAATGGTTGATTTACCGAACTTAAAGATGGGTGGATTTTCTAGTTCGCAAACTGTTAGCTTACCAGAGGGTATATCCATTTACAGTGAGATCCATTTATGTCAATGGATTGGTTTTGTTGGGAAAAACCCTTCACACCGGAAACCCCATCCTGTTTTTTGCTGATTTTGATGGGGAAAACCATGGGAATTCCGGCTTCGATTTTCCCTTCCAATCCAGTGATTCTAGTGATTTTGGGGATGGTTCATTGCCCAACATGTCGACTCGTCGCGACCGTTGTTCAAAATTCTCAGCACAACAAAACGACCCGTGGTGAACCGCACCCCGCGATGCCGGTTTAGGCGATGAAGGCGCAGCCAACACTTTGCACATATGTATAATCAATATATATATATATAGAATAATCTATAATCATCTATGATCACCTATGATAATCTATGATCATCTATGATCACCTGTGATGTCTATATTCATCTATGATCATCTATAATCATCTAGATTCTAGATTTAAAAAAATCATGTGCTATGAAAACGAAGCTTCCTTTTTTGGTCTCACAATGTCTCAAGTCATTGCGGTCCGAGCGACGGCCTTTTCTTTTTGTTTCTTTTGCATCTCCAAGCCTTGCAACATATCTCTTTCCTGCGCAAGCGTGGAAACAACTCATAGAATCTCATAGACTTGTGGTATTAAAAAAAAAAAAGTTGACTGAGCTGGGCTGAGCTCAGGATTTTGTTTCTTCGAAAAGGAATCCGGCAAAGAAAATCAATGAAAAAAGAACATGGTGACGTGTTTTTTGGTATGTTGTGCTTGTGTCAGAACTTTGAGATTTCTCAAATAAAAAATCATCGCTGGGGGACGGATGAAGCATCAAGTTGCCTTCGGTGGCCCTTAGTTGACTATGTAAGATGTGTGTGTGTGTGTTTTTCATATGGTTTCTTAGTCCATCTAAGTAGGCTGGGTTGTAATCACCATAAACCATACACAATTTTACCAGTCATGTTTCTTGCTAAAAAAAGCCATTGTGAATAAGTACGCAAAAGTCATGTCTTATGTTTCTTGCTTTATATCATCACCATGAACTATAGTTATATTATATATAGGATTGTTTGAAAATAGTGTACCCTAAAGCCAATGGTTCATTATCATTATCCCTATTAAATGGCTATCATTGGGGGTATACACTATTTTCAGACAATCCCATATATATATATATACATCCCCCTACGAAACGCCTGCGTCACCAAGTTTTTCACGTTCACCGCTGACCAGGGCTGATGGGTGCGAAAATCCTGATTTTTCTCTATGGCTTGGCAAAAAAAGAAAACCACCATATTACCCTCTGGTAATTTAACATAGCTATGGAAAATCACCATTTTTAATGGGAAAATCCACTATAAATGGCCATTTTCAATAGCTACGTTAAATTACCAGAGGGTATCCATGGTTGTTATGAAGTAATCATGTTTCACATATGTGTCTAATTAAATTCTTATATACAGTAAATATTATTAGTTTTTGGCTTCCGAAAAATCTAGAGTTGGATGTCCGGAAATTGGATTTTCCATGATTTTCCCAATCCAGGGAGCAGCAAAAAAAATATCCCAGGGATTGTCTTAAAACTGGGGCCTCCATTGGATGGGTAATCTTTCTTTTTTCTGAACAGGGTCATCTTTAATGAACATATTTCACGAGCCACTGGATATTGGGGTACCCAGTTTGTCGATGAAGTTCCCATACTTCCAGGGAAAGCTTCGACGCAACTAAATGTAGTCATTTCTTAAAAAAAGGAACGACTTTGTCTTTTGGCTGTACCATATTATATCATATTTTATTCGTAGATGATATTCCAGTTTCACTGCACATAGCCATGAATCACCAGTGCATAGGAACTCTGAGCCATTGAAAATTCCCGCATGGTACCCACGTTGTAAGGCTTCCTGGCTCAAGAATATAGGACCAAAAAACATAGCTGTCATACCCAAAACAAAAACATCGGCTCCAGGTCCCCCAAAAAAAACCTCCATTTTTCATACGCACGTTCTCCTATGGTTAAATTGACTTAAACATATTGGTTCCAGGCCCCTTCAAACTAGTGCAATTTCCCCCAGAGTTGGATTTGCAACCATCGATTCCACATTTCTGGTGGATTTCCCATTGGGAAAATGCATAATTCACCAGCAAAACCAGCTATGCACTTGGGAAAATCCAGCTATGCATCGTTTAGTTCGATGATTTTCCCAGCTATAAACCTTCAATCATTTCAATCACTTCAGGACACGTTTCATTGATTTTTATTATCAAACAAATTTCAACTCCTACTCCATGTTAGGTTTAGGACATCTTCCATTGCTTTTGCATGAACTACCTCCAATCAGTGAAGTGTTCAGGAGATTGTCCATTAAACAAACCCCGCCTCAGGCTGTAACATGATCGCGCCCTGCGGAGCGTTCGTGGGGACATGTTCGAAGCTCACTTGGGTGTCCTGCGGCGCAGCCGGCAGGGGTTTTTATCTCATCGAGCCCTTGGAATCCACCATCACAAGAATCATGATTCTAAAACCATGGAATAAACATTGATTGGTATAAACATGTTGTACCATATAACATTGATTAAAGCATGATGGAATGGAATATACCATATAACATTGATTGGTGTTATCAACAATTTGTATGGAATGGTGAAATATACGCTTTAATCAATGTTATATGGTATAAAAATGTCTAACACCAATCCATACAAATTGTTGATAACCATATGCTAATAAATATATTGTCTGGGGTAATAAATCCACATAAACAGTCTTGCGACACAGACACCACTTTGGGTAGCTATATAATTGTAATCAACAGTATGGGGTAAAGAAAAAGTACGTATTTTGACATATGGCATTCATAATGTGTTTGGATAAATGTAGACTCTCAGACAGTGCCAAGTTCATTGGGATGTCTAGGAGTCTAGGTCCAGGTTATATCCCCAAAAATAGCGTGGTTTGTGTGCCTGAAAATTGGGCTTTACAACCATGCTAAAGTAAATTGAAATTGAATCAATGAATAATGGATGTGGGTGTCTCCAAAAAATAATTGGTAACCCCAAAAACGCATAAATTGCAATTTTGTAGAATTCATGGACATCCACCATTGGATTTTGCCGGTACCCTATTTTCACTCAGACAAACCCAGACAAAGGGGAGAACACATTGACATAGGAAACTGGAACATAGATATAAAGCATATGGCAAAGCGACCAAGTGCCCCTTCTTGTGTCTTTCATTTACCCAAATAGCTTGGCGCAACCCTGTTTCGTTGGGTATGGAATCCCAGCCGGACTGGTCCAAGTTCATTTTTTTTCGCTCTCGATTTTGTTGGGATGCTCACAGAGATCCTGGCATCTCAACATATTGGCTATGTATATATTATACATGTATATACTATATACATGTATTTGTGGATTGAGGGTGTTGTCCAATACTTAGCTAAGTTGCTTTACAAGTGGGTCAACTAGGACTCATGGTAGATCAATTATCATCAAGTTATCGGGTTTATAAACCAGCTTGCAACTTGGGTTCTCACCACCCTGTAGAAGGCTTCGAAACGGAACGAACCGGGTCCCAACAGGCAGTCGTTCTGGGCTGCCACACCGACATGGAGAAACCGGTAGTTCCCATGTGGTCTCTTGACATACGACCTCAGAGATTTACGAGGTAGCGAGGCACCAGTATTACCCTCTGGTAAACTTTCACATAACTATGGAAAGATCCACCTTTTTTAATGGGTAAATCACAGTATCTCTATGGCAATTTTCAATAGCTATGTTATAGTCACGGACACCCAGTTAGCAGGAACCAGCCAAAGCAAAGTAGTAAGCAGGAGGGTCTTTTAGGGATTCATATAAGGTCCCGTTCGGAGCCCCGAGCTGCTTACTGCCCTGGTCATATTATAGGGAGGGTTCCTGCTTACTGCGTTGTCCCTACTTTTCGTGGGGAAGAGGCTCGGTACAAGGCTTTTTTTTTTCCCCCGCATGATCTTGACACTAAGTCTACTGTACCTGTCTTGACACTAAGTCTACTGTACAAACACTTCAGGACAACGGAGGTGTAGTAAGCAGATTCTAAACTTGTCTTTGGTGTATATGTTCATATATCTGCTTACTACAGGTGTTTGTACTTAGGCCTTACTTAGGTCATTTCTTATTTGCCTGATTTTGGCCTCTGGCAGATGCAGTAAGCAGATCAGTCTCTGCCTACAAGGCGTCCCCGACTATAAATTACCAGAGGGTAATAATGAAATGATTGGGATTTTATCCAAGAAGAAATTGGGATTCGAATGATTTGGGTGTGTCTTTTTGAGATTCTGAAAGTGGGGGCATGCACACCAAAAGTGGCCTAATTTTCGTACGGAAAACGATGAACAACTATTGGATCTTTCGGGGTTTTACCATGTTTTACCCCCCATCTTCAGGCAAACTGAGAACCTTTCAATGAAAAAACATGAAAAAACAATCCCTTCAAGACGAAGATAGATCGTACATATTTCGTATGTCCGAGAGGCTACAGTCCATTACATGGACCATCCAAGTTTTTGCCTACGGGTTGAAAACCGTCCGAGCGTTTTAGGCATTTTTATATATGTTCCTTGGGGTGGGGTGGGGTGGGGTGGGGTAATAATGTTCACGTACTTGCGCACTCCCATGATGTTACGCCACGGCACGTTCACTTGCACGTGCGCACAATTGCGCACTGTCATGCTACGTTGAAGATGTGTCACGTCACGCAGGGGTGGGGTGGGGTGGGGTGGGGTGGGGTGGGGCAATAACGTTCACGTACTTGCGCACTCCCATGATGTTACGCCACGGCACGTTCACTTGCACGTGCGCACATACGTCATGCTACGTTGAAGATGTGTCACGTCACGCAGGGGTGGGGTGGGGTGGGGTGGGGCAATAACGTTCACGTACTTGCGCACTCCCATGATGTTACGCCACGGCACGTTCACTTGCACGTGCGCACATACGTCATGCTACGTTGAAGATGTGTCACGTCACGCAGGGCAGTGGCGATGGGAGGCAAATGTAGTTGGAAAAGCGCTGTTGGAGAAAACAGGTGCGTACTTAGCGAAGATGTAGAGATCACCGGAAAAAATGGCTGCCGCTGAGGTTTTGGGCACGCTGACTTCCCAAAAGGAACCTTTTTCGCACTCCGACATGTCAACTATATACAGTAAATCCCAATGAAAATTCAAAATCACAATAGAATTGACCTTCATGGACAACATAGAAACATGAAAAAACACTGCGAAACGCATGATTGACTTCTTGCCAGTCACATGAAAATGTTGTTTTTACTCGGCCCATTTCCAACCCGGCGGGAAGTTTTTATACCTCACACTAAGTTGAAATCTTGGCGTTGTTTTTTCGAACACCGGCACAGGACAGCCCTGAACTGAGCTCTCCAGTAAACATCAATCAAACCTTTGTTTCTTATCCCATGTCCCAACTCATCTTCCATCCGCTCAGGCCAACGGGCTTGTGGTATCAGCCAAGGTCTGTGCGAAGCCTGCGAAGATCCTCGGCATTTTTCCGTGTTGAAATGGATCTGCCGCAGGAATAGGGTATACACCCCAAAAAAAAAGTTCATGGGGATAGATAAAGTATTGGATTTAGAGGATTTTAGAGGTATCCTTCTTTTAGATAAACCCAAATGGCAATGTTCGTCCACTTTCAAGGTATACCCCATCATTAAAACAAACACGTCCAAATCCCTCCAATCCCAAGTTGTTGTTGGTTAAATCCCAATCCATTATTTATACTAGTTGGTCAAGAAAGGGATTCCCAGTTCATGGAAGATGAATTGTATATAAGGAAAATATCACTTTCCTAGAATTACCATCAATCAACCACCCTCGAACTGTGTTCAATACCTCAAATAAGCCCAAATGGAATACATTCCTGCTTACGCATTACCCTGCGATCCTTGCGCGACCGCAACGGGAGTTTGCGCACTGTCAATTTTTGAAAAATATAGCGCGATGCAGGCGCGAAACAGGATGAAGCAAGTTTGGACGTGGTGTTCAACTGTTTCATGATAATTAGTGATAAAAAGCTTGTGAACAAGTTCGCCCTGTATAATCTGTGAAGGCCGTGAAGGAATCGATTCCACCCGACAGTTTTGATCTTGGCTCATGTATCAATGATATGCCCGATATTTGATGGTCAAATCCCATTTATATACGTAATTGATATAAGTCAAACTCCAGTTCTGTTGCTTCAATCCCAATTTTTCAGGGTTAAATGCCCTTTGTTGTTGGTTAAACCCATATTTTTTGTTTGGTTAAATCCTGATTTTGTGGTTTAAAACCCTGGACAACTTGACAAATGGGTATGGATCAATACCTATTAATACCATTTTTAGTGGGATGAACATCCATTTACCAGCTATTTTGATGTTCACCAGGGGTACCAGGGTTTTGACCCATCCCCAAATCTTGATACTTCGGCCTCCACTTCCCGGCCTTTTTCGAAAAACCACCGTTTGGTTGAATCCGGACCGTTTTTTCGCCATGGCGCTTGTGTTGCCCCGTCTCATGATCCTTCAAAGCCGCCATGGCAAGGGCCTCGCGTTTGACGAGTTGTGCGTGAGGCTTGGGGATCTACAAAACAAGAAATATATGGGAACTTTATTGGGATATGGGATGAACATGGATGAACATATCTACAAAAATGGGATCATATGCGATAATGATATGGGATATTACGGGATAACTATAAAATAGTGGGAACATGCGTACATTGTCATGGGGCCTAAATGATAATTGGGAACTGGGATATATTTGATATACTGGTGATATATGGGATATTATGGGACGGATAATATATCTAAAGCTCTATATTCTAATGGGAAATAATGGAACATCATCTATAAATGGTGAGAAATAATGATCAAAATATGGTGATATACAATACAGGATGGGGCCCCCCAGTTATAAGTTGGTTTATAAACCATTATAATCCCCATTAACTATAGTTATATCTATCATAAACACATAGAATTCAGCCACTGAAATAAGGCAAAGGTTCACGCTATCCAACGGGGGCCACGTCCTGTATAAATACATCTAATCTGGTGATATAATGCAAAAAAAAATGGGACGCAATGGGACGCTTTTATACGGGATCATCATCTACAAATGGAATAGTTCAATGGCGATAAAGATATTTTCAGGTCTATTCTTGTGGGAACTGAAGGGAACATCATGTATAAAAGGTGATATCATGGGAATATACTGATATAACTAACCAACAGCATTATACGGGTGTGTGGGAAATATTGGGAAATATATATTGAATAATATTAATTAACTTGGTATATTAACAATCAATCGAAACCTAAAACAAGGTCACGCCGCCCGCAATGACACCGCTGATGTTCACCCTTTTTTTCTGCTGCCACGTCTCTGTCTTCACAACCCAACCCTTCCAGGGTTCCGTGTCCAGAGCATTTTGTGTAGACTTGCAATTCGATTGGTAGTTGCATGACTTCGTAATCGTTTTGATGATTTTACATGGGAAATGTACATTTTGTATTTTACACTTAGTGTTTTCGGCTCCCATATGTTTAAAAAAACTGTATGTCCATTGTTTTTCACTTGCGCGTCTTTGCCAAGGTGCCAAGCTGTTTCAACTGATCATCCTTTAAAAAATACACTAGTATATAGGGAATACTTCAACCAAGGTAAAACAACACAAAAGTGTATATATGGTACAAAAGCGTTACACCCAAGTGTTCAAACCGTGTTACATGTAACATTAAACTGTTCACAGTGTGTTAGATGTTAAAATAAAGCGTTCAGAGCGTAGCACCAAGAGCGTGTTGGATGTTACATACAAGTGTTCACAGCGTCTTAGATGTCACTAGTGTAGCACCAAGAGCGTGTTGGATGTTACAAGTGTTCAGAGCACCAAGAGCATGTTAGATGTTACATGACAGTGTTCAGAGCGTAGCACCAAAAGCGCGTTAGATGTTACACGAATGTGTTAGCGCGTGCTCCATGTTACACAAGATCATAGAACGTTGTTACATGCCCCCACCCAGCCCCCCTGTTCAGGACGTCGAATGTAAAGCGTGCTCGAGGTTACGTAAGATCATAGAACGTTATTACCTCCCCCCCGCCACCCCACTGTTGAGGGCGTCGCATGCAACGCATGCGCGAGGTTTCGCAAAATCATAGAACGTTATTACCTTTCCCTCCACCCCCATGTGCAAACATGCATATCCAAAAACATTTGCTAGGACTGTTTTCCCTCCGCTGGCATAAACATATAAAAAGATATACACCTATATTGGAAAAGGACAGTCCAAAACCTGTGTAAATTTTACAAAAGAGAAGTTTCAGGCATAGCATCAACAGCGTGGTAAAACAGAAGTTTGACGAAGTTTAAAGCACCCACCAAAACGTTACTAGCCTCCCCCATCCCCCACCCAAATTGAAATGCAAAATATGACATGTAACAAGACAACGTTGCAAAAATGTGCAAACCGCCTGGGGTCGTTAGAGGCTGTGTCAGCTAAAACAAACAGGCAACTATAACCAGAAACTTGTGCGAATGGGAATCAAGCGGGATACAACCAACCAACAAAACCAACGGCTTCTTTGTGAAGCTTAGAATCCCATGGTTACAATCAAAGTCACCCCACAACTCCCAAATCAAGCAGTTATAGATAAATATCCCATTGTTTCCCCATAATATCCCATTTTTTCTTGATTCAGTCACCATGTGTCACCATGTTTGATGTTTAAATCCTCCATGTTTCAAACCCGCAAACCCCGATTGAACCAGCCCAAACCTCAGTCTGCTTGAACCAGCGCTGTGCAGCCTTGCCTCAGCCGGATGGTGGTGGATGTTTATGTATGGATGTTGATTGATCTGTATTGATTTTTGTGCACATATTTGTAGATGTTTATGGACATATATATATATATAGAGAGAGAGAGAGATTTATGGATGGAGTTTTATGGATAAATTAGTGGATTTTCGCAGCGTTGACCAAAGGATCAAGTATAAGTGTAGTTGGAGCCCGACCCATAGACGGCCGTGGTGTTTTAAGCATTTTTTGGCAATTTATCGTTTTTTTGATGGTCTTTCATGTCAACTTGCACACACGTCATGCTACATTATTGTTATGTTCTCTTGCACTTGCACACACACGTCATGCTACGTTATGGTGATCTTCTCCTGCACTTGCTCACACACGTCATGCTACGCTATGGTTATCTTGGGGTGGGGTTGGGTGGGGTGGGGTGGGGCAATGACGTTCATGTCAACTTGCACACACACGTCATGCTACGTTATTGTTATGTTCTCTTGCACTTGCACACACACGTCATGCTACGTTATGGTGATCTTCTCTTGCACTTGCTCACACACGTCATGCTACGCTATGGTTATCTTGGGACCATTGACACCTCACCGATTTCTCGAAGAACTTTGCAAGGCCGTCAAAGCAATGAAGCGCTTCTGAGAAGAAGGAAAAAAAGTGCTGCATCCCAAAAAAGCACGAACTTATGTCAAAAAACGAAGTAGTTTTGGAGATTTTCAAAACCCTATTTTTCACGTCAACATGAGAAAAAATGACGTTTCGCTGTAGCGAAAACAACATTTTTGTTGATGAAAAACTCCTAAAACCATACGGCCGTCTATGGGTCGGGAACCGTGTAGTTTACCCCTTATTCAGTGCTTAAATCTGCTCCTAAACCCATTTAAAACGTATGATTTTTGCTGAATGTCCAATTCTTGAAATACCCTAATAAACTATGACTTCATGCATTTCATCTGGCGGAATCATTTGTTCATTCACCAAGCTGAAAAAGTTCGGTCATTGTGGCCAGATTTCAGCAGTTCATTTTTTTCGGTTTCCAAAGGAGTGGTCGTCCAGTTGAACTGTTGGGTTTTAATTTTCTGGGGTTATAGGGGTTTAAAAAAGGTGGTTAGCTATTTGGGGTTGATTGAAGTCCAATATGGGCGCAAAAACATTGTGCTTAAATTTATCATCATTCACCTGAAGAGTTCAGCGATTTTGGGATAGCTACTCCAAAGACCATTCCAGGGTATATCATCCCATATCTATAGATATATATTGCCTATACAGGAACATCATCCATGAAACCACCAAAATCCCCATGTACAAGTATTGGGTAGTATAATCCCTTATAATCATCAACCAACAGGGGCTTTACCAGGTTGGGTAACTGGAGGGACCCCCCCCGCAAGGTACCATCCGCGTGCAGGCCCAGGTGCCGCTGTCTTCGTGCCCTGCGTAGTTCAGAACGCCCTCCGCATCCTTGCCAGACATTTCAAAGATGTTGCATAAACAGAACATATATTATACCTATAGATTTAATGAGATAGTTTGATAAGATGAGATGAGATGAGATGAGATGAGATGAGAAAAGATTAGATAGATAGATAGATAGATAGATAGGTAGATAGATAGATAGATAGGCAGGCAGGCAGGCAGACTGGCAAACAGGCAGACAGGCAGACAGGCAAACAGGCATACAAGCAGACAGGCAGGCAGGCAGGCAGGAGGGCAGGCAGACAGACAGGCAGGCAGGCAGACAGGCAGGCAGGCAGACAGGCAGATAAGATAGATATGGATGAAGAAACATCAGCATTGGCAAGCTTGTTTGGGTGTAAATGTGTGGGAAATAGCATTTCCAAGTCTGCAAATCTCTGCAACTCTTAATCTTCTGAATTCTCTGACGTGTGATTGATTAAGAATATATGGCTAGTTCTTAAGATGGTGGATCCTCAAATCGCCATGAGTGTCAATACTAAAATCGCCAATCGTCATGTTGGATGATAACACGGGTACCCCCATGACATCGGAAACTTCCATGAAATAGTGTACCTCATATTCCAATGGATTATCAATGGATTATCATCATTTTCTCTACTAAAATGCCTATTTTGAGCAGTTTCAAAATCCCAAAATAGACTTTCCTGTTGACTCTCTTTCGCCACCCTTTCGCGGCCTGTGTTTTGACTGGCCGCGAACGCAGCAAAGTTCACAACTTCTATAAATCCTTTCCCAACAGGTATTTTGAAGCTGCTCATTTAAGTGGTCCTTTCCCAATGACTGAGTAAACCTCATGAGATTATCATGGATTATCATGGATTATCATGGATTATCATCATTTTCTCTACTAAAATGACTAAACCTGGCGTTTGAGACGCTTCAAAAGGCACCTTGCTGTGGAGACTCAAGCGCTTCTGCACACGCTCCAAGTCGAACTCACAGACTCAGCGCACGGCCAGGATGGCACCCAGCTGTGTTATGGCACTGGAACGCTTAAAAAAAATGCCGTAAATTAAGTCAAGTATAGATGCAACATATGATATAACCCCCTAATATCCCCCATGATATAACCCCCTAATCAACCCTAGTTAGACTTATGTTCACCAACTTAGCCACATTAACTATGGGGCACCAGCGGCACCATCCTGTGTTTCTGTTTAGCTACCCCTGACTCACCATGTGGCTCTACACCAGCTACATGTGCCGCATGCATAGGGATTCCCAGCGAAAATGGAAGAGGATGGTCCCCAATGATATATAATATGTATATAATATATAATATAATATATATATATATAATATGTATATAATATAATATATATGTATATAATATGTATATATATAATGTAATATACATAATATACTGTATATATAATATAATACAATATATATATATATTAGATTATATATATATATATTATATACATATATATATATATATATATATATTATATTAATACATACATAATATATATATATATAATCTAATATATATATATAATCTAATATATATAATCTAATATATATATATATATTATATAATAACATATATACGTACATATGAAGGGTACTAGAATCCCCCAATGAATCATCAATCAACAGGACTTTGGAACCATGGTTTTTCGTTTTTTCGTGTCCTCCTTAAAAATGCCTTTTAACACCCACCCCATCACAAGTCCGGCGGAAAGTCCGTGAGACTGCGTTGGTTCTTGGCAAATTTCTTCACGCTCTGCAGCAGAAAGGACTCCATCTGAGCCTTGACATTCCTCTCCTGGCGGCGACTCAAAAACTCAAAACGGCGCCAGGCCCAAAGGAACAAACGGGGATAGCTTCAACTTGGGAAATCCAAATGTTGACCTGGAAAAAATGTCCTTTTTCATGGTCGAAATGAGCTTCCAAGTGCACATGCCTTTTGTTGGAATTACATGCTGCGCCTACCATGCCATTTGTGGAACAACTATGTTCTTTGTAGCTTCTAGATCGTCCCTATACTATACTTTGATTTGGCTATGGCTCGAAAATTGGGTAACCAATGTTTATTGGATGTTCATTTATACATGTTACCCTCTGGTAATTTAACATAACTATGGAAAATCACAATTTTTCATGGGAAAATCCACTATAAATGGCAATTCCAATAGCTACGTTAAATTACCAGAGGGTAATTAACATGGGACAAAAACCATGGATGAAACCGCCCTGTTTTTTCTCGGATGACCAGGTCCTCAGGAGAGCAATAGAGCAAGGTTTGATCGGTCTCGGGATAGTCCTGGGGCCATGGGGCCATGGGGACGGTAACACATCGCAGCCATAAAAAGATAAGCGGATGACGAGAGGGGATAACCCACATGAAATTTCGGGGAAACCATGGGGAAACCACATATGAAATGCTGAAAATCTTAAGATGTGTTTCCCCCCTTCACATTAAGAGTATAATAGTTATTAGTTCATTACATCCCCATTGGATGGTTCCAAGTATGTGCAAATGGCCAACTGAACCATGGTTTCTGTGGGGTGTTGAATATTAGGTGGAAGGGATTGCTGGCATATAAATTGTATAAGTGAATAGCTAATTACTTGACTTTTGTTAAGCAGGGTGGCACAGGGACAACAAATGACGATCATATCAGTGGCAGGCGCAGTACATGGGCGGCAGGCACGTCATCACCGTCAACATCAGATGGAAATGTTCTAGAAAATGTTCGAGAAATTCAAGAGGAAACCATAGTCTTTGCAATCAAATGTAGGATGTTCCTGTAGATGTTTGTATAAATCAAATTCTAGAATGAATTACATCAAATCCCATTATCATTGACAAATGATAAAGCCTGAGATATGGCTTTAGGAGTTGTGAAACACTGCGAAGTAATCTTGTCAAAGTAATTCGAGTGAATGCGAATGTGCCCCTGGGCCCCTTCATGAAAATAAGTTGGTTCCTAAACCCAGTTAACTATTGATGTCTTTGATAAACACTATTACCATCTGGTTATTTAACATAGCCATGGAAAATCCCTTATAAATGGTGGTTTTAGTGGGAAAATCATCTATAAATGGGCTATTTTCCATGGCTATGTTAAATAACCAGAGGGTATAAGCCTATACGGCCTATACGTGTAAACAACTCAGCCAAGTAGGGGCCATCACGTTGTAATAATCGTGTCACTCTGGATATTCCGACATGAGAGACATCCCAAAACGCGCACCACGCACCATGGTGACGGCATCGGCATCCCCTCTGGCGATTTAACTATGGAAAATGGCCCATCTATCGATGATGTACCTATTGAAAACTGACCTACTTTACATGAGCAGTGTTCAAAATCCCTCTATCATTCCATTCTACTGGCTGGTTTATAGGGATTAACCGTTCTTGGATTATTATAATCCCCAATATATTGGGTAGTATAATCCCCGAACTAATCATCAACCAACCATCATTTATCAGCTATATCTATATCCACTTATATCATCTTATATCGCCATAGTTTGATGTTTCTAATCCCTCAGAGGGTATCTCTGTACATGGCTTTCAAATCGCCCAAACACTTCCAGCCCATCGCCCGTTGATGCTTTCCACCCTCGACTTCTTAACCATTGGAGAGCTATGAGGTCGCCCAAGAAAGGCCCCACTCGCGGTCGTCATCACCATGAAACCCCCTATGTTTCTTCGTTGAATCCCCATAATTTGTGGATAAAAAATATCCCAATGCTAGGCTGATTTCATAAACCCATCTTGTCTGGTTGGTGGTTGACCTTCCCCTCTGAAAAATGATGGAGTTCGTCAGTTGGGATGATGAAATTCCCAATATATGGAAAGTCATAAAGTCATGTTCCAAACCACCAACCAGCATGGTTTCCTATGTATTTATATGATTTCCCTATGGTTTTCTTATGATTTCCTATGGTAAACCCATCTTTCGAACCATGTTTTTTTTGCATCTTTCGCTACCATGGGCTCTTCCAGACCCTCACGTGATCCGCGGCGCCAATTGATTAACATCTAAAAGACGATGGACTTCATCCAACCCCGCCTCAGTCAGCAACTCCGGTGACGTTTCGGCGTTTCGGCGGAACAAAAAAACGACAAAATCGATGCGGCATGATTTCGAAATCCTGGTTTGTCAACCGATAAACAAACGATGTGTCTGAAAATGGAGCTAAAAATCATTAAGAATCACCAACATAAACCATCATTCATCATTGATGTTCAGTTTAAATCATGTTTAACATCAACGGGTTTTCCATGATGCTTAATGATGTTTTGAAACCACTGGATGGTTTGACAATTTTGATGCAATGCCGTTGTGGCTTTAATGTGAATGTTTCATTGGCTGAAACCTTCCCTTCTTTGTTGATAAGCAAATTCCCATTAAAAGCATTCCCTTGTTCAGGCTTCAAATCCGGTGTGTTGATTCTGAAATGGCCTGTGCAGATCTCAGTCCTAGCGGTTAAAATCTCAGATTTGGATAGAAAAATGGTGGGTCACAACATGTCACAACTGGTCCTCCCACAGTGACGCCAAGAAGCCAACTGCGCAAGCTCCTGTCAAGTTCGACAGAAAAACTCACCGAGGACACCGTGTCGACATCTACGCGACTGTCCCGGGGTCAAAAGCCTCTTGTGAAAAGTTGAAGCAATGGGAAATCGATGGAAATCCCCAAAAAAAAATCATGAGATAACAATATAGGATATAACATGATATAACTATCCAAGAATCAAACGTGGCTAAAGGGTACTATAACAATCCAAGTTTTGGGTGTTTCATGATTTTCAAGCCGGTTGGATCCAAGCTGTTCATCAATTATCAATCACCGTCGGTCAAGTCCCCCATGTTTAGGGCGCTCAAAACCGGACCAAAAATCTGTTTGATTAAATCTTGATGTTTATAGAATTTGCTTGTCAAAACTCCCAATGTTTGTTCGTTTGGCAGTCACTCCATTTTTTTCACTTACAACCCAAAAAAACCAAAAAAGAGCGGGTCAAAACGGTCAAAATCCCACTTCAAGCACAATTCAGAAACCTGATTTCTGGTATCCAGTTAAATCTTGTCCCTCCATGTCCCTGTTCGCTTTAAATCCGATGAACTGCTCGAATCCACGAGTTCTCCGGCGAGATCGTCCAACGGGTCCCCCGGGTCCTTCTTAATGTGCGACCGCGCCGTCATCCACGGCATGGGCTTCTGCGCTTTGGCATTGGACTCCTTGAGGGCGTTGGCCGTGGCCAGCAAAATCCTCGGTCCGAGAGGTACAGTCGGCTGAATCATGGTTGAATCTGTATTAGATATTCAACATATATGGGATATATGGGATATATGGGATATTAGAGATGATATATGGGATATTAGAGATGATAGATCATCATTTATCCCATATATCATCATATATCCTCGGATATTTGTGTATGTTTAATGAATTTTAATGACTGTTAATGAATCTGGTTCATGTTCGTTATTAAACTTACATTCAAACGCTGAAAGCTTTGTCGACGTTTCCATGGTGGGATGAAAAATTAGCTTCATTTCGACAAATGCAACAGACCCCCGGCCATGGTAAGAGATTCCTTTCGTTTGAGGTTTTCGTAAGGGACTTCGGGTATGCTCTCAAGGTATGTTCAAATCACCGTCCATACAGTACATGTCTATTTATATTTGCATGGGAAATTCTTTGGGAATGATTGAAATTTCACTTTACCCTCTGGTTATTTAAGTTTCAGTTCGCCATGGAAAGATCCATCCAACATCTGGGGACTGTTTTTGAAAGGGGACACGAAAATTAATATATGATACAGAACATAATGATTAATGCGTCTAAATGGATGAGGGACATAGTATATATGTATATATATAATATTATATATATATATGTATATATATATAATTACAAATATACATTTAACATATATGTCATTGATATTTACGTATCAATGAACCACCGAAGCGTTTCTATGCCATGTTTTCCATCCTTTTTTCCATGTCTGCACCTGTCTCCAGCGCCAAGCTGGGCCAAGCTGCATGCGCGACACCTTGTCACACTGTTCCAAGATGTTGTCAATCATGGCCTGAACCATCGATCAACTCCACCCAGTTGAGGTTTCCTAAAATGCTAAACCCAAAAAATGGGGTACCCATGAAGTAAGCTGGATGGTGAATATTTCTTAAGGGAAATCCCATCTTAAAATGGAATTTCATGGGGACCTCCAATGACTCGGAAACCTCCAGTTTTCTGGCCTTTTGCTCGTTGGCCATGGAGGTGACGGCGGCCAAAACCCTGGGATTTTCGAAGAGTGAAAAAAAAGGAGCATCTGACTTAATATTATGAGGAAAAAAAGGTTGTGTTAGATGCTGAGTCAGATATTAATAGTGATATTGTGGTATTTATATTACATTGATTACTATATGGTGTTATGAGGAAAATCATGTGTTCTATGGGATTAATATTATTAAATAACCTTTAATAGGGAATACTTTGGAGAATATTGAATGTATTATAAGAAAATGCGATGGGGAATGATGGTGTTAATATATGATATTGATACTGGAAACAACCTATGTTAAAAATCACTCAATATACGTGTATTAATCCTGCATCAACATATATACTTAATAATGATATTACGAGGAAAATGTAGGAGATACACTATATAGTATGAGAGTACGGGATAATATGGATATGATACTTCAGGAGAATATTTGGGATACTATGATTACGGAGTTCTATTTCACCATTACTTTTGATCATGGATTATTGGTTAATTGTTACTTATTTCTACAATCGTGATAATTAGACTGTGTGACTGTGATATCGCAAGTATTTGGGATACTACGATCATGGGTGTTTAATCTTATTTGATTTTGATGATATTTTGATTGTGCGAGCTCATAATCATCTACAACTTTGGATAGCGGGATTACGCAGCAAAATATGATAGACGATTATTGGATGAACATTTTTTCATATCCCATCAACGTGCCATTCACATTGCACTTTGCCGCTGTACTAATGGGTTCAATAATATTGTTAAATCCCATAATTTGGGTGGTGACTCTCATTTTTTGGTTGGTTTAATCACCAATGTTTGGGAGGTTGGATCCACATCGGTGAAATCGTCATTTTGGTTGGTCAAATGACCATATGTTTGGGCGGTGAGCATCTTGCACCCCAATTTCAGCTGCAAAAATCTGCCATGTTTTGTTGGTTGCATCCCAACTTTCCTTGATTCCCAAGATTTTCCAAATTTTAGATGGTAAATGATGCTAACCTCTTGCTTAAAGTGACGTAGATACCAGAAAAATCACCAATCACCACTCGGGTTTTCCCCTGACCCCGTGGTGCACTCGGTCACTCGGTGCCCCACTCGCTGCGCTTCTGGTTGTCTTTGGCCGCCGAGCGCACGGGCCGCCGGAACTGCGCGAAGAACTCCCCGGGCGCCGTGTGGCGCAGGGGGCGCTGCGTGGGGTTGGGGCCCGGGGCAACGCTGAGGAGATACCCCGGCGCCCCCAGCGATGGCACTGGGGAATCTGCGGAGCTGGCAGCGGTGGAGGCGGTGGAGGCCGACTCTGGAGCCTGCAGGGGTTGAGTCCTCCAGAGGTTTTTCTGATGTTTTTCACATGATCTTCCCATGTTAAAACATGATCTTCCCATTTACAGAGGTTTCCGAAAGTCATAGGCCCGAACTCATCCCAAGTCATCAATTTGATCAGTTTGTCGTATTGAAACAACCATGGTGACGACTGGGGATCCAGCATGACTTAAGAAAACCCACCTTGTTGGGCTCCGCCGCGGGACACAAGCGTCGATGCCCTGTCTGCACATCCCAGATCACCTGGTGCAGAGCTTCAGAGTAGAGATACTGACGCTGGGAATTTAACGCATTGCGAACTGGAAAATCAGGACTTTATAGCTAGGTCAATCAGCATTCTTATCATCGATGTATTTTCATGGGCCATGGCTACTGTAGCTGTTCAAATAATCAGAGGGTAGTGGGTTTGTCATCTTTCTTTGAAAAAAATGGCATATTTTGGCCTCAAAATCTCGGAAACAAATCCAGCCAGGTTGATGTGTGATATTCTTTTTCCGATGAAAACAAGAATGTGTTTTTTGGAGTAATCTCCATCATCAGACAACCAGTTGGGAAACCATTCAGAAACCTGTCAAAATGGAGTTCTCTGGTACATCACCTATTCTTGCCAGATTCTCTCTATATAAACCCATCCAAGAAAGAATAGAAAGAAGGCAAACACAAATGCCGTTTCATTTTTTCACATGTCAACTTGGGCAACTTACATAGAACATCATAGAACCCTTCACCAGCATGACGCTCATTTCAAGACCCATTTGGTTTTTGATGAATTCACTATCAAACATGGTGATTCTCTTCAAGTACAATTTTATGATGAAATGACCATCAATTACCATTTAAACTACTTATCGAAGTTTAATGAATTTAGACATTTAAAAACATCAAACTAAATTAATGGTTCATTTACCTAATAATTTTCCATTCTATTCGTGATAGATATGTATAAAATTGTCCATTGTGTATCTTTCAGTTCGACAGAAATCCCATTTTTCGCCACGCCGCAACGGGCTTGGGAGGCAAGGCATCTTTGCCCAACTCCAAGTGCAAGGCACCTGGAAATGTGACCAGAATCCTAACAGAGCAACGACAGAGCACCCGTAAAGTTAGGAAATGTTAGTGATATATGATATATGGTAATGATATGGTAATGATATGGTAATTTTATGGTGATTCTATGGGGATAACAGTTAACAATGAATTCTGGGGCTATCCTATGTTCAAACAAAGTTACATGGTTATAGGGAGAACTGCTATGAGTTAGAGATATCATGGGATATAACATGACTGGTTGGTGGTTTTAACCATCTAGAAAAATATGACTTCGTCAATGGGAATGATTATTTCCAATATATTAAATGGAAAATAAATAAATAAAATGTTTAAAACCACCAACCAGATGATATATATATATAACATTATATAACGAATTTCTGAAAGAGATGTGTTAACTGCGATTTTTTTAAGAAACAGCTCTATCGTTGCTTCAAGAGATAACCGGTGCTCCGATCCCCCAGGGTGCTCAGCCGCCTTCATCAAAGTCTCCGCGAAACAAGGATTCCAAATCCTGGGTGATGTGAATTCGTCAAGGATTCCACGGGAGTCCACATCTTGAAAAAGATGAAAACAGTATTTTTTCTGTGTATTATATAATTATATATATACACATTAATTAATTAATAGCAAGCCAAAACAAAAATGCCGGAAAAGTCTTCACCATCCCATTTTGGTGGTTTTTTCCCTGTTCAACGTCTTTTTCTGGGATAATAATGGATAATATACATATATAATATAATATATATATATATATGGGATTTTCGTGTGGAAAAATGGGATAAATTCCTCTGGTGATGTAAACCATCAAGCTTCATGGCAACAAATTGAGGTTTCCTAAAAATGGGGGTACCCAAAAAATTATCCATTGAAGCGGGATTTTCCATGAAATAAACCATAAAAATTGGGGATATCCCCCATGGAAACCTCCTAAATCAAGCCAGTGACCAAGTGGCGTGTTTTTTGTGAAACTCCAACTGGGGTTTGCTCCGACTGGCTTGAGCCAGCTTCAGCTCCCACCATGCACTGCCAGATAGTCATTCTATCTCTGGTTGGTGGTTTCAACCCAAAAAAATCATGGAAAATGTTCAACAAATCTTTGAAACCACCAACCAGATATGCCATTCTATCTCCATAGCCCAATCATTTATTAATATGGATCATATATATATAATATATACATATATATATACCCAATAGATATCCCCTTCAGAAATCTCCATCCATCAACCCATGGATCCCATTTTTTAACTGGCGAACTCATCGACGGCTTCGTAAGCCGTGCACCCAAGGATCGGTGTAGCCACGATGATCCGGATTGTAAGATGTGGCCATGGATCACCACGGACGGCAGCCGCCTGCGCAACAAACCATGGATATATCATAAACTATTCATGAGATTTATCATGATAAATCCGAGGTGGTCTACTGAAGTAATTTAAGTAAAGAACTTGTGCTCAGTAGGGGAGATCACATTGTAGATTAGATGTTGAATTTTCTTGGTTCATCTTCGTATATCTTCGTACTCAAGTTGCAAAAACATTCTGGGGGCACAGAACAATTGCAGTTTTGGGGAGCTTGGCAATGATGTACACATTGCTGAAACATGCTGAACCGATTGAAAGGTGCCCGTACTAGATAGAAAACAACATAAGGCACGTGGCTGTAGTTTTTGTGTAGACAGGTTTTTTCGGTGTCAAAATTGAAGGTGTCAGTTTAATTCAACACCCCAAAATGGCATAGCCATAGGATCCTAACGGTGCTGCTATATATGTGCCATGGATCCCATCAATATACCGGCGATGTTTGGAGCTTCAACGGAGGCTAAGTCGGGGATTTTTCACCCAAAAAAAACATGGTGATGACTTGGGGATGACTTATTGGGGTTACTTACCCCCAATTGTAAGTTGGGTTAAAAACCCCATGAATTCCATAGTTATCAAGTTATCTAGTTCGTTATATCTACATATATATCTACCATAAACCATAGAATTCAGCCACTTTTCTAAACCAACGGTTCACGCTATCAACTAACTTGGTTTTTTTAGCCCCATGAACTATAGTTAGACGATGTTAGACGTATCATAAACCATAGTTATTGGAGTTCTAATACGCAACTTGGCTATCGTTTGGGCGCCCCACTTTGTAGATCTACTTGTAAGAGGTCGTTCCCATTTAACTGTACACTACCTGCAACCCAGACCATAAACAATTGGTAGTTTCACTTTGGTGGAGATCTCGTCCAGACATCTTTGGAACATATCTTGGTTTTGAAAAAAAAAGTTGGCGCTTCCCCCCAAATAGGAATAGTTACAATGTGGTAAACCCAATGCCATAAACCTACCATCTGGGGATATTGGGGATGGTTTATGGCATTGGGTCTACCACATTATTCCAGTGATCCATTCTTCATCTATTATTGTTGGTTATATAAGTTATAAAAGTTATATACCGTAATTTATATCATGCAATTTAATACCCATCATTCACCATGATGAACCATCAGTATATTCATTGGGATTACCATGACGGAGCCTCTGGTTTCGTGAGGCCGCGTAGCAGCTGGACAAGGGGACCACATGGCTCGCTCTAGCTCTGAGGCGTGCGATGGGACCCTGCCACGGAGGATGGTCGAAATCTACGGTGCAATGGTTCAATATCGAAAAATGGGGACATAACTGGCAGCTATATCCGAAAATATCAATAGAAAATCATCTAGAGCACGAAGTTTCCAGCGATGTGTGCTGATTGGCAGGTCTTCTGACTGTCAAAGGATATATGATCTCCAAATCAGCGTGTATTTGGATGTATTTGGTCCATACAAATTAGTACGATTCTGTAAGTTTCATAGGTGCTACCTGGTCTAAATACAATAGATTCATATGTAAGTCTCAGTGATGTTATTCTCAGCTTCTGCTGTTTCTCTGGAGTCATCATTCTTCGATCACGTCATGCACAGTTTAGCAACTTGATAAGGATTGGAACCACAGCTTCATAATCTGCAAACATTGCGGGGCGAGCACCGTGCTTAGCGTGCTTCAGAAAACAACCAAAAACACCAGGATTCGTTGAAGGGAACCATGTTGTTCCATGGTTGTTCCATGCTTTTTCCATGGTTTTTCCCCTCAAATTCGATGGCTTCCCTGGGTGGGTTCAACCGCTGCAGTACCCCATGTTTAGGTCTGTCACATATGGGGTTTTCCATAAATGGTGGGTACCCCAATAGCTGGATGGTTGACTTGGGGGCACCCCCCTATTTTAGGAAACCTCCAAATATGTCTTTCCTGTTTTGACCCGAGGTCACAACCCAGCAGCCCGTTTTTGGCGAAGATTCAGCGTGAGTTGCACAGCGCGTCTCGTCTCTTTTGAAGCTTTGTACAGGGCAAACCACGCGAATTAGCGGCTTCACTTCCTTAGGGAACCCCCGAAATGATCCAACTTCAAGGCTTCAGCAAAACAAGCAACTCTGGACCCCTGTGCGGATCACGCCATCGTTGAGTGTGACAAGTAAAGCCTTGCAAGTAAAGCCCTGAACCAACCCCCCGAGAGCTTTTCAGATCGCATGGCTTGTCCCCAAATTACCATCATTAAAGTTACTCAAACATTGGCCCCAAAAAGGACCAGTTAGTTACGCCCATCGGTCCATCATCCCTCCCCGCATTCCACCAGTTGCTGTGCCAGGATTCTTTTTGAACTTCTCTTTACCAATAGGGCCACCATCTTGCGCCCATTTCACCTCAGGGCCCGGGGAAGAACAAGGCTCTCGACATTGCCAATCCTAGATATCCTGCAAAAACGACATGTTCATTTGGTTAATTTATTCGGTTGGTTGATATATAGCATATTTTCGCATTTATAGCAAATGACTACGCTGAGTAAACTAATCTAGCTATATTTAGTTCGATGACTTACCACGATTTATCTCTTAAAAACATTTAAAACTGTGTGTGTGTGACTTAACCAGAGGGTAAGTTGCACTAAACATACTAAACTACCCAAGGTTCACCCAGTCTCACAAGCCTCGATGGTGTGCTCGTAGAGGTGCTTGGGTGGCTTCCCAGCATCCCTCTTCAGACTCTTATCCTCCGAAAGTGACCCGGGAAGTCCCCACTTCAGCCAGTTTCATCGGAGTTGAAGGGGGATTTGAAGGCAACATCTATGAAAAAATATTGGTTGTAGCAGCCAAATAAGATGTTCGTTTCTTGGATATGTTTCTAACTGAAGTTGGGATGGTTTCATTGCTCAGTCGCATTTAAAAGAAAACAGCCAAGAAGCCTACGCTGCCAGGGGCCAAAGGTGGCGATCCATGGCGATTGAACCCACGATGATACCCAAATTGGGTGTGGTAAACCTGATCACAAACCATCCCCCCAATAGAGGTTTGGTGATTTTTTTTGTGGGTAAAACACTGTCACCACCCATGACTGGGAAATGGTAAACATACTGTACCATCTATAAAAATATTAAAAATGATGACTGGTGGATGGTGCAAATGACATTGTGGAAAACCCACCGACTCTATTTGAAAAAAACAACCGTGCAACGGCACCCAGAAAGGATCGGCGCTGTCGCATCTCCTGCACACCTTTCTTATTGAACTCCAGCATCGTCAACGTCGACCTCAGGGATGAACCCTGGTTGTCGGCTATCGGAGGTTGGAGGTTTCCCGGAATGTCATGGGGTAAGCCAAACACGCTGGATGGTTCATGGAACAACCTATCTCGAAATGGATGATAAAATGGGTCCCCCCCATGACTTAGGAAACCCCCATCTGGAGAATTGTGAAGATGTAATGGAGTAGACCTTGAAAATTGGGCCACCAGATAGCCATTTCAATGGGCAAATTGCTATTTTCAGACAAACCCATTTGGCTATTGCTCAAGTCATTGGGCCTAAATATTAATATGGGGATGGGTCAAAACCCTGGTACCTAGTGAACCCCAAAATAGCTGGTAAATGGATGTTCATCCCATTAAAAATATGTATTAATAGGTATTGACCCATACCCATACATCAAACCCCACCTGATCGTTGAGAGCATGTGGATTTCCACAGGTCCCATGGATCTGAGGGGCATCATCCCCATTTTCGCTGACTTCCCCCCATTTTTGCTCCCCAGAATATACGTTTCGTACTGGTTTCGAGTACTACACTGCTGCGTTTCGGCAAAGGGATGGTTCCCATCAGGGCAAAGGGATGAAACTCCGAGGCCGATCCTGACAGTCTGACAGACCTCAGTGCCGCGCTCATATTTGCTCTTGGGTGGCTCCAAAGGAGCGAATGGAACCGAGATTTTACCTGGCGGCCACGGAGCAACAAGTGGTCGGAGTCGAATCTCTGGTGCCGATGGGCTATGACTTGTAACACCACTTGGGTGGGTGATACCGTATTTCACCAGTTTCTCAGCAATAAACTGGGATGATTCCAAAAATCGTCCAAAAACAGCTACAGCTATAAATGATATGAAATGACCATGTAAATATATATATATACGGTAACTACATTTAAATATACGGATTTTTAAATATACGAACAGGTATTTTAGACTACCTCCGGGAAGGTTTTCCTTGGCCCGCCCGGCCATTTAAAAATACGGAATCCAATTCATTTAAACATGCGGTGACTACATTTAAATATACGAACTGGTATTTCATACTACCTCCGGGGCCTCGCGGTCTGGCCCGCCCTCCACATATTTAAATGTCGTAATATGTAAGGAGCTTGCTCTATTCCCAGCATCACCCAAATATCATGGACGCATTTCGACCCTGAAAACCAACTCCGCCAGGCGCACTATTCAGCGGCATCTTCAGCTTGGCGCCGCTGAGCCGAAATTTTTACGTGCGCGAGACACGAGCAGCGAGCGGCTCACAGGTTGTCACTTTGGATCAACTTTCCATGTTATCATATGTTAATATATATATATAAATATATAATTATATATATATATATCATTATATATAAGTTATTAGTCTTATCATGTCATGTACTTTTCTTGGTATTTCTTTGGATATTTATTCTAGGGGGAAAATCCAAGCAGAAACCGGTTGTGTCATCAAGAGATCCAATGTTGGATACCCTTCCAGCTACAATGAGTGTTATTGATTGTTCAACTAGTGGACCTTGCTGAAATTTTGGAACCTTCATCTGCCATAAAGATTAAAACCAACTGACAGACTGTCAACTAGTATATATACCCTCTGGTAAACTAACACAACTATGGAAAATCACCATTTTCAATGGGTAAATCCACTATAAATCACCATTTTCAGTAGCTATGTTAGTTTACCAGAGGGTAATCCTCATAGCGTAAAGCCAAGGTTTGCCAACAAGCGACCCCTTTTGAGGAACTTACCTATCCACATCACCCCATGGAAAAAAACCTGAAATCAGACTATTTTGGGATGCCCCAATCCTAACCCTACCATCATTCCACCTATCCATACATATATATATATAATGTATATTACTGTAATATATATATATATACAGTACATACCATACCATACCATAACATTACATTACATTACTTACATACATACATACATAATTACATATAATTACATATTAATCATATAATCCTGCATACCCAAAAAAAAGGGAACATATCTAACATATCCTATCATAATTTGTAACATGATATCTCTGTCCCAAAAAAAAAAAAACAAAAGAGCAGGGTCTATTTTTGGGAGGCTTTTTTTTTCCTCACAGCATTCCTTCCTGTGCAGCCATCAAGACCTCTTTGGCATCAGAATACGACCTGGCACCGGAATTTCCGCTGGGTGACCTTTGTCGGGGGCTGAAAAAAACAACATGTCCAATTCTATATTAAGTTCTATATGAATCCAAGATTATCCAAGTATGTATATATATATATTATACATACATATACATATATATATATATACATACATATATTAATATATAATGAAATATCATAAATACATATCCCACAAAATCCCACCATATCCTACTATCCCCATTCTGGAGATTTCTCCCGGCGTCCCCGCGCCAGCTCTCGGCGATGTCTGCGGCGCTGCGCTGGGTCAGGTCTTTAAGTGTGGGGTCGGCTCTGGCCTGGTCCGAAAATCTGGAGTTCACCCGTGTTCTTTTTGCGGCAAAGAAAATGGGTAACATATCAGAACTGCCCAGCAACAAAATGGGTACCATCTGGTTATGACTAACATAGCCATGGAAAATCACCATTTTTACTAGGTAAACCATCTATAAATGGGCCGTCTATACCATGGCTATGTTAAATAACCAGAGGGTAAAAGATCATGAATTCTTAGCAAAGATCATAAAAACAATGGCGGTGGGTGAACCACCAACCATCAAAAAATACGGTGATTTCGACTTTGAGTTCACCAAGCTATAGCCGCCTGTGGCCCATTTAGTTCGATGATTATGGAAAGTAGCGATTCCATAGCTATGTGGGTCATTACCAATGGGAAATGATCCACCCAAATGATTAGTCCCAGATTATAATCAAAGTCTATTTATGAAACCACCAACTAATAAATAGGTGATGATCTATGTATTGTTTTTTTTTGGTGGTATACCTATCCCTCTGAAAAATATGAGTTCGTCACTTGGGGTTAGTATCCCAATATCATTAAAGTCATAATCCATTCCATGGTTCCAATTGGTTCCAGTCACTTTCTGAAAACCAGATCACCATCATATTCCCATTCTTCTTGGTTTATAGCCTATAAAAACCACTAATTACCACAACCATCACTAGAAAAATCACCATGTCACCGTCACGTCGTCACCACCAACCGGTGATGGGATGGTCAACGTTTTTACGTGAGTTAGTGGATGAAAGTAACAAATTTGGTATATTAAACCGTACTAATATCTATGTGAAATATGTGTATTACCAGGTAATATTTGACCGTGTGACTGAAAGAAATGTGTTTGTTTTTTATAAAGTTTATCGCCAAATGTTATGCCACATAGTATGTGTTACGTTTGATCATCAAATCCAAAAGTCCTGGTAAAAACAGTATGAATGATCCATGACATCTCGTTAACTCGAGCCTCCCAAAACGACTTGAAAACCATCCAAACAACATGATTTTCCAGGTCTTTTTCCCCAGTCTTTCCCAGTCTCAAAAACACCACGAGGGCCGCCTCCAACAGCAACATGAGCACTTTCAAACTTGATCCTCCCAGCCTCAAGATGTGACAATGTTTTTTTGGCGGATTGAAACTATCCCCAACCATTCTTACCCCAGTGGAGGGTGATTGAACTGATTTAACCCAAAAATCTATGATTTCATGGTGGTAGTTCACTAAACCACAAAATATCGTTTAATGGGATTTACATGGATTATCCTAGTAATTGAACAGTTGGCTATGGGACATGGTCTATTTTTAAATGATGTACCTATTAAATCCTATTAACAATGGTGATGTTTGATGGTCATGTTAAGAATCTATTGAAACTATTAACAATGGTGATTTTCCATGGTCATGTTAAATTGCCAGAGGGCAACGCAAATATTTTTCATAACTAAACAGAACCAAACCAACAACAAAAAACGCTGGGCCTAAATGTCAACCCAACTAACAATGAAACAGATTATCTACCCTCTGGTTGTTTAATGTATGGAAAAATTACCGGTTTTTAATAGGTAAATGACCCGGCCTGGTAAATTAACGTAACTATGGAAAATCACCATGTTCAATGGGTAAATCCACTATTTCTATCTATTTCTATGGCAATTTTCAATAGCTATGTAACAAATTACCCGAGGGTATCATGTTTATGCGGATGTTTATCATCGAACTAAATGGGCTAATGCCTTCCATCGCGAACTGTGAAATACCAAAAAGGGCAGTATCTAACACATCTAACCGGCGGATCAACTGAGTTGACAAATCATGGGGAAACCTTCGGGTTAAATGACCGTCATCCCATGCGTTCAATGGCCGGGAAGTTGGGGGTTCCCAGGCCCCGACACGGCACGATGTAACCTCGACATGGAGATTCCATGGAGATGTCGGTGCAAAATGGGATATGATGAGGATATACCAATTAAATGTCATTTAGTATATCATTGCGTATATCATTTGGCACCATGGAAAAAATTGGTATCTCCCCATTTATATATATATACCTTTCAATGATGGGGATATACCAATTAAATGGTGCTATCCCATTTCAATGTATATCAATGGTTAGGATCTAATGGGATAGCAACTATGATGCAACTGGGTCTGCAAATGGGAGATACCCTCTGGTTATTTAACATAGCCATGGAAAATGGCCTATTTATAGATGGTTTACCTATTAAAAATGGTGATTTTCCATGGCTATGTTAAATAACCAGAGGGTACCAATAAAGCCGTGCAATTTGATCTAGACAATATGCTATTTCAAGCTTTGGGTCTGACTGGGTACGTCTGGTCCATAGTTGAAAAATCTCCTCAAAACATCTGGAAACTACGAAGCATTGTGGACAGTTATCCCATTTAAGAGATACCCTCCAGTAAATTAACATAGACCCTGCCAGATAGGGGTTGGAAGATTAGTTTCCACTATAAATTGGTGATTTTCAGGGTCTATGTTAATTTACCAGAGGGTAATAGATGTTTAAAAGTAATTATTCTATGTTGCTCTTTACCCATCCAACTGTAGTGGTTTTAGCCTTGTCATACGACGGTATAGCAACCCAAAAAAGGATAGGAAACTAATAGGCCCAAAAACGATGCAGCAAAGGTGAACTACAAGTACCCTCCGGTAAATTAACATAGCTACTGAAAATTACCATTTATAGTTGATTTACCTCTTAAAATTTGTGATTTTCCATGGCAAACTGTTAGTTTACCAGGGGCTATATGATTTTACGTGTCCATCTTTTTGGGGCGCTGTTATGTCCATCATTTCCCACATCACCAGGCTTCATAAAGGATGGATTTTGGGGCCGGAACCCCCAGGTTCTCTCAGATGTCAATATCAGTGATCCATCATCCAATAAACTGTGTCAATTTCTAGCGAAACCAACTTGCCATATGAGTGTGTCTGGAAATTATGGCTATAAATTATAGCCATCTGCGGAGTCTGCGGAGTCTGAACATGATGATTGTCACTATTTTTATCCTATGATCTGGTCGGTGATTGACCTACCCCTCCGAAAAATGATGGAGTGAGTAACAGTTGGGATGATGTTCCATTCCCAATATGATGGGAAAGTCAGCACCAAAATTCCAGTCGGTTCCAGGAAAACCACCAACCGTTGTGATCCTATTCTCAGTCACTCAGCATGTGCCGAGCCGCGGGGTTTCGCCCATGTAGGGATCCGGCAAATTGGGATCCGCCCTGGCCTGGATGGGCCGACGTTTGGGCCCGCCGAGAGGACGTTTTTAGCAAAAGAATGGGGAGATGATGGGCCGAGCAGTCGATTAGGACCTTATAGGATATGTATGTGTATCTATATCTATATATATATTATATATATAACTTCAGTATAATACTATACAGTATCTGGCATATATATATACCCAACAAAATCATAGTTGGGTTTGCCCCAACAATGGTGGAGAGGTCCCCAATGATTCTCCTGTTCTGAGCATCCCAGGTGGACAAATCATCGAAGCGTTTGTGGACCACGTTCCATAGCTACCAAAGTGGATTACCAAAGGGTAGATTGCATTGAACTCCATTGGTGATGGTTTGGTGAAATCCCAGTTGAAATCATCAATTTTGGTTGGTTCAATAGTTCAATCACCATTTTTCACAATTCTTGCTGGTGAATTCCTCATGTTTCACCATTGTTTGCTGGTAAGTCCTAATTCTTGCCGATTACCCTCTGGTAAACTAACATAACTATGGAAAATCACCATGTTCAATGGGTAAATCCACTATTTCTATGGCCATTTTCAATAGCTATGTTAGTTTACCAGAGGGTAAATCACCATGTTGGTTGGTTAAAGCCACAAAAATTTCATGGTTCATCTGGGTGGTTGGTGAAAAATCTCCACTTTCCAACCCCCCCTTTTCGTCCCGTGTCCCGTCGTCCCCCACCTGCAGGAGAACCTCCACCTGGAACACTCTGATGGGCTCATCCGGGATCATCGCAGTGATTGAACCGAATCATTCTATGTTTGAAAGCATCACAACCAGCTTATTTGTGTATCATATATATTAGCCTCCAGTAAATTAACAGTTCGACCCTGGCAGTCATCGGGGTTGGTTCAGATGAGTTTCCACTTAAAATTGCTGATTATCTGGGTCAACAAGTTAATTTACCAACGGGTACATGCCCATTCTATGCCCCATATATCCCCATATGATCCCCATCCATCAAGATGAAATGTCCCTAGTCGTAGTCAGAAACATGGCCAATCTTCGATACCCGAAGCAACACGCAAAAAGCTGCTTGGTATTATGTAATATTGCTATGTAATTATATTATGTATTATATATATGTGTGTGTGTGTGATTCTATGATTATATATGTATTATATGCGTGTATGGTCATCCTGAGTAGATAGAATTATATAAATTCAAGACAAAACGAAAGTGGGAATAAGTATGGTTAAAACATGTTAAAAAGGTCCGTATTCGATCTACTTCAGGACAATTTTACGTCTGTCCCCCATTTAAAGCAAAAGATGAAAGTACTAGATTACCCATCACTAAGGTTTACCCAGAGTCAATCAACCTTAAAAAGCAACACAAAGACATACAAAGACAAAGACATCATATGGATGTTTATTAAACAATAAAAGAAAAAAGATAACCTTTCCCCTCGATATCCCAATTTGTCCTGCTCTTAACTCCTTTGAAACCTTACATAACCCTGCCAATATCTCAAAAATGTTGAAAAAAAATGTAAAAAAATAGGCTTTTGGGTGCTTAAACCTAGTACAGCAAAGCCTTTCAAACCCTCCGGCAATACGGTGAAGTTCCGCGTACCGCAGCGGCAGCGCCAAAGCCGACACCACAGGCCAGCAACAGTGGAGTGTCACCTCCTGGCTCCTCCCAGCGTTGTGCAAGGCCATGGGGGATCCCCTAAATGTATGGTTTATGTCATGGAAAATCCCATCAAAAATATGGATGATAAATCGGGGTACCCCTATGACTTAGGAAACCTCCATATGGTGGTAAAATATGGTTATCCTTACATCATGAAGGATGGGGAATGCGGTCATGGGATAGAATGGGAGAAAATTGGATATGTATACAGTGGGCTTTTACTCAGGTATCTGTACTCATCAACAATATCAAAATGGGGTGTTAATCCGACACCAACTGCATTCTGGTGGTCAACCCTGCCTAATCTTCGATATTCCGCACATCTTTTTTCTCCAATCAAAAATGGTCACAAGAGAAACGAACAACCCAACAATTAACCTCGCATTTTAGTCATTTAAGGATGTTTTTTACAACCCATTTCCAATGAAATTGTTTTTTTGATCGGGTTTCATGGGTTTACATGGGTTTACCACATTCACCACTTGAAAATAGAAAAGAACAGCTTTATCAAAACCGTCAAAACCTACCAAAAACCTACCGCTTGACCCAGTCTTGTGAAAGAAATATGCCCTCATCTTCATCCATCCCCACCTTAAATTGGAAACCCCTCCCACCAGCAGCAGCACTCCTGCACATTGACGTCCAGAGGCGTGTCATCGCACCTGAAACCCCGAGAATGATCTACAAGTGGAGGATGTTCTAAAGCATTGTTCTTTGAGTTTTAGTCAATGACTTGGGATCTGGATTCGCACTTTTGGGGGATTTCAATCATGTGGATATTTTACGGCAGTAGATTTGGATTGGGGTTGACTCAATCCAATCTGAACCCCAGATGCTCCTGCCGCCAAGCCCGAACTAGTTGCCCTAGAGGACACCTTTACAGAAAGCCATGTGGAATCCAGCCATGCGGGAAAGCCCTCCGGAAAATGATCTACAAGCGAAAAAAATGGTGGGTAAACTGCTTTTTTTGCACAGTTTACAGGAGGGTCAAATGGGGATGGGTCAAAACCCTGGTACCTTTTGGTGAACCCCAAAATAGCTGGGATTTATGGATGTGAATAACCCACTAAAAATGTATCTATAGGTATTGACCCATACTCAAATAATGATTAGTTACAATTCACATTGAGAAAATATATGTAGAACCTATTTCAACGAATGAACCTGCAATAGGGCAGGTACCTATTTTTCGACATTGGGTGGTCAACAATAAATTTCATTTCTTCAATTAATGTGGTCAATCCATGCAAATCTAGTAATAAGCCTTGACTTGGCCACTTGTGGAATGGTTTTTACAGATTTCTACCAACCATTTCAAAGTTGGGGATTCTTCATGCTTGGCTTTACCATACTCCGCGACTGGGAAGACTGGGCTGCTAGGTGAATATGAAGTGCCGCTACCCGGACTACCCTCTGGCAATGACCAACAGCTCGCCATGGAAAATTGCCCATGAAAACAGACGATTGTTGATGATTTCCCTAAGGAAAATGGTGATTTTCCCATGAAAACAGACGATTGTTGATGATTTCCCTAAGGAACATTGTGATTTTCCTACCCTTCTCTCTTCTCTCTTCGCCCAATTTTTTCACCACAAATTCACTTGTCATTTCTTGTGTAGACCATGTCATTTTACCGTACCCACTTGTACCTAATAATGCTGGTTGAGCTCCCTCATGCCTAACCCTTGATAACCCAAGTTTCGAAGTTTTTGTGTGATACGTCAACTATTCTCAACTATCAAAACAAAGAAGTTGCATAATAATGATAATATAACAATATGTTTTCAAACAAATGTAATCCTATTATATTATAGTGAACATCCGTGAAAAACATTTTCGCGAAACAACAATCATTCGGATGATGATAAAATACTTAGTTCGAATCATTATGCTTCTAGTGTACATTCACAATACAGTAGACTATGATTCCCTCAATTAGAATCATATCAATCGCAAAAACACAAATAAGATTAAAAAAAAGATAAAGAATTGGACACTTATTATAACATTATAACATATATATATATATATGTCATAGTAATTTATATCATAGTAATATATATATATATTTACATTACATGTATGATATAATATACATATGGAGGTCTGCTAGAATGGGGGTACCCCCAGATCATCCATTTGATTTTCGGATGTTCCACTAGAAAAACCATCCAGCTATTGGGGGATACCTCCATTTTAATGGAAACCCACATATAGAACACATCTTTAAGCTCGGTAAATCTTTAAGCTCGGTAAATCAACTATTTCGACTGGGCCATTTTCAAGTTCGCAAACTGTTAGTTTACCAGATGGTATGTTTGTTGGTTTATATTCCACCTCATGATGAAAACCACATCATATCATGTTCAGATTAACCATTTTATTGTCATAGTGATATACAGGATGGGGCCCCTCAGTTCTAAGTTGGTTTATAAACCCCATGAATACCATAGTTATCTAGTTCGTTATATCTACCATAAACCATAGCTTATTCAGCCACTTTTCTAAACCAACTGAACGTATTCGACTGAGGGCCCCATCCTGTATATTACTAATAGGTAAATCAATGTAAATCAACTATTTCTATGGCCATGTTCACTAGCAACCTCTTAGTTTACCAGAGGGTATATATCAATAATATCCCATTAAATCACTATCAAATCCATATATTATTCCATATTTATCACATAGATATCATAGAAAATATAAAATCACATGGTATTTTCCATATCAAATCCATATTATCACTATAAAATCACCCATTTTTCGTGGAATAAAATCTGCCAACCCCTACAGTACCTGGCAGTGCCGCCGGCCTGGCCGTCACCTGGCGGATGGCTTGTGCATCCCCCATTTTCGCTGCGTCCCAGAGCACCTGGTAACCGGGGGGGGGGGCTGTGGTGGCGGCGGCAAGGCGTTTTGGAAGGGAAAACCATGGGGAAAAACATAGGGAAAAACATGAGATGTTTACCCTGTGGTAAACTAACATAGCTATTGGAAATCACCATTTTTAATGGGAAAACTCACTATAAATGGTGATTTTCCATAGCTATGTTAAATTACAAGAGGGTAAGGAACGAGTGAGAAAATATGAGAAATAGTTGGACAGGAAAAGTTGGGAGATCATGAGATTTGATGGAAATGGTTAAGAGATGCAGATACTGTTGTGTCATATTATGTAATATATTGAAATATCCGAATATCCGAACGATACGCCCTGGGAGAATGTTGATTATCTTTTCTAGAGGGCTCATGTTCTCCTTCTGGGGGAAATAGTAGGGAGATAATGATCATCAGGGTATAACAATGGCTGAAAGAATCATGAGGATATCATGGGGATATATATATATATATATATGTATATATATATATATGTATCTGGTGGATACCCTCTGGTAATTTAAGATGGTGCTGCAAAATTACTCCACATATATATATATACTTATAATTACTTATATATTATATATATACACATGAAAACAGTATATAGAGTCGGGTGAATAGTGGGGTGTGTCTGAGAATTGGGTACCCCCAAATCCACAACCGTTCATCCTAATTTTCCCAATTAAGATGACATGTTGGGTCGTATACCCTCCGGTAAACTAACATAGCTATGGAAAATCACCATTTTTAATGGGAAAACTCATTATAAATGGCCATTTTCAATAGCTATGTTAATTTACCAGAGGGTACCCCATTTTTAGATGCATTAATATCATTCATGTTTGGTGGATATTGATGTTGTATCTAGGTGCTGGGTGCAACCATCATCGTGATGCAATATCTGGGCTACATCACAACTACTATCTGGGATACCCATGGATACCCTCTGGTAAACGTTTACAGTTTGCGAACTTGAAAATGGCCCAGTCGAAATAGTGAGTTTACCCATCAAAAATGGTGGATCTTTCCATAGTTTTTCGTATGTTTACCGTAGGGTATCCCAGATCATTCAGTCATCTGGGTTTCAGTCGATGATTTCTGGGTGAAATCCCTGGACTGATCACATCATCCTACATATGTTACCCGGCCTGGTAAACTAACATAGGAAATAGGTGGTTTCATGGGATATAATGGGATATATAATGGAAATGTAATGGGAAAATCTATATCCTCTGGTAAATTGTCACATAACTATGGAAAGATCCACCATTTTTCATGGGAAAACTCACTATTTCGACTGGGCCATTTTCAATAGCAAACTGTTAGTTTACCGGAGGGTAGTTATGTTACTCTCCATGCGGAAATGGTGGGAATGGGGTATACCCCCATACAAACTTGGGATATAATGAATATGATGGGGATAAAATGGGACCATGGTAAATGCGGACTGGGAAATGGGGATATAAGCAGAAAAGTTCCGGGATCTAATGGGGATATCATTCGGTTATTATGATATGAAGGGGATACCCTCCAATAAATTCACCCTCGACATACAGTAGATGTGGATTTTCTCCACCATTTGCAGATCATTTTCCGAACGAAAAATCCCATGGTTTTTTCACGTCTTTCTGTATGTTTACCCCAGGTATATCATGATAAGATCCTGGGTGATCCACCCCACCAAAGGCCCTCAAGATAGCATGGATATGTTTTGCAATCCCATTATAGTTTGGGAAAGTCCCCATGTTGTCAATAATCACATTTATGTTTATATATATATATATGTACCATATATATATATATCATATATATATATAAATCAATAATGAATATCATAATTTTCCGGGTGCAGTATAAATAGTTTGCCATTCCGTAACACAGGAAGGATGCTGATGAAAGTTGGGAATTCCGGAACAAAAGCCAACAAAGAGTGGGGACGTTGAACCAACAAAAAGAATGAGGAATTCGCCCACAATAATGATATGTATGCCACGAAGCAAGGACAGAATTATATATATATATTAAAACATTAGTTATCATTAGTTTTTTTCCACTGTTCACATCCAGGAATTCAAAGTTCACTGAGTCATAAACCCGCGAAAACCATCCATATCCAACATGAAGGTCCCGAAAAATACTTCAAAAAATGCCAGGAAATCATGGAAAAGCAAGACCACTCCTGGAGGTTCCCAGCACTTCCAATTTCCAGCCTCTTCTCGGTGCATCAATCGACTTTGGCTCGCTGGCGCCTGACCCAACATTTCTTGGACAACAACTTACCACAACTCACCATAACTTACCTATTGGACCTGGGGGGCAACACATGGTAGGGATGCAACCATTTAGACAAAAAAGACATCTTTAGACCATATAGATCCAATCACTTTCTGTGGCTGGTCATGGTCTTTTTCCCCATGGTTTCATAGCAAAATAATTTCATGGGGTTTAAAAAAAAAAACATGTTCAGTCACACATCATATTGAGTTGGCTAGTTGTTTGAAATAATATTATTCGAAACTCTTTTGAAATAAGTTTTGCATGTGTTATGAACAACTTTTGGATATTTACATCAATCCTACAAAACCCTCGCATTTTGAGCAAGTGTGACTTTTTTGGCACATATAGACACATACAGGTAGACAAATAGGATTATGAAGGTAATAAGCCAGAACGAGAACAACGGGGTAGCGCACAACGGAAAAGCCACAACGAGAAAATGAGACATGGTGGGTTTATGCTACGTAAAAAAAAATAGCAGAGAACGATACAGACGATAAGATTCTTGTCGTCTGTATGTTTTTTCATTTGCATATGTGCATTTAGTTTTTTCAAAAATAAAAACATGGTAGGTTTATGTTGTCTAAACATGCTGGTGTCTTTGGTATCCACCTACCGTAGATGGTCTGCAACGGTGAGGCCTGATGACATGTAACCTGTGGAGCTGCCAAGGGGGAACAACTTCATTATTAACACACATGTTTCTGGCATCTTCTGGTTACATGTCATGTGGGCAGCATCATGGCCGAACCTGACTGAAGGACAGATGACATAGGAAAATGTGACTTTTTTTTGGGCCACACCACTCCTAGAATTGAACAGATGACATGTTTTTCGGTCTATCGGGGGTGAACGTTTTCTCACTCCACATGTCATCAGCCCCTAGTATATATCATGTTGTATCATGTTTTATCCCATATCCCCACTATACCCCATTTAATTCAATGATTTTCCGATAAGATTCCATGAGAATAGCTACTCTCTATGGTCTTTCTACGTGATGACAGGGTGTAATGTGCAGCCCTGCGCCAGCTGCGCCAGTGTAGACTCCCCAACATGCAGGTCTTGGCCACTGCGAAGCCAAAGAGTGTGGATAACTCAGAAATGGAGGTGGTTGTATCACCAACAAAAATCGTGGGGTCTGAACAATGAAAATGGATTTAACATGATTTAACTAGTGACACTGGTGACTTGACCTGCTTTTCCTGATCATTTTGGAATGTTTTGAGGTGACGATCATTCTACTGGGAAAAGTTCACATGGAACCCCCACAAAAGATCAAAAAAATCTAAAACTCATAAAAGATCGGGCTCTGAGATGACTCAACCCATCGCAAATTTCAAGTTGTTCTCCATTGTCCTCCATCTATAAGGGTTTATCCCATTAAAACCTCCACGTAATTGGGGCTTCCAATAGCCATGTTCGATTACCAGACGGAATATCCATGAGTATTCAATATTGAATCCGCCGGCCTGCCGGCGTGTTTTGTGGATGTTCTTATGATACATGTCTCGTCCTCATCTCTTTTCTCAAGCGAACTAGCACTCACCTTATTTACATCATCACATCATAGTAGTCTCGGTGGTCATCGTCGTCCTCCTCCTCCTCGTCATCAGCCTCATCATCAGCATCCTCATCACCATCATCAAACCAACCTTTTACACCAACCAGCTCTACACAGCCCCTGCTTTGGGCCTGTAAGCCGAAGGCCAGAGGGCCGGCGGAATGCCGAAGGCTGTTAAATATCCATGAATATTCAACACTACATTGTATGCAAGGAATATTCCATTATATTCGGCAAAATGTCCACTATATATTATATATCTTCCTAAGGAAAACCATCATTTTGCGTTGGTTAAACCATTTTGATCATATTTTGCGTGCGTTGGTGCTTTCCTGCTCACCACAACTTTGTTCCAATGTTTTCACCCCGCCTCCACCCCGAGTTCGCTCAGCATCTCCACTATTTCCTGGCCACGATGGAACTCTCTACGCGGGGTGCAGTTCCATTGCACCATATAAGTGGATCAATATATAGCCATAATTGTTTCAGGGTTATAAGTTATAAGGTTTCCTAAACTGGGGATACCCCCAAATCATCCATAGATAGTGGTTATTCTTCGTTATAACCATGTTTTAACCATAGTTTTACATAAGGATGAACCATCTCACCCTGTGAAGGTTGTCTATTGCCATGGTTATAAGATGTTGTAACCATTAGTGATCCCCGGCCTGCACCCCCAAGTAAACTGGTTCAAGGCCGTTTTGGGGATAGTTATAGGATAACATGGGATAACTATAAACAAATTTTAATAGTTATTTTTGACATAGTTAGCTATAAATCATAGTTGCCCATAGTATGCCATAGTTATGACGTCAGTCAGTAATGGTTTCTGTGATAGTTCAAGCAAATCCCAAAATGTCACTCCGTTCTTGGGGACAATTCCCTTGCCCATGATTTATGGTGAGGTATTGGTGAGGTCAGTGACGTCCGTTTCGTTGAACCAAACGTCTGTGTTGACACTGACACGACATGTGGGAACCATCAAAAAATAACCCATTTTCCATCCCAAAAATTATTGGTTGTTTCATAAATATTCCCATTCTATCCTATTTTGGTTTATTTGTTGGGGGTGTAACGTGCACAATCCACAACCAATGAGGTGCAATGTGGGGGCCCCAGTTTTAAGTTGGTCTATAAACCCACATTAATATCATAAACTACAGCTATACGTAGCATAAACCATTTTATATTGGAGCTACATTCACCAACTTAGCTTTCGTTTTGGGCCCCCCCTTGTAGTATAAATATGTATAAATCCCTTTTCTTCAAGCCATCAACAGAGGGTTTTTTAATGGTTCAAATATCGATGTCAAATCCGCCAGTTGCAAATGATTTTTCCCCACTAGTTCGGAGTGCATGGTTTCCCCTCCAGTTCTAGCACTTGCATACATTTCGTACATTTTCGTATATTTCGCCACCTGCCAGGTGAGGGCCTCTGGGTTTTAACAAAAGTGTGAATCCGCCTTCTCCTTCTTCCTGCTCCTCCTTCACCTCCTCCTCCTCTTTGTTGTCTTGATCCCCCCCGCCAACTCCGGATGCAGCTGGGCACGCCTGGGCCCGAACACCCACATCGCCAGCTCCAGATGCTGCGCCAGCTCCGGATGCGGTGGGCCACGCCTGGACCCGAACTCCATATCGCCAGCTCCGGGCAACTATGCTACCATGTAAATTAAGGTGGTCAAACTCTTGTGGTATAAAATCTTTCAGGACAACCTTTTAAAGCGCTTCAATACTTGCACAGCCCTCTGGCCTCACCCCTCACAACATGCACCATCGCCAAAGTGAACCCGCAATTCCCATGAGCCAACAGTCTCTCCATGATTCTACATGGTATCTGATTTCCCAAGACAATGCCAAGGTGCGCAGGGCATCCAAAAATGCTCCAGTAAGCTCTGACTTTGACCATATAACCCTAGTAAGACTTCAACCAGGAAAGCAAAGGAAACAGATATAACTTGATCTCAGAACTTCAAACGCCCTTTTCTAGGTCTGCAGTTGGGCCGTCTTACTTTGAGCTTCAAGCTGCGATTAGCCTGACGATCTTGACCCTCAACTCCCCGGGCACGGATAGCCAACAAGCCCGCGTGCGTGATGCTTGCTTGCCTCCGCGAAATGCTTGCGAAGGGCCCTCATAATTTTGCCATACGCAGGAACTTCTGCACTTCGCAGCCTAGAGCTTGAATCCCAAAAGCTCAGGTTAGGCTAATTTCTATCTATTAGGGTATATCTTGTTTCCTGACTATTAGTGAAAGTTCGCTTTTAACTATGATGTAAAACGACTGTTTTACCTAATCATCAGAATGGTATACTGGTTTTTGGAAAAAAAAAATGTTCTTTTTGATTCCTAGCATAACCTCCAACGAAACTGTTTTTGATTCGATGCATTTCCTGATAAAATGAGGCTGTCAAACCACATGCAAAACAAAAACACCAAAAATATTTTTCGGATTGGACAAACCAACACAGGATAGAAACAAAAAATCATGAACAAACACTTGAGAAAATATTTGCCAAACAAAATATGGAGTTAATTATAATTGTTTTAAATTTGATAAATCTAACATGGAAAATTATATACAATTTAAAATGTTGAAAATATAGCTTGAAACACAAAGTGTAAAAAAAAACTGTCTTTAGGCTATTCGAGTAAATAAACTATTTAGGCAAACCGGCAAACAACCTAATAGTGAGAAAATGAAAAAACCCAATAGATCGAATTTAACCTTCAAAACTAAAATAGCCTATAGATAGAAATTAGCCTAACCTGAGCTTTTGGGACGTGACGCTTGCGAAGAACTAACTCAAATGGCCAAAGCTTGAGCACATGCCGAAGTGCCGACTCCAATGCACTGTTGACATCTGCACCCGACAGTTGTTCATCCGCTTCCCCCATCCACACTGGACAGACGCAAAATACCACCATCCTGGGCCCAAGCCGTTGCAACTGGACTCACCTGCCTTGTCCCAAGGAAAGGAAGTCAGCCGATCCTTACTGACGTTTGAAATATTCTTCGACTGAAAACCCACTGCGGCAGTAGGACGTGAGTGAAGCGATGCATTGATAAATCTTTTGGTAGCTTAGAGTCTGCAGCAATGAGAGGTGCCTTCTGGGCAAGCGGAAGTAAAAAGGCAGTGAGCTTTCCTATGATGAATTTCCAATTCTGTCAGTATATGTTCAAGCCAAAAGTGGGCCAGAATTCTCGTGCAACCATTGTCCCCAATCATCATGGGACCGTGCCATCTGTGGAAAACAAACGAATATTGCTGCCTCCTGTAGCAAATGCGCCTGCCAAGAGATCAATGGCCAGCTCTTGCAACAATATGACAACCAGCGTAAAATGGTGTAAATATTGAAACTATAAGGGATATAAAGACCCTCGTAGCATCACAAAAATAAACTCGAACGACTCAGACATTGCACAATCCGCGCGCGCAAACACAAACAAAATTGGCTGACTTGGGCACAGGGAATGCAATAATGACTGCAGGTAAGGCGCTCTTTGGTCTCACAACTTATCACCAACCTCTGGCGCAAAGGGCACAGTCTTTCATAGTTGAAGCGCCCCCCCCAGGCACACCTTGCGGACGATGTTGGCGGGAACAAGTGAAAAGTAGTTGTAGTGGTCTAGTCCCAGATGTCGTTGGGCAGGCAAATTTCCTGCAACAACACAGATTCCATGTAAATTTCAAAATCAGAAGCCAAACGAACATAGAAGGCGCAGACTAGAGTGAATACAGCCAGTGTCTCCTTCACTCCTTCACCTCCTTCCCAGCTTTCGAGGATGAGGCTTTCGAGGATGACGATGTAGTTGCAGCATCCTGATTTTACCCGAGAGCTTCTGAGCGACGCGTTCTTCGAAAACAAAAAAGTGGTGGCATACACATCTTTTTGAAAACATCTTTGCATATCTGTCCATCTTACATCTTATTTTGTCTCTCTCTCTCTCTCTCTCTGTCTCTCTCTATCTCTGGGCTCATGCCAGGGAATCTGCCGTGGCAAGATTCATCCTCTGCTGGCAGAACCAAGGTACATTCATTGTGGTCAAAACACTGCTGGAAACTCACTGTATTTGATCAGGGTGAGGGATCAAAAAAAATATTTTAAGGCATCAAAAAAAATATTCCCGTGGGGATCAAAAAATAAATATTTAAGGCATCAAAAAAATATCATCCCCTGGAATCTTTGTTTTCTATGGCCCTGGCCACAGTTTGGAAACAAAGCCGAGCATTTCTGTGGTATTTGCATCGCTTTGGAAGTGCAGCCTCTCGCCCGTAAGGTTTTTGCAGGACATTGGACCTAGAAATCGAGCATTCGCAAGGCTCGACGCTACCGTTTCGACAGCACCTGCCACTTTGGAGTTCGAATTTTTGATTTTCGATGGTTGCTTTGAAACTTATGTTGGTTTAAAGTTTGTTTATGTTTGGTTTAGGGTTGATTTAGGCTTGGTTTGATGCCTATTATTACGTTGACTTAGGTTGGTTTAGGGTTAGTTTAGGGTTGGCCTATGGTTTACTAGGTGCCTATTCAGGGTTGGTAAAAGGTTTATTTAGGTTTCGTTCAAATATTATTTATAAAGTTATTTAAAGTTGTTTTTTGTGTTTATGTAGGGTTGGTTTAGGATTTATTTTGATTTTGTTCAAGGCTTTGTGGTTTAGGTTTCGTTTGGGATCTATTGCGGGTTGGTTGGTTTGTTTATTTAGGGTTGGTTCAAGATTTGTTTAGTATATTTAGGGTTGGTTTTAGGGTTTGTTTAGGGTTGGTATAAAGATTTGTGTAGGGGCTGTTCAAAATTTATTTAGGGTTGGTTCAGGATGTATTTGGGATTGGTTCGTGGTTGGTTTAGGTGTTATTTAGGGTTGGTTCAGGGTTTCTTTAGGGTTGGCTTAGGGGTTATTTTGGGTTGGCTTGAAGTCTATGTAGGTCTTGTTTCCGGTGTCTTTAAGGTTGGTTTAGTGATTTATTTCTGGTTGGTTCAGGGTTGGTTTAGGATTTATGTAGGGTTGGCAGGGTTGGTTTGTGGTTTATTAGGGTTTGATCAGGATTTATTTAGGGTTGGTTCGTTGTTTGTTTAATACGTGTTTTTTAGGGTTTATTTACGGTTGGTTTATTGTTTTTTAGGGGTGGATTAGGGTTTCTGTGGGGGCGGTTTAGGGATTATTTGCGATTGGTTTAAAGTTGATTTTGGTTTCGCTTACAACTCTGGGTTTATGTAAGATTTGTTTAGGGATGTTTAGGGTTTATTTAGAGTTAGTTTAGGGCTGATTGAGGGTTGGTTTAGGATTCGTTTAAGACTTACTTTGGCTTGGGGGTAGTTTTTGGAGGCTGATTTAGTTTTTTTTAACGGCTGGTTGAATTAAGGATTATCTTCAAAATGTTTTAAGGCACCAGAGCCACCAAAGGAGGACCAAGGGACCAGAAGACCAGAGGACCAAGGGACTGGAGGACCAAGGGACCAGAGGACCAAGGGACCAAAGGACTAAGGGACCAAAGGACCAAGGGACCAGGGGACCAAGGGAGAGGACTGAAGGACCGGGAGATTCAAAGACCACAAGATTTTAAAATTGCATAAAAGGGCCAAAACACTGCACCAGCGCAGGAAAAATGAATATATATATATATATTTTGATCCCTTAATTTTTTTGATGCCTTAAATATTTATTTTTTGAGGCCTTAAACATTTTTTTGAACCCCATGCCATTTGATCACCCCAACAATGCACAGCAGGTGGACAAGGGCCAATGCATTCAGAACAAGGCCCTTGGCAAACCGTGGTCACATTTCACGCCAACAATTGTAAATGACCATTGCATCAGTTATGTAACTTGAATGAAAGCCACTGTCAAACTGTCCATGTGAAAGCATGAGAAAGTGACAACAGAAATTGGATTGAGCTGCTGGATTTCCAAAAGGCCTCCTTTGAAAAAAAAAACTACAGCATTTGCAAATTTAACAGATATAGCCTAAACCATAAAAAGGAACCCGCCGAAAAAAACCGCCATACATTGTGCCGAAAAGGAGGGAAAACCACCATGTATGCCAATTTTTCCGGGATGTATGCCCATTTTTTCCGGGGGGTCCTTTTTGAAGGTTTTGGGTTCCGAAGGAGGCATTTGGAAATCTAACACAACCAGCCTGGTGCCGGACATCAAAAGGAAAGTCAAAAGAAGGGGACATCCACTTCTGCCAGTGGCAATCATGACTGCAGTGAGCAAACAAGAGTTCAACGCTAGATGTTCAAAAAGCATCCTCTAAGATTTTTACAACTTTCGTGCTAATGGATTCAGGCACCCAAAATTTGAAGAATCCGAATTCACAGGCTTGGTGTCCGACCTCATCCCACATGCCAAAGAGAAGGCCTGCCATCTTGGGGAGGAGAGAAGAGTTGCCGATTCATCAAAATTGCCAAAACCGCCTCCGAATTTGATTGGTTTTTACTTCAGGTGATATTGGATCCAATCAACACTTTGATGGTGAGTGGATAAATCCAGATCAAGAAATGACAAACTGGGCGTCCGACTCACCGAATTTTTATGGCCGTTCACGGTTCCAAGAACTGCTGCTGCCTCCGCCCGGATTTTCTTGTCGACTAAATCTAGGACTTGAAAAGCACGGACGGTACCTCGATCCGAAGGCTCATCATTCACTTTCATAGTTTGCAATAGTGTGACTGCGCTCATGGTTTTGGTTCCCATGTCCGTATGGACAAACCCGTCTCGAGTCTTTTGAATGATATTGACACATCTGGCAATTTTCCTAATCTTTTGTAAAATTGGTTCTGACGGTTCTTGGGCACATTGTTTAATGCACAGGCTCTTCGAGCAGCCAAGACTTCAGCAAGTCCGTCGACATAACCACATTTGAAGTCCATGGTCCTTTGGCTTGTGAAAAACGTGCTGTGTGCACTCACTGGAAACATTCAAACATATGTAATTACATCTATTCAAGGTGGCTACTGCTAATCTTTGAGCAGGAGAATGGGGCATGAATGAATCTATGGCAATTATAAAAAGAAGAAAAAACCTTCGAGTTTGTAACTGAACCAGATAATCGTCCCATGTCTTTAAAAAGATCGACGTACCAAGTGATCTTCATAAATGTTTTCAACCCAATACTCCACAGATCGGTGGGCTTTGTTTACCAGGAATTTCAATACATGCACAAAACTGTGTCGGCCCTGCGCCTCCGAGGGTATATTTCGAAGTCTAAGGTCCATACAAAAACCTAGTTACAGAATGTTAGAAGTATATATGACCCTGAGTCAAAATCCTTGGAACATTCCAGTTCATGGTTGCAGCTGGGCATGTGAATGTCCGGAGAACTTGAAAAATACATCCACACTGGTCGAGTTCAAAAATTGAACCATTGTTCGGCGTGCAGTGCATCAGCCATTACGCTTCATCCAAAAACAATACTTTTGTTAAGTTGAATCAAATACAAGATATACAAGCTAGCTGGTTGCGACTGTGCCTTTATAGGCCCTATGGCCCACACCATGCTGCTGGTGACAAGGGGGTTCCCTGAATCCAATCAGAACATGGCGCGGATGCAAACCTGTGTTCACCCATCATAATAATACACGTGATTGCGAGAGCTGGCCGGAAAGAGCCGCCCCATCATGAAAATGGCATTGCCAGTTAATGTATATTCAATGGATTGTCTTGAATCAATGAATCATGAGCGACAATGAACTTGAATGTCATGGAAGCGCCTGAAGCCTCCCAAAACCAGGCTGGGAACCCAGACTGTGGAATCCTGGAATGAAGGTGGCGGAGGGCAGCAAAACCTTTTGCTTTAGAACGGTAACACGCATACGCGTGGAATCGGTGAAGTTTTGAGGAATCAGCGCTGTGCTCAGGAGAGTGCCCCATGGCTGGATCCTAAGTCATATTGTTTCCAACAAAGGTTCACCGTTAGTTGGAACATGTGGTACACTGCATTGTTCTTTCGATGTTGTTGCGAAAGTGCCTTTTGCTTTGCTTTGCACATGGCTGAAGTCAGGTGACACAGATTTAAACATGACACCAACATGACACATGCACATTGGTCAGTCAACCTTCCCGGACCCTCTAAACAACAGAGAAACAGTTGGTCCTCGGATGACAGGTCTGGCAGGAAGTTCCTGCAGGCGCCAATCCTATGCCAAGACTTAGGAAGCCAGGACCGCGGGCCACGCCTGGACCCGAACTCCATATCGTCAGCTCCAGATGCTGTGGGCCACGCCTGGGCCTGAACACATGCCAGAGAGAATGCTAGACAGAATGCCAGAAAGAATGTCAGAATATATGAATATATATATATATATACCTTCACCTACCATACACGCAAAAAAAGCCAGGTGTGACTTGAAACACAGGGTTTGCAAAACAAAGCCAGGGTTTGTAAAAACCACCATGTATCCCATCCAATCGACGAAATCTGCCTCATCGGACGGATTTGGCCAAAACACAGGGGTTCTGAAGAAAACCCCAGGTTTTGTGGATGATCACGGAGCAACCTCGGGTTTATATTCAAACACGTCATTTTTCACGGGTTTGGTTGCTTAGGGTATATATATATGTATATATATATATATATGTGCCAGATATACTTCCAGATAATGTCAGAAACTATGTCAGAATAATGTCAGGGTGGGGATCACTCGAAGTAAAGTATGTGTTTATGGTAAAATTGACAAAAACCCATACATTCCCAGGGAGTAGGTACCAACATACCTCCGTTTGCCCCATTTACAAACGATGTTCCCATGCAAGATCCCATGATAAACCCTAGTTATATAATTCTTCAAAAGTCGGAATATACCAGCTAAATCAGTGTTTCATCATCTAAGATCTACGAACCATCAGTTTGTTTGCTTGCTCAAGCCCTCAAGCCCTGCTGAATTTGATGAAACATTGTGAAGCGACCAGGCCCCCCATCCCTTCCTGGTGTCCATTGGACTTTGCCAACGACCACGCCGACTCTCCAGCGTCGCTCAGGACTGACAGCAGTTGGCCTGGGGCCGTCTGGGAATGGGGCGTTGACGATGGGAAAGCAGCAAAAAACATTTAAAATGGTGACTTCTCCGGCACAAAATGAGGATTTGACCAAAAAAAAAGATGAGGATTCTACTGGCAAAAATCGAGATGTGACCATGAAAAGTTGAATGTGACCAACAAACATCAAGAATTACCATCAAAAAGCGTGATTCAATGATGCAGCCAACAAGAATATATGTGGTACTTAAGCATCTGGGCATTTAAATGGATTTAGTCAACAAAAATGGGATACCATCTGGTTATGACTAACAGTTTGCCATGGAAAGATCCACCATGCTATTAAGTTCGGTAAACCATCTATTTCGATTAGGACCATCTATACCATGGCAAACCGTTACCCTCTGGTAAACTAACATAACTATGGAAAATCACTATTTTTAATGGGAAAACTCACTATATATAAATGGCAATTTTCAATAGCTATGTAACAAATTACCAGAGGGTAAATAACCAGAGGGATAACATCCAGAATGACATCCAGCATTCCCCCTGGGTCTCCAGGCGTTCACCGCCCATGGCCAATGCGCGTGCGGCGGAGAAATCCCCCCGTTCCTCAGGGGAACGGTCAAAAAAGGTGGTGCCACCATAGTTCGCTAAAGGTTTATACCTCCAATAGCTAGAGCTTATGGATGTTTATGGTAGCCTTATCTCTAATTACCCTCTGGTTATTTAACATAGCCATGGAAAATGGCCCATTTATAGATGGTTTACCTGGGTTTACCTATTAAAAATTGTGATTTTCCATGGCTATGTTAAATAACCAGAGGGTATATACTACTGGTCCTGGTTTACAAAGCCAAAAGCAACGGAAATAACTGGGACGGCGCCTTCTTGCATTACTGGGACCACACAAAACTGGTGGTTTTTCTCCATGGTCTTACCAACCTATAAATTGCCAATTCGGTTTTTATCAGAAAACTAGTTATTAGGATTTTTCTCCATGGTTTTCCCAACAAAGAAATTGTTTTGTTCAAAGGACACATCCCTTTCATGTGAGTTCTCATTCACACAAGGGCCGAAAACTGACCATGAACAATAGATGGATATAAAATGATATAAATATGAGTGGTTCACCCACTGGAATGGGGTGTTTTTCAGAAATGGATTTAAGCCTTCATACCACTGCTGAATCCAAACATCCAAGCCAATCCATCGAGACCCAGGACACATCACACAGGCTCCCCAACACAGGCATACATCAAGGCTGTTTGGCCCCCAACACCTGCGAAGTTGAGTCTTGGGGAAAATAAGCTCTGACTGCAGAGTCAAATGATAATTTATCTGCCTGTCTGTCTATCTAGATAGATAGATAGATAGACAGATAGATAGATAGATCTGATTGAAAATGGGGTAAATATGGCATGTTGATCAAAATCTCCATTCACCAAGTGATTGTGTCTGAGAATCGGGGATACCGGGATACCCCAAGTCATGGCTAATCTAATACAGGTAAATGATGATCAACAAGGGGATTGAGGAGTGCCCTATTTCAATACAACCACCACTTGGGTCCAAATGGATACCCAAGACACCCCATTTGAACAACTTTGACTACCTCCAACTGATGGGCCTAGAACCAATTCTATGGTAATTTCAAAAATAAAAATAAACGCAAGTTTTACAAGGTCTACAAAAGGTTCAGTGTAACGTTCTCTATGGTTGTGGTTTTTGGTTGGCTTGACCATGCTGTTTTTTTGGGTTGTGGTCTTGAAATTGGATCCCAATACCATCACATCCCATAGTTACATAGTTTCTCAACACCTTTTTTCGAAACCATGGGTTTCAATCGGAATTTTACACTTACCCTCCAGTCATCAGACATGGCTTGCTGGAAAATGCAGTACCAGCCATTTAGTTCGATGATGGGAACCCAACATCAAAAGCTCCATTCACTTCGGGGATTTCCCAGATACCAAAAGTTCTTCATCAAAGTTCATAAAGCTGGCATTGGCCGTTATATCATATCCCAAATTTTATCCCATCATAGTTTATCATATCAAAAAAAAACATTACATAACCTACCATTTGCTTCTTATGATGGCCTCATTTTGGGGATGTTCCATGACATAAAAAAAAAAGTTGCGCACCTCGTTGCGCCGGGTCGGCTTGAGCATCCAGCAAGAGCTGAACCACCTCAACCCATCTTGCTGGATGTTGACCGATTCTTTTTTTGTTTCTGAAACATGGCTTTCTGAAACATGGTGTTAGATGATGTTGTCATGTCTTTTACATGTGTTTTTTTGAAACACGGTTTTACTTTTGTTTACATCTTGATTTGCATGGCTATAAGATGTTATAAGATCTTATAATATGTTATAAGCACATGGTTTTTAATGTTTTACATGTGTGTATGTGTGTTTACATGGTGTTGTCACATGTTTCCAGAATTTCCTATGGGTTTGTCCAAAGACACTGGATACTCCAAAACTGCAGTTTTTATCGGACCACAATTCTTTGATAAGCCATGGATGCTTTTAGGCTGGCTATATTTCAGACAAAGCCTCACGGGAAAGATACGAGAGATATGTGAGAAGTCTGTGGGAAATACAGTCTGATTGATGATTCAAACACCAGGAAAATCATGAAATCATGATAAAACATACTGCAAGTCATCGGGGTCGTTTGGATCGTACGAGTACGTTGGGATCGAAACAAACATTCTTGAAATCACAAAAAAAAGTACAGTAGCAGTTTGCGCGCTTCAACCAGTAGCCCCCCTGGTACTCTTTTCCTGTTGTTCAACTGGTGTTCGGATCGCTCAATTTGGCTCAAAGTGAATAACAAATCGGATGTCTTCGAAGAGAAAAAAAAACATTGGATTTGTTTGTGAAAGTGAACCATACCCTCTGGTAAATAAACATAGACCCTGAGAATCACCAATTTTTAATGGAAACTAATCTTCCAACCCCTATCTACCAGGGTCTATGTTAATTTACCGGAGGGTAGTTATAGGGACCAATGGTTGATCCCCAATCGGTGACAATTGGAAGGCCAAAAACATAAAGAGTTTTGAACCAAAACTGGGGCGCTGCCCCAAAACCTGTGGAACCTCAGAAGTACACTCAAAGTCACCTTTTGGATCCTTTTGCATGCCGAAAATCAACCAATCGTATTGCTTATATGGGTCTGAAAAAAGGGGTTATCCCCAAAATTCCGTTCTGTATCATTTTTTTTTCCGATCAACATGGCCACAATTTGGTGGAAATCCCCCGTTAACAACAAAAGCCATTTTAAATTGATGAATTTCCGATGTGTGTTGTCATGTTTGATGGTTAAAAGTTAAATATAGTAGAATATAGTTATATAAATTATAGTTAAAAGTTAAATATAATGTATAATTTAGTTCTAAAAATCCATTTTCTTGATATTTGATGATCAAATAATCACATTCTGGTTGGTGGTTTCAACCTACCCCTCTGAAAAATGATGGAGTTCGTCAGTTGGGATTACTATTCCGAATATATGAAAAGTATTGAAAAGTCATAAAATTCATGTTCCAAACCATTCCAAACCAGATTCATCATGTCATATTCCCATTGTTGTTGGTTTATAGCCTATAAAAACCACTAATAACCATCACTATCAATCACTATTGATGGTTAAAGTTCACGTGGCGCACGGGAGCGCCTCAGGGCCCTTGGCCCAGGCCAGTAGCCCATCTTGCCGATCGTCCACACGCCCCGCGTCGCAGCGGGCCTCCAACTGGAACTCCCATTTGTTCAGAGGGAAGATACATATAGATATATATATATTGTATTATATTATATTATATTATATTATATATTCTTATATAAATACATGTAAATATAAATATATAATATTATATTATATATATACATATATACATATGAGTTCCCGTCGAAATCCTTTACATCTGAGTAGTTGCTATTGTTGTGGTTGTCGCTTTTGGGGGGGGCCCTATCGCTTTCCAGGGTTTTGTGGAAATCAGCATGTTCGAGATCCAACATGAAGCCAAAACCCATTCCTAAACAGGCTCGGAAATGGATCAAGGAGTTGTTTTGTTGGTTTCAGGTGCTTCGGCAACACTTCATGTTCCTTTAATTTTGCATTAATTTGCATGCATCTTCCTTCATGCCCCTTTCATTTGCATGCATTTTCCTCTCATTTTGCATTCATCTCCTTTCATTTTCCTTTCATGTTCCTTTCATTTATAATTATTAATTTCCTTTCATGTTCCTTTCATTTTCATTCCAATGTGTATTCACTTCCTTTCATCTTCCTTCCATTTGCAAGCATGTTCCTCTCATTTTTGCACTCATGTCCTTTCATGTCCTTTCTAAAGTTATGGAAATGGCTCTATAGCTTGGCCTGCAATAAATGGTTTTCGCTAAGTTATCGCTAAGGTTATCGCTAAATAACCCCTCCAACATATGACATTGTTCGAAGGAAATTTGCCACAAAACGACAGAGAGGGAGAGAGAGAGAGAGAGAGAGCGAGAGAGAGAGAGGGAGAGAGAGAGAGAGAGAGAGACAAAAAAAGAAAAGAAAAGAAAGAGAGCGAACGAGTTGGATGCCAAATGATATGGCAACTGCCGGAAACAGAGCACCACAGGTTGAATTTCCCTCATCGGTTTTGTCCGTTCTGTGAATGTGCTTGATTTACACCAAGTTTATATAATGAACTGTCGTGTATGGTCCCAGGTTATCGCTTTTGGGGGGGGCTATCGCTTTACAGTGTTTCATGCACATCTCTGACAAAAAAATCCTGCAATACTCAAGTGGTCTTCAACCATTTTGACCATGACTCATGTATATAGATATCCCAGACTCCGAACTGCTCCCTCCTAATGGGATAGCTGCATGATTTTTTTGATTCGAAGTGCTTAGATCTGGAGAGCTACATGTTGATACTTGAAGCAAAAAGAAGACTGGCCATGACTGGCCCAGGGAATATGGCTGGGACGTATTCGGATACCTCGCCAGAGTACTGATATATGGTAACAGACGAGCGTGTGACACCCGCACCTCTATAAATTTCCTGATCATCAACATCTTTGGATGGTCAAGTTCCATTTTTGGTGCTGGTGAATACCCTCTGGTAAACTAACATAGCTATTGAAAATGACCATTTATAGTGGATTTACCCATTAAAAATGGTGATTTTCAATAGCTATGTTAAATTACCAGAGGATACACTATTCCTGGTCCGAATCCACATGTGATATGCAACTGGGATCTCCCAGTAACGTACAAAAAGCAGTGCAGCCATTGGGGGTTGCGATATTGCTGCACCCAGACTGATAAAAGGTTTGTCTGAACATGTCGAGAATCATATGAAGGTGTCCTAAGTCATGGGGCTACCCCCAAAATCATCCAAAGTAAAGTACATTTGGTACGTAGTGAAACCCATGGTTCTGGGGATCCTTCATTTCAAGAACCCCCATATGTATCCATATGTTCCATTGAAAGTTGAGGGGTAAATCCAAAAAAAAATCTCCTGCCCCGCATCACTTTGTTGGTTTAGTCAGTTTAGTCCCCAAATATTGTGGGATAAATCCCATTGTTGTTGGACTAAAACCCAATGTTTGTCGGATAAATCCCAATGTTTCTTAGACTAGTAGACTAATCCCAATTGTGGTTGCTTCAGTTCCCAGTTGTGTTCTCAAGATACCCCAATGTTGTTAAGAAAGCCACGAAAACACCTGAAACAAGACTCGTCGAGCTGAGACCCAGAACGTCCAGCAACAATTTCAGCAGTCCTGGATCACCCCGCATACTGGCCTTGGCAACACGGCAACATCTCGCAGTTGATCTGGCCATGGTCCCCTTTCAACATTATTTAGCCAGAAAAGTTACATGAAATCGAGAGCTTTCCTATATTCTGTCTGTCTGTCTGTCTGTCTGCCTGTCTGTCTGTCTGTCTTACGTACGTACGTACGTACGTACGTGTGCATGTATGTCTGATGCATGTCTGCATGTATGTATGTGTAAAGCAGCATTTTCGACTGGAAGGTCGCAACTGAAGATGTAGCAGTACGCTTCAAACATGTGCACAGGTGCACATATCGCAGCTTGTGCACTGCAATGAAGATCTACCCATGAGGGAGGGTAGACATGGCAGTGCCATACTTATGTAGAAAGCCACAAACATTAAATATACATATAGATACATAGAAAGATCGTACAAGAAAAATCGACAAACCCAATTGATAGTTTGGAAATTTGACACGAGATTGTAAAAACACGAAACGAAATAAAGCGCACATGAGAACATACCCGAAATAAGAACCACAAAGTATATAAAAACAAGATAACTAAGATATGATAAGGCAGTAAACCGAGAGAAGAATTGATGAACAAGAAAGCATATCAAACAGATAGACCCAAAGAAAGAAGGTGCGATCAGGGAAGTTAAGGCAACACGCGATTAGGCTAAGATTTGGACCATATCCTTCTGTTACAAAATGCCTGTTTGATTTTGATACGCCATTATGAAGCTCATCATGTTCTTATAAAATGCCACTGCAATTTTTATGATGGCCTAACATGATTAGAATGATTCCTTTTTAAAATGAGATTCGCAAGTTTGAGCTACAAAATCTTGGACCTGGATTTTATGTCACCGTTAGCCTGACTAAAACGGAGGCCTCTTTAAGAGGCCTCTTGGCCACACTCTTTGTAGTTTGAACCCGGAGGGGGATCAATATATAACACAATACCCTCTGGTAATTTAACATAGCTATTGAAAATCACCATTTTCAATGGGTAAATCCACTATAAATGGCCATTTTCAATAGCTATGTTAAATTACCAGAGGGTAACACGATAATCCCCATGTAATCCCCATGTTTCTTGGTGAAATCCACTCATGGAAACGCCGTCAACTCCCGATCCGATCCGTCCCCACGTCCCCACGACCAAAGGCGCGTAATGTCCTGCGGTCGCGCCCGAACCTCATGAGATCTCCAGCATGGCGATGAATCAAACATGAAAATGGGGGATTTACCATTTGGTTATTTAACGGTTAGCCATGGAAAGATCCACCAATTTTTAATAGGTATAAACCCAGGTAAACCATGAATTTCTATGGGTCATCTATACCATGGCATGTTAAACAACCAGAGGGTAAATGGATTTAAGATGATTTAACATGACTTAACATGACTTAATATGATTTAACCACGAAAAATTGGATTTCATCGGCAAAAATCCGGAGTTCCAAATTTGGTGAAATATCAGGAATTCATCATTGCTGTTGAACAAGGATGATTTCACCTTCAGAAATGGCGATTTTTCACATGGGGATTTCAACAAATTTCAACAAGCTGCACAAGCCCAAAATGGAAACATGAATTGGACATACGATCATTAATACATCAATTAGTTATGGTTATTAATGATTTATTAATGGTTATCAATAATTTGGATTTCTGGTAACCTGACAGGTTGCTATGGAAAATGGACCACAACTAGTTCGATGATTTACGAACTCAAATGGTGATTTTCCATCGCAAAGGGCTCCAAAAATCTGAATATGTCAGGTGACTGACCATCCAATCCAGAATCCTTGGCTGCATTTTCACTGTGTAATATGTCTATGATGAAATGCCCATGTGTTCCTATGTGTGATGGCTAAAATATGGAAATACCTTTGAAATACCCATCATATTTCATGGTTTACCCAGATCTAACCCGAGTTTTATATTATGAAATCATATGAAACCCCCATTGTTTCCCCATATTGATATAGAGGTTTCCTAAAATGGGGTACCCCCAAGTCATCCAAGTCATTAGAATTGAAACTCGTGCTGACTTGAGAATGTCCCGACAGCCATATGACACAACTCTTGCTAAGCTCATCAAGGGAGGTTTCGGACAAATCCAAACTTAGTTGTACGCATTTGTACGTATATATTATAATCATACATATATATATATATATAGTTATTTCAGGGTTACATTCGAACTTGTAAAGGTTAGAATCCTATGGTTATAACCAGATTTTCCCCATAGTTTACCACATATTTTCTCCACATTTGATAGTTTCATGGCGAACTTCCACCGCTGCCCAGGTACTGTCGGCATCGTTGGGATTGGCACCGAAGTCCAGCAACACTTTGGCCACCTGTGATGCGTGGTCGAAATCCCAAGAGATTCGCCGCTGATTCAAAGGGGTTGAGGACATAAGCCCCAGTTGATGAACACAAAAAGTGGTGATTTTCCCATTAAAAGTGGTGATTTTCCATAGTTATGTTGATGGAAATGATATATATGATATATATATAATATATGTATATATACTGGTTGGTGGTTGACCTACCCCTCTGAAAAATATGAGTTCGTCAGTTGGGATGATCATTCTTAATATATTGGAAAATAAAAAATGTTCCAAATCACCAACCAGTTTATGATGCTTACAACTATAGTCAATAGGGTCCATAAACTGTCCATAAACCAAAGGGAGATTGATTTTGTAATCATAGGGGAAATCATAGGGAAAATGAGAAAAAACATGGGGAAAATAGGGGAAAACATTACGGAATGACTTGAGGGATATTGATGTAACTGATAACTTAAGGTGAATTGTTGGGTTTGTGGGATACGTATAGTCTAGTGTTCATGGTTTATTGTTTAAACAACTAAAACATCACTGTAGCAATGATTAAAAGGATATTGATGTATATAACTGATAACTATATTGAACACTACTAATTTTATGGGGTCTATAAGCCAACTTGCAACTGCTGTAGAAAGGAGTGGCGACATATCCATTAAAATATCCCTAAAGCAGCCACGCCTCCTTCTTACCTCCCTTCACGGCCAACAACAATCCGCTGGCACCTGACAGGGCGATTGACGTTTTTCTGGTCTATGTTTACCTACTGTGGGGAAGGAGATGTACCTACGAAACTGGCTGGCTTTTGGTGGGGGTTGGTGTATTGACCAACCCATTTCTTCGGGATTTTGGGGGTGTACATACCACACATAGATCTGACTTTCCAGAGAGATTGACCCATGTGCTGTACCTAGAACCATGGCGGATGACTCCGCCGGAGAATCCCCAGTCCTCGGGTTTCGTGGCTCCCGGATATGCCATGGCCATATGGGAGGAAGCGCGATGATCAAAGCTTTTGAGTTTATCCGAGTTGAGGACCAGATGTCCATTCCCTCCATGCAAAACGCATCGCAACCCACCTTGTTGATCCACAGCATGCACCTGACAAGAGAGGAAAGAATTACAGGACTTTGGTGAAAATTGATAAGTTTCAAACAGTAGATGAGCGTTAATGAAAATCTATGGGTTTCCGTCGGAAAGGGATCTACAAAATATCTATGTCAACTCACTGCAAGGTACGTGTTGAAGCATCCCAGACAAAAAAGGGTTTGAAACCATCAAGCATCCATTTAAGCCCTATGGTTGTTGCTCAGCTATCTCCATTTATTTCCAAGTCTACACCCCCAGATTCATAGCATTTCAGAGCTAAAAAAAATAAAGAAAACAAGATTATCAAATTCGCACAGGATGTGAAATCGTCTAGTCTCTTCTTTTGGGACCCCTTTTAAAAACCCAAGTTAAACATCGACGTTTCCGCTGCCAAAGAGCCAATTCCCTGCGTTGGTCTACGTTGAGACCATTCAGCTTCCTACGCCTTGGCTGCATCGGTCATCAACTGTGGCCTGATGGTGTTCATCATCGGGAAGGATGTTCAAAAACGCCACGTTTGATTAGAGGATAGGTTTCACATCACCATCCTGTAAAATCAATATATAATATTATATAATTAATAGGTACAGTATATAGCTTGTTGTACACTTTGTACAGGTACAATTTAGGCATTTTGTGAACCTAATATTTATAGGGGTTCTCAATATAGTACAGCTATTTGGGGCTATACTATCCAGATCTACCTACTAGTGAGACCAGTGGGCTGCCTAGGGCTCAGTGGGCTAGTACCTCTCGGTATAACATTAGAGGGATTATCCTAGGTATAAATGGCAATACTGTAAGCCACTACGGTAACCCCTGGAAAAACGGAGCCAAAGTTGAGTTTCACCCAATCAAATATTGCTATGGTTATCACCATAAACCACCATAAACTCTAGTTAACCATAGTGGTTAACCATAGTTCACGTATGTTAGTGTAGTTATAAAATGTTATAAACCACATCATCAGGCAAAACAAAATTGGGCCACCCCACAAGGAGTCTGCATCACCAAGCTCGCTGGCCTAACTGGGAAATCGCCATCTTCAATACTCGAGATATAGGTCAATCACATATACAACCTATAATTTGTTGCCAATTTCCATAGCTATCTGAACTTATCCAAAGTGCAGTGCTAAATTCAGCGCTTGGGATTGAAACTGCTCAGGACATCCTTTCAGAACATTCCACCGGGTTCACGGGATCAGAGGGACCACCGGTTTTAGTCATGGAGAAGCCATGGCCCATTTACGAAACAGATGATCTTCCCAGCTAGAAATTAGAAACCTCCATTTATTTTGGGGATTTTCCAGTTCGCTATGTTAGTCATAACCAGAGGGTATGTTCCAAACTGAACTCCTGTGAAAGAGTTGGCTTCATGTGTCCATAAAGAGGATGACGGGCATCAGAGTTTCCCCCTGGGCAGATGATTCGCCAAAAAAACCGTTGAAGGCGAAGATTTTCAGGAGTCCCTCTCAAATCGAAAGGTACAAGCAACTGGCTCCATGTTCAACCCCAAACTTAGAAATGAAATCTGTACCTTCTCTTCATTTTCAATAAAAACACTAAAGATGTCTCAGATGTTCACAGTTTGGATCCAGTTCGAAAAGCCAGTTTAAATCCTGCAAGTTTTCCCATCAATCCAGTGATATATCTATATATATATGTATATATATTATATATTATATTATATATATATATATTCTATATATATATATGTGATTATGTATGTATCATTACAATTCATTACATATCCCCATGACTCGTTTGGTTTTAGACCCCATCACTTTGCTGCTGAAATCACCGATAAAAACTGTAGCCCGAGATCCCCCGAGCCTCGAGAAAACTTTGTGTCACAAGATCTACGCGCACCTGCAGAGATGGTTCGCAAGCACTTTTTCACTGGATTGGTTTAAGGGAAAATTTACAGGAAACCATGGTTTTTACCATCAAATATAGGGCTTTCCTGTAAATTTTCCCATCATCCAATTCTATGACTTTTCCATCTGAGTGATCTTGCAAGTCAAAGATGAAGACTTGAACATGAAACTTACTAAATATGTGTATGAGTTATATCTGCAAAATGAACATATGTATAGATATATATATATATATATATACATATGGAAATATGGAAGATGAAAATGTATTTCCTTGTAGTTCCATTACGTTTCCATATAGTTCCTCAAAGAATATCACCCTACAATGGGGAACAATCCCTATTAAACCAGCTTGGGATCCCTCATTTTCATCCAGTAATCAATCATGGCTCCGTTTACATGGGATCTTCCATTGCCACATTTGATTACACCGGATTGTATATCCATCAATATTCCATCATTTATATATATATATACACATATATATAATCATATATATATATATCTTAGAATAGTCCCCATGATATTTCCACCATATCCCATTACTCACCATAAATTATTCCTATGATTCCTTCAATATTCCCAGTATCCCCGTGATATCCCCCATTTCTCTCCGCCGAGCCACGCCGTTCTCCTCCTCCAAACGCTTCTCGTAGAGGTCGAAGCCAGGAAAGCCTCCGGCCGCGGTTTCCGCGGCAGATGGATCCAGGAAAACCATGGGAAAACCATGGGAAAACCATGGGAAAACCATGGGAAAATGCTGACTTCACCAAGAAATATGGAGACTTTTCATGACTTTTCCACGTTTGGAATGGCCCTTGAAGACTTCAATGAGTTTAGCTGTTTGTTGCTGAGCTTCAATGTTCCTCCATTTCTGTACGTCACCTTTCAACGGCTTCGCCGTGCCTTCACCAAGGTTTTCCATGGTCTCCTGTTGAACCATGGGGGGAAACCCGTGATCCGCAGCCGACGGCGTCCCTGTGATCTGCAGCCCAGTGATGTGATGTGAATAAGTTGGTTTTTTTAACCATGAAATAATCCCCATGAAACCACTAGTTATACCATAGTTAATTTATTCAATACCACTAGTTATACCATAGTTATACCATAGTTATTAATAATCCCATAGATATAACGTTAGCTTGTTAATACCATAGTTATCTAGTTCGTTATATCTATCATAAACCATAGAATTCAGCCACTGAAATGTTTGGCAACTGAACGCGAGCTCTACTGGGGGCCCCATCCTGTATGGCTTTATGGTGTACATATTTTATGTACATGGGTGTATAAAACCACCAATACTTGTGATATTTTCATCTGGGGTGTAGGACACATCGCGCATCTTCGTGGGGAAGTGGGGAGTTGATCAACCATCAAATTCTGAAAGTTGGGATGGTTTCCCCACAAATCTTCCAACAAAGCCATATTAGTATTGACTCATCCTTGGTTCGTGGCCAAGATTGATTTGTGGATCCCATCGAAAAGGAGATGGATCGTAGATGTGCATCTCTTGAGCCTCAAAGGTGATCAACGGGATGATCAATGGGATGAATGGCTATGGCTCAAGACACCAGGTTTGACTGTTAAAATTTGTTGAAGGTGGGTCAACCCAATCAGAAACCATCCCGGAATTCAGCGTGGCTGGTAAATCTCATCCCCAAACGGTTTACTCTTGGGTTTGCCACATGATATCCATGATAAAGGTTCCATGATATCCATGATTGTTGGTTATGTACCCATTACTAACCATGATTTTCCATCATTAAACACCATGACTGGTTGGTGGTTTCAACCCCTCTGAAAAATATTAGTCAGTTGAGATGATTATTCCCAATTATATGGAAAAATAAAATGTTCCAAACCACCAACCAGATGAATACTAAGAATGTGTTTGAATCGAAAGAACAGCGATCCTCAGCAGTTTTTGTTTAAAGCTCTCTTCCACAGCACCATGCTGGCCACCCATCAATGATGGCAGATGAAGCTTTGCATTGTCTGCCACGACATTATTTTATTACTTGCCTTGGTTTAAGGAAAACATCACATATATATATATATGTATATGACTGTATATGTATATATAATATAAGAAAAAAACTATATAGAAATATCATGGAACACTGGGTTCCCACATGTTCACTCGGTCAATGTGGAATCTTTCCGATGTTCCAATGTTTTCCAATGGTTCACCAGTGGGACATCAGCATCAGCTTCACGGGTTCATCTTGGTACTTTCCAATAGGTTGTGGTACCGACTTGGTAAGCCACTTTCCCCGATGGGTTTTCTGTTTCGTTTTGTGACCTTTCATATCCCCGTAGTGAATTTGTTGTGAAAGTGTTGGTGTGAGCAAATTTTATAGTGATAAACCTGGAGACATTGAAATTGCAAGGAGGATCCTTTCATCTACATTTCAATCTCCCTAGGTTTGGAGTGCAGAAGAAATGTCTGGGCTATAAGTTAGTCTATCCGCCCATTAACGATAGAATGCTTTACCATCTTAACATGGCTGTGGATAATGGTCCATGTATAGACTGTATAGATGATTGTCGCATTAAACATCTGGTTATGACATTCACAGTTCGCCCTGGGAAAATCCACCCATTTTAAAACGCTCCGCTCGGATTTTCCATCTATTTCTATGGGCCATCCATGGTTATGTAACAAATAACCAGAGGATATATCCCATTAAATCCCATTAAATCCCATTAAACCACCATTTTCCTATGGTTTTCCTATGGTTTTTCATGGGAAAATCTACTACATCTACTGTAAACATCTGTGATTTTCAGTAGCCATGTTGACGATACCGGGTAGATCTCTCCATAAACAAAATCCTGTGAAATCTTTCCACTTTTTAACCGGAAGGCGCGATGGAAATTCGACCAACAAAAAGCATGGATTTTTACCCATGGAAATAGATGGAAATAGGACAATCAATGGGATGATAATGGATTTGTGTATTGGATTGTAGTAGTTTTTAACAATTAATGAGATGATTATGGTATGACTATATGGTATGACTATATATGGGACGACTATGGACGACTATGGATTTTTCACTGAATTTCATTTAACATGTCTTCAGTCCCAATTCCAACTCCAACCATCTCGAACTCGTGGTCGCTCGGATGTTTCTTCCTCACCGCAGCTCCACGAAATGCCGCCGTGCAGCTCTAGCTGGAAGATTTTTGCGACGTGGCCTGTTTGGTACTTAATGGTACTCATCTCAATATGAACTTCGATCATATGGAGGTTTCCATAAATCAGGCTACCCCCAAATCATCGATTTAAATCGAAGTTTCCATGACAAACCGTTGTTTTTGGGGTACCCTGATTTATGGAAACCCCCATATAACTAGTGTTCCATAGTATAAGATACCCCAATGATCAACCACAGTGGTGGGCTATTTCTCAGTTCCCAGCTTTTGGAGATGGTTCTTAAAACCTAGGCAGCCAGTGGATCCCCCAAAAAAAGTGGCATGTCCTTTACCCTCTGGTAATTTAACGTAGCTATTGAAAATGGCCATTAATAGTGGATGCGGATTTTCCCATTAAAAATGGTGATTTTCCATAGCTATGTTAGTTTACCAGAGGGTAATCATCTTAGCTCCATGAATCGATATGATCTCGGCTTCATGGTTTTTCGGAGTCATCTCCAATTGACACATACAGCGACTATCGCGCGTTCTGAGTTTCCAGTCTTGCTGTTGCTGTTGTTTTTTTCCCTACGGCCGAGCTCAGCAAGGGGCGGTGAGACACACAAATCGAAGCTAAACCTGCCAAGCTGTGCGGATGAAGGGTGAAGTCAAGGCCAACCAAAAACTTGGATTAACCTAATAAATGGGGGGTTCGTGAATTATAACTTAAGGATTAACCCTAATACATGAAAACCATACATTACCCCGGTAGTTCACGCCAGGCAGGTGGCTTAGTTGCTGAAGCAATGACTGTGCCGTTTGACGAAGGACCCCAAAAAAAACTGTTGGTGATAGTTCCACTATCTGTTGGTGATATCCGCTAAAAATGGGTGTTCTGAATTTGAATGATCTATATCTCCAGTCGCTGGTGATGATTTCATTCAGATGATTCCCAACGTAAGTTCAGATTCAAAACACCTGCCTGTCTTTTGTTAGAATTGCAACTTGTCATATCATACGCCTTTTAATATATATATATATATACTCCACTTAAACATCCTATAGCTTCAATGTTTTGCCGTCAAATGTTGTAGTAAACAAAGAATTCACAACAGCAACCGAAAAAAGGTGGTGCGCAGCCCAGAAGTTTATCATGGCGATGTTTTCTTCACCAAATTGGCTATCAATGACATAAACTGGTTGGTGGTATACCTACCCCTCTGAAAAATATGAAAGTCATTTGGGATTATTATTCCCAATATATATATATATGGAAAATAGGTGGTTTTAACATGTTTTAACCATCTTGAAAAATATGAGTTCGTTAATGGGAAGGATGACATCCCATATATTACAAAAAATATTTTTTTTGTTCCAAACCACCAAGCAGTTTTGGTAAAATCATACTTTCTACCGGGGATAACCATCAACCAGACCTCCGTTGGCCCGTCGCCTAAAAGATATCGTCGTCGATCCACTTGCCGCATTTGACCAGCTCCGACCTCACAGTTTTATTCCTGAAGATCACAACTTTTATTCATGTACCATCAAAAAGACGCAAAAATAAAACATGTGACTTATCCCAAAAATGCTGATTCACCCAGATCAATCCATCTTGGTTTGCTTTTTAAACAATGGGGCCGAGATCCCAAATATGTCATTGGGGACACTTTACGATTGGACTGTATTAAATGCTGAGTTCAACTGGCTTATCCTCTGGTAAACTAACATAACTCCGGAAAATCACCACCTTTCATTGGTAAATCAACGAACTATCCATGGGCCATCTTCAATCGCTATGTCAGTTCCCAGTGATGGATGGTGACGGTGTTATAAGCACCAGTGATGTGACCCAACAAGAATGATGTGACATTCATGCTCAATCCATCATCATCCCTTATTTAGTTCGGTGATTTTCCCAACTAGAAACCTCCATTTATGATATTTCTGGGTGATGTACTGATATAGTTAATCCCCAGCTTTTGATGACCAGAGTGTCTATTTCATCTGGGTGAATCATAAGAATTCAACCATGTACTGTGTATATATATATATATATCTGGGTAAATTATAATATTTCACTAACCTGAATTAAGGCCCATTTGGGGATGATTTCCCTTATTAACTATGATTCCAGTGAGGTCGCAGTGAGTACCCAGATTAAGTCCATCTTGGGACAATTCCACTTGTTAATCATCATTCCAGTGACATTGCGACGCCTTAGGCCCTTAGAAATGATCCAGATATTTTGATGGTCAATCATGGTAAATACCCATGTGTTTAATGGTGGCATGCCGATTCTTCAATGCTGAACTCCCTGTTTCTTAAACAGTGAAATCCCCATGTATACCCTCTGGTAAACTAACATAGCAATGGAAAATCACCATTTTTAATGGGAAAATCCACTATTAATGGCCATTTTCAATAGCTATGTTAAATTACCAGAGGGTATATCCGATTCTCATCCTGGTTGATCTCAAAGCCTGGTTGTTGCAACCGAAATCCATGGGGTCTCTGGTCGCTGCTAACGCTGAGGGCGGCACTTTTTCATCATGACACTCTTATAATATTGACCCAGCCCTTCCACCGGATCCTGTGGCGCTGCAAATCGAGATCGAAGAGATCGAAGTTCAGCAGCTTGATGGCTTCAGCAAGGGAATTCATGTATCATTTATATGGTTCTATCTATGTATATATATATATTAATATATATATATATTAATATAATATATATATATATTAATATATATATATATTATATTAATATATATATATAATTATATATATAGGTATAATAGATCTTCTTGTAGATTAAGTATGATTAAGTGGGAGGGTCATAGGCTAATAGGTCCCAATCGGTCCCAATGATCATAGTAACCCCCAAGAATCACAACCTGGTGCCATGGTCCATCCCACAACGGCAATCCATGGCACCCAAGCGGCGAAAAAAAATTCTCACCCGGCTGGTGCTGAAACCCATGGATTCGAATGGTCAAAAAGAAACTTTTCTGTTGGTCCCTTCCATTGATTGCGTCATTGTTCATGGCCAAATTTGGAGACCTGAAATTCAGGGAGTTCTTCGTTGGTTTTTGGAGCCGGGTTCATACCCGGCTCGATCAAGTTGTGAGATCAGCCATCCGCTGGGTTGACCCAGAGTCAATCAACCATCATATACCCACTATATCTGATATCCCCATCATGATCAGCAAAAAACCCATGATATCCCTATCCCCATTCCCCATTCTATTCCAAGTCTTTTTGCTATTTTTCCAACCATGTTTCATCAGTTTTGATCGTTAAAACCACATTAAAACAGATGCTGAAATCCCGATGTTTAATCCCCCTGGATCCCCCAAGTCACTGAAATCCCCAATTTTTACGCCTCAACAATTCCCTGAAGTAGGGATGTATTGGTTACATTTGGTTACATCATAATTCCCAATACATCCCAAGAATTCCCATGATTTCCGTGAAAAAATCCAGGGATGTATTGGTTTTCACCCTTGGCGTCGGCCATCCGTGCCGTCCCGTTGCACCCGTCGCTCCTTGTTGTCCGGTGGCGGCTGCAGGACCGCCTTGATGACCGCCGGCGAGCGGGCCGCCAGCGGCTTGATGGGCGCAAGAGGCTCCCGCAGACCCAGCCTCGAAAAAAAAGCGGTGGATGGATGACTCCGATAACTATGGTTTATATGAATGTTTATGAATGTTTACAACATCCTATAACTCTAGTATTCATGGGTTTATAAACCAACATACACCAACAAACATCACTGGAGGTTTCCGAAGTCAAGGGTATGTACCCCTTCAATCATCCATTTGAATAGGATTGTCCACTATCAACCATCCAGCTATTGGGGTACCCCCATAAATGGAAACCCCCATTTGTTGATTACATGGTGGATCTTAGATACCTGCCAATCTAATATTTAGCTGGTTGGAACTACTACTTTCACCTTTGATAGCAAAAGATTAAAGTACTAAAGTATCTAACCAAGGTTGATCCAGATTATTATATATATACACATTTATATGTGGTATGCGTATACCGATATCTATCTATCTATCTATCTATCTATCTATCTATCTATCTATCTCTCTATCTATCTAGCGATCCAATGCAATCTACCTATCTAGCTATATGCCTTGCTACCTATCTGCAGTAGCTATCTAGCCATCTAGCTATCTAGCTATCTACCTATCTATACAAACGTTTATACGAATAATTTTGTAATATGAATATGATGTATATGAGCGCGATGTTCGATGTAGCAAGATGTATAGTACATATACATCATATATTACATAATCTATTGTATAGTACTATATTGGTATAGAAACTTTTTTGTACTATACAATAGTACATATACATACCCTCTGGTAAACTAACATAACTATGGAAAATCACCATGTTTCATGGGAAAATCCACTATAAGTGGCCATTTTCAATAGCTATGTTAGTTTACCAGAGGGCACATGTACTAGTCATCACTCCACTTTCAAAGTTGGTCATCTGGGGTCCCCAGGCTGTTCCAGAGCACCCGCAGCAGCCTTTTAAAAGACACAATGGACGCCCAAAACACGCCAGATCGACATGTAGGAGACAGGGGATGTTCCAGTGCTATTTGAATAGAGAAATTAATGTGTATATATATATATAATGTGTATATATATATAAATATGTACAATGTATATATATATATATAATGTATATATATACATAATGTATATATAATGTATTATAATGTAATGTAATGTAATGTAATGTAATGTATTTTTTGCATGTGTCTTAAAATCAGGGCACCCCAAACCATTGGTTTCACTATTTCAAATGCAGTTGGAGACCTGGGAATTTCCATGTTGAAACGGCATCAATAAACTGCTGCTTGGGCTGCTATCGATGGTTGAGTCCCATTGTTGACAAACCCAGATGGTCTTGGTCACGTTCCAATAGACAGAAACCCCCAAAGAAAGGTAGAACAGTAAAATCCTATTGAAATTAAATTTTGTATAAATCACGTTTCATAATTATTGGATATTATTTGGGGCTTACTATCAACCCAAAAGATAGAAAAACATAGAAAAACTAAATCCACTATAACTACTATAAAGCTACTTTGGGGGTTTCCCTCCCTTGATCAAACACAGCAATAGATAATCCCCGAAATAAATGGAGGTTTATAGCTGGGACAATCAACCATAAATAGTTGATGTTCCGCCCATGAAATTCCCAGCTAGAAACCTCCATTTAGTTTGAGGTTGTCCCATTGCCACGTTTGATTACCAGAGGGTACGTTATATTATATCCATTAATATTTCATCAATGTCCCATTCTTATTCCGTTATATCCCTATTATATCATATCCCTCTCATACCACCATGGTGCGTCCAATCCCCATAAAACCATAGAATGTTTACCGTACATGTGTTTATATGGGAATTGTTCAAAATTATCCCCAAAACTATCATATGATGTTTTAGAACGACTCCCATATGATGTCATAGAAAAATCTTTACTGCTGTGTTGCTTTTTTTTTTGCTATATTCCCAACATAATAGACAGTATTAGTATTACTGGTTAATTATTACACAATATTACTGGTATACGGTATACATACCCTCCAGTAAATTAACATAGACCCTGCCAGATAGGGGTTCGAAGATTAGTTTCCACTATAAATTGGTGATTTTCAGGGTCTATGTTAATTTACTGAAGGGTATATTGGTGGAATACTGCTATACATAGCCATATTCCCAAGACACGCATAGACACAGACCCACAGAGAGACCTCCTCCCAGCCTGGCGCACCATGTCGCTGGGATCGTTCATCATGAAACTCACCTGCCGAGGCGTTAGTTCAATGGCCCGACTGCGAGAAAAGCCACGGAAGTTCAGGGGTAGTTATATGATCAGCAACGAAAATCCAGATTTAAGGGGGGAATTTAAGAAGCAAGAAATATCAAGAAATATTGGAAGTTTAGTAACAAGACTGGGGAGTTATAGAGTCAACAACAGTGTGGGGGGGATCATAGGGAATATAAGGGGATTAACCAGCTTGAAAATGGTGAACAATCCAGGGGTGGGTGAGCCACCCAGAAACCCACCACCATGTTGGCCCTACTTTTGTTGGCCTTGACACTGTCCGTAGCTTCATGCAAGGCGCCCCAGAAAGTGTCGATGCACGTGATCCCAATCTTCGATGCTTACGGACCCATCTGTTATGTTTCAATCCCGGTTTCTCGTCGTTAAAGCTCTATCCGTAAACCCACTTGAAAGCCTACAACTACCATTTTTGCAGTTGAAAAAACATAAGTCAAATCAATCCCCAAGTCCAGATTTCCTCCCAATTCCCCCCAAAAAATGCTTAGCGTTCCAAGAGATATTCAGAACTGCCTCAAGAATTCCCTATCTACCCTCTGGTAATTTAACATAGCTATTGAAAATGGCTATTTATAGTTGATTTACCTATTAAAAATGGTGATTTTCCATAGTTATGTGCAAGTTTACCAGGCCGGGTACCATCATTCACATTGGCTATATCCCCATGAAGGTTTGGATGAAGACCCTATATATGTTTTCCAATTGTTTTCCCATAGTTTGCTGGCTAGCCACCAAATAACCACCAAACATGTTCCGAATTTCGTTCCATCATTCCACAATGATTCAATGATGGTCAATTTACTCCCGGTTTTCCAATAAATTTCCCGTCAGTTTATCAATACCATAGTTTTTCATCATATTTTGATGGTCATCATCATATGGGATTGATGATTCTCCATAACCCTCATCAATATACCCTCTGGAAATGTCAAAATAGCTATTGAAAATGGTCCATTTATAGTTGATTTACCGAACTTAAAGATGGAGATTTTCCGGTTCGCTACGTTAGTTTACCAGAGGGTAATAACCATAGTTTATGCATTCAATGTATCAATATATATTATATATATATGTATCATCCCTTCCATTGTCATCCCCATTGTCGAGTCCCTATATGTTCATATATCATACCCTCTGGTAAACTAACAGTTTGCTATTGAAAATGGTCATTTAGTTCGTTGATTTACCAATGACAAAAGGTGATTTTCCATAGTTATGTTAGTTTACGAGAGGGTAATATGTTTTTATAATAATGGATCAATAATGGTCATTATCCCATAGTTCTTCTCCATAATATCCTCATCAATCCCAGTCAAGCTCCAAAATTGCCCAACATGGTTTTTGGGAATTCAAAGTCTTACGATGTCTTACGTATACCCAGGCAAAGTCTTACGACTTGATGGAATCATCTGATGACAAAAGATCCTCAATACCCTCTGGTAAACTAACAGTTTACGAACTGGAAAATCACTATGTTCATAGCTAAATCAACTATGACCCATGACGGATCCATGGTGCTGGTTATGCTAACATAAAGGGGGTATATTGATGGGATCCATGGCACACCATATATAGCAGCACCCCGGCCTCGTCTTGGAAGCCTCGCGCTGCACCACCCATGACGCCCAGACCGCTCACCGCGGCTGCGCGCACCTCGCAAGGGCGAGGTAAATGGCATGGTTCACCTGGAAAAATGGAGGAAAATCAGAGAATTTGTTGGGGGGCTCCCTAGATTGCTAAGTTGCAATCTGAATCACTACTATAACCATCTATAACCTATAACTAGGGATAACTGTTGGGTTGATTAGGGAGATACGACTATAGTTTTATAAAGATGCCAACTTATAATTAGGTCCCGCTTTGTAGGGATTTCTGGGATATTTTGACGGGATATTTCACGGGATGATCTACACTCTGGCATGCAACTCCCATTTGAGTTCCTTTGACGCTTCTTTGTTGATGCTTCATTTTCCATGGCTAGCTGTTGCTTTGCTGGAGACTCAAAAAACTAATTCTTGGCTGGTGGTGTTACAATGTTCAAAATATGTTCAAATGATGATCTAAAGAAATACGTAACAAAGCAATGATTCACCCATCAAACCAAGGTTGACCCACTCGGAAATACGCCACCATTTCTTTCCGGGGGTTCAAAAATTGGGGACCTTGGCCTAGAGGCTAGAGGAATTCGATATTTCTCCCAAAGTTAGATGGAGATGTTTCTGCCACCACCAATGCTACACTGAAAGCTATAGCAGTATCATCTAGTCACTGTAAAAATCATCCCCATCAATAGGCAAAACATGTATGGGGTTGTCTGATGTTGTCTGAACATACGGTACACCCAACCCCCGTTTTATCAATGGTCATCATTCTCATTTTGTCGATATTAAATTTGCATAAATTCACCTGTCTCCCCCCTTTTCAGACATCACGGTATCCAGCACCTGTTTAGGGGTTACATGGGGTTACAAATAATGATGTAAGACTTTTTAGTACATATGCCCATGAAGATGGTAAGATGAAGTTGTACTACCCATCCAGTTGCTTCAGATATCTTCAGATGGCATCTTCCCATATTCCCAATATGAAATTCCCATTCATATCATTCATATTCCTGAAATATCCTGAACTTTCACTGGTTGGTGGTGCAATAACCATCTTGAAAAATATGAGTTCGTCAATGGGAAGGATGACATCCCATATATGAAATGGAAAATAAAATTCATGCTTGAAACCACCAATCAGTTCAGATATCCATTAGATACCCTCTGGCAAACTAACAGTTTGCTATTGAAAATGGCCCAGTCGAAATAGTGAGTTTTCCCATGAAAAATGGGTGGATCTTTCCATAGTTTTTCGTCTGTTCACCAGGCCGGGTATGTTCCATGGATGTCCCATCCCCATCCCCAATCGATCCCGGATCTTGCGCCTCGGGGCTCGGGTCCATCAGCTGAGTGGCGACTACGCCCACATAGCACTCCGCTAAGCTTTCATGTCTTGCGAGGCACCAGACCTCGGGTGAGCGCAGGGGAGGCTCTGGGGCCAAGATTCTACCAAGATTTTTATGGAGTGAGTGGGCCGCTCTGGGGCTATGGCATAAGAATTTACCCAAAAAAAAAGATAGGGCTCTAGTTCTGATGATGGGATTCTTATATATGTTTCGGGGTAAGATGGGGATATGACCAACATCCATATGTTTCTTTATATCCCCTGACACCAGGATATTTTGGGGTAGTTACTCCTGAGAATTATTTGGGTGACGTCGCAGTGAGGTCTTTATAATGTATCCAGATATCATGGAGTAATATGATCAGGTCAAAAAACAGGTGGATGAATTACATTTAATTACTAAGGTATACTAAGGTCATAGTTATAACTTGCAACACCCAAAAACCTACCCTCTGGTAATTTAACGTAGCTATTGAAAATGACCATTTATAGTGAGTTTTCCCATTAAAAATTGTGATTTTCCATAGTTATGTTAGTTTACCTGAGGGTAGCTAGTTCTACAGGATATCTGTAGATGTCAGGCTGGTTTGTTCACTACTTAAGATACAGAAACCCCAGTGATTTCATGGTGTTTCCATCCCACTCAGCCCCTGACAGCTGCGGCACGCACCTGGAAAAAAACCACAACGGATCGGAATTATGGAGATGCCACTGCTATCAATTTTAATGACAAATATGGATGTAATTGTATGATATATGGATTATCTTGTAGGGCAACTGTAGATTATCTGGATTCTGGATTGTATCCCGAGCCGCGCCTCTGCCTCTTGATCAGTGATTGCCTTGAAGACTTCATGGCCTCACAAGTCGCCAACCATTTTTTTTCGATGTCGGGGGGGTAAATCTGCAGTTTCTGGACAAGTTCATATATTAGTAGAGAATAGTAGAGATATAAATACTATAAGTACTGTCATAATTAATATCATTCTCATTGTTACTATCAACCACTATTATCAACCACTGTTTACAATTACAACATGTCTCACAACATTTTTTCACAACTTGTCATATTCATATAATTATATAGATATACCATATATATATATATCATAATATTATGTAAGACTATGATATATATTTATATATATGAATGATAGATAAATATATATATATATATACACCATATATATATATATCATACCATATATCAAATTCCATATTATGACCATTTTACCTGGCTCTACCCAACAAAATCAGACCGGGCTCTCCGGGCAATACTCCTCGGCACCTCTGACCAAGTCGGCTGCGGCCGTCAAGGCAGCGCACCTCCCCCGGTCGACCCAGACGGGGACGGGGGAAGGAGGTCCCACCCATGGACGATGGGTCGGGTTTGTCATGTTTTTTCCACCGGTTTAAACAACCGGTTGTTCAACTGATAGTTTTCCACGTTACTTTAATTTTTTAGGATCTTGTTTTTGGAGCGGTTGCATGGCTTGTGAAGATCTTTTGATCCTTAGATCTTCTGGATCCGGCCCTCTGGCAATCTAACCTGGCTGGACAATCACCATTTCTCTCTAGCTACCGTCTACGTCGGGACTTACCAGCCTTTGATCAGCTAGTGAGACGGGTATCATACTGTACGTAACTTATAAAATATGTATAGATATATATATATATATACATACTGGTTGGTGGTTTAAGCATCTTCAAGAATATTAGTCAATGGGAAGGATTATCCCATATGTATATATATATATATGGAACAATAAAAATGGTCCAAACCGCCAACCAGTATATACATATACCTCAAGAAGATTGTTCTTTTCGCTTTGGTATAGTGGTTATCATCTCCTTCTGGGTTGTTCTTAATTGGGCGGAACCCTCTTTTTCCCCACCTGCCAGGTGAGGGTTGTTAGATTTTATGTCAGTTGCCTCCTCCTGCCTCCTGCCTCCTGCCTCCTCCTCCTCCTCCTCCTCCTCCTCTCCTCCTCGTCCTCCTCGTCCTCCTTGTCATCCTTGTCGTCCTTGTCGTCTCGTCCTTCGCTCAACTGCGACCCGCGATCCACAGTGTTCTCTGCCGGACCTCAACCACGACCATCCACGCCCAGTGTTCCCTGCCGGACCTCAACCACGACCATCCACGCCCAGTGTTCCCTGCCGGACCTCAACCACGACCATCCACGCCCAGTGTTCCCTGCCGGACCTCAACCGCGAGTATCCACGCCAAGTGTTCCCTGCCGGACCTCATGTAGGAAGATATGGGACAAAGAATGTGCAGAAGAAAGTTAGAAAGAATGTCAGAAAGAATGTCAGAAGATATGCCAGAAGATATGCCAGATAGATGCCAAAAAGAATGCCAGATAGAATGCCAGATAGATAGAATGCCAGAAATATGCCAGAATGCCAGAAGATATGCCAGATAGAATATATGCCAGAAGATATGCCAGATAGATATGCCAGAAGATTTGCCAGATAGAATGCCAGAAGATATGTCAGAATATATGCCAGAAGATATGCCAGATAGATGCCAGATGCCAGAAGATATGCCCAGAAGATATGCCAGAAGATATGTCAGATAGAATGCCAGAAGATATGCCAGATAGAATGCCAGAAGATTTGCCAGATAGATGCCAGAAGATATGCAGAATATATGCCAGAAGCCAGAAGATATGCCAGATAGAATGCCAGAAGAATGCCAGAAGATATGTCAGCCAGAAGATATGCCAGATAGAATGCCAGATAGAATGCCAGATCCAGATAGAATGCCAGAAGATATGCCAGATAGAATGCCAGAAGATATGTCAGATAGAATGCCAGAAGATATGCCAGATAGAGATATGCAGAAGATAGAAGATATGCCAGATATGCCAGAAGATATGCAGATGCCAGAAGATATGCCAGAAGAATGCCAGATAGAATGCCAGATATGAGATAGAATGCCAGAAGATATGCCAGATAGAATGCCAGAAGATTTGCCAGATAGAATGCCAGAAGATATGCCAGAAGATATGCCAGAAGATATGCCAGATAGAATGCCAAATAGAATGTCAGAAGATATGTCAGATAGAATGCCAGAAGATGTGCCAGTAAGAACATGTATAAATGTCATGGTGGGGATCACACGAAGTAAAGTAATTGTATATTTTTTTTGTATCTTTTTTGCCAACCAGATCAACCAGTGAGAAAAAGACATCGGACAAAAAATGCCACGATCTTCATATTTTCAATGTACATTCGGGATCTGAAGGGTAATTCACATCATTTAACATCATTTAACATCTTTTGGTCTCAGGGATTCTATGTTTTCACATACAGGATGGGGCCCCCAAGATAGCTAAGTTGGTTTATGAGTGGCTTAACTATGGTTTATGGTAGATATAACTATAGACAACTATGGTATTCATGGGGTTTATAAACCAACTTACAACTGGAGGGCCCCATCCTGTACCCATCTGTAGGGATTCTGGCTGGTTAACACTCACGCCTCACGGGCGCTGAGGGATCTTCAAAGGCTTGTGCTAAGCCTGGAAGCGCCTGCGGAAATGACCACATTTTTGCGGCTAAAACCGGAACCGGTGAAACCGGAACCCCAAACAAAATTGGGGGATTTTGACCAATACTGGTTGGTGGTGCAACAACCATCTTGAAAAATATGAGTTCGTCAATGGGAAGGATGACATCCCATATATTATTTCAAAAATGTTTGAAACCACCAAGCAGAATAAAAAATGGGGCTTGTTCAGCATCAAAATTCTAGTTGAGAGTTCAAACTATAAAGGGGTGACAACACGGTTTTTCACCAGGAAATTTGGACAACACTATCTCCTATAGGATGTCGGAATTCTCAGCTGTAGATCGTCATTGATCCTATGTGGTGGACATCTGCAGTTCTTCGACATCTGTAATCAAAGGTGGCTTGGAAAGTCCATCATTGATGATGCCCCGGCTGCCACGTTTCAAGACACTGGGGGGATGCCATTGATCATATAAACAAGTAATTCTGCAATACACTAATACAGTTACAAATCTGTGTATATATAGTATTTGGTTCGATTTGGTTCGTAGAAAACTCTCTCAGGTTCGCATATTTAAGTACTTTTCTTGATTGATGTTTGTTTCAGTCTATCATCACCCATCATCACCTATCATTTAGGTGATTTTCCCAGCTAGAATCTTAAAACCTTCCATTTAGTTCGGGGACTTTCCATGGAATTTCATGTACGATGATTTTCGCTAGAACCTTCCATTTATAATCATTTAAAAGCATGGCTTATAACCATCATTTAGTAAGATGATATCCCCAGCTATAAACCTCCCATGTATAGGGAAATGTCCCTAATATGTTCCCCATGCTTACCCTCTGGTAATTTCTTACATAGCTATTGAAAATGACCCATTTAGTTCGTTGATTTACCGAACTTAAAGATGGTGATGTTCCAGTTCGCTACGTTAGTTTACCAGGCCGGGTATCTCACAATTTTTTTGCCTGAAAATCCTTGGATGAAAACCAGCTTGAAGCGCGCCTCCGGCATCCGCAGCGCGCCCAAGGCCCCGCAGGCCGCGGCACGTACCTGGTGCTTCTCGAAGTGCGGGAAAACCCTGGGGAAATGGATGGGAATTTCTGAATTTCGTTGGCACATGATGGAAATGTCATCTAAAGTAGGAATGTCATCTTTCCTTGGGAAATACCCTCTGGTAAACTGACATAGCGAACTGGAAAATCACTATCTTTAATGGGTAAATCCACTATTTCGACTGGGCCATGTTCAATAGCAAACTGTTAGTTTACCAGAGGGTAGTTTGAAGAAATGAAGAAAGTTGTAAATACACGTGAAAACCATTCATGACATCTTGAAAACCTCTTACTATATATCTAGCTAGGACCAAAGCCTATGGAATCCCTTTGTCTGAAAATTGCACCCTCAAGAACGGTTAAAACTTCATAGGGAAAATCATAGTGACCCAAAAAAATTAGGGGCAGACCCATATGGCTGGACCTGGATCATCTCTCCCCTGGATTTCACTGATCCGCTACCATGGACCAAAACCAATAAAGTGATTCAATAGGTAGCTTCTTAGAGTACTGTACATGAATCATAAAAAAATATATATATACACAGTACATTTGAACATTACCCTCTGGTGAACTAACATAGCAATGGAAAATCACCATTCTTACTAGGAAAATCCACTATAAATAGCCATTTTCCATTGCTATGTTAGTTCACCAGAGGGTACAAACACATTTGATGATGTCGTTTCACACGCAACCGACATAAGCGCCTTGCAATGGTTCAAATTTCGAGATCCCATTCACCAACTGAACCCCAACTGGGGGGTCATTTTAGGTCATCCCATAGGGGAAACAAGCCAATTTCATAAAGCTCTCTATTGGGGATAGTGACTATCTCTGTATTCACATCCCATCATGTTCATGAACATTTTCCATTTCTTACCACTATATTTTTTCTATAGTATCCCATTTAAAAAAAAAAAAATCACGTTTCGATGTATTACATAATTATCCCATGATTATGCTTCAATCTCCCACTCTGCTCCTATTTCAATCCATATTATCCCATGAATATCCTACGACTATAGAATTATTGTCATTCATGTTCCATATTACTACTATATCAACCAGTACCATCTGGTAAATTTTCACATAACGAACTGGAAAATCCACCCATTTTCAATAGGTAAACCATCTATTTCTATGGGCCATGGCTTCCATGGCTATGTTAATAACCAGAGGGTATATTCTCTATATATTCTCAACTTGTCACATGGTGATGCCAGGCTCAAACAGTTGGATCCCCACCAGATAGAAGTCGTCCCGCAGTGCTCCGATCAGCGCTGGAAGGTACTCGCTGGCCGCCTCTGCGGGTGACCAGCGAGTGACCGTCTGGGCGCACCCAAAGTGATGTTTGTTGGTTTATAAACCATAGTAACTAGTTCTATTTATATATTATATATTATGTATATATACGTATATATATATATATATGTGTGTGTGTATGAATAATTATATAGATACCATAAACCCTAGTGAAATTGGAGTATGATACTTATGCTTATTTGTAGGGGCCAGTATCAACTAAAGTTGTGAATGTTGGTTTATAAACAGCAGGGATACTATAGTTATAAAATGTTATTTGCGTATCATAAACCATAGTGAAATTGGAGTTATGTTCACCAGCGCAACGCGATTTCGTTTGGGGGCCTCACTTTGTGATACGTTATCCAAGAAAAAAAAGAATTTAACCCAAAAAACACATTGGATATATATATATATCATTGGAAATTCATGTTAGATTCATGGCTGATCATCGAATCTTCTTTCCTGGCCTTATCTGGTAGTAAACATACAAAAAACGATGGAAACTCAGCGAGTTGCCATGGCCTCACCCAGCTTCGCCATTGCTTCAGCCGCGGCAAGACGCACCTGCCAATGCCCATCCAACAGGCCCTGGCCGCCAGTTGAAAAATGGTGAGAAAAATGGGGATTTCACCAACGAGCATGGGGATAGTCATGGGAAATTCATGGGAAATTCATGCAGAAATAAAAATTTCATGGTTCTGAATTCGATGGCGAATTGAAGAAGTACTTCGGAGATTTGATGATCCAAATCCAAATGGGATTGAGGATGATTAAAAAAATTATCAATCCATTGGGTACCCTCTGGTAATTTAACATAGCTATAGAAAATCCACCCATTTTATTGCTGGGAAAATCCACTATTTCGACTGGGCCATCTTCAATAGCAAACTGTTAGTTGTTAGTTTACCGGAGGGTAATTCTGGTATCCAATGATGATTGAGAGGGATTGAGAGGGAAGTCCAAATGGATGAGCACACCTCATCTCCGGCATTTTGTTGTATGATTTTTTTCATGCGAGTTTTGTTGGTTAGAACTTATGGACCTTATGGAGAAAAATAACTATTTTTATGGGCTAAGTCATAATCCTATCAAATCATCTTAAATCCCAATTATTGTTGCTTGAATCCCATGAAAAATCATTAAAAAATCGCCCATGTTTTATTGACTCAGACCTGTAAAAACTCTCCTTTCTGTTGGGTTAAATCCCACATTTCTACAGTTCTGCCCCCATTGCAAAAGGACCCACCTGCGCCACTGCTTTGGCACTACCTCTGGCGCCCATGGCACCCAGGGCCATGATAGCCGCACCTTGGAGGATTCCGGAAATTGGTTATCCCGATTGCTGATGGTGAAAAATCATACCCTCTGGTAATTTAACATAGCTATAGAAAATCCACCCATTTTATTGCTGGGAAAATCCACTATTTCGACTGGGCCATGTTCAATACCGTAGGGTATTGCCTGGCTTGGAGATTTTGAACTAAGCTATGGTAGGGAAACCTATCAAGAATAATGAGATGGGCAAATGGGGTAGCCGGTACCGGTACGAAAAAACATAGCTAGCTAGGAAATCCCGGCGCTAAATGAAGGTGTATAGCTGGGAACATCATCAAACTCAATGGCTGATTCTCCAGCCAGCGACGTAAACCTCCATCGGGGATGGTGTGTGATTGGGCTTATTACCTTAATAAGATGGGAAAACCTATGGATAATAGTTGAGGCTTAGCCAACCATTATCAATAGGAAATAACATCACAGACTGAGCCTTAATTATACCATAGGTTGAGGCTCAACCCTAGTTATAAGTTGGTTTAGAGGTCCAACAACTAGGGTTAAGAGGGTTAGGTATATCTATAGTCAATGAGGGATGAGAAACCAACTAACAAAACTGGGCGGTACGCCCATATTACTATCGTTATTATTATTCTTATAATTATTGATGTTTTCTTATTATTATTTGTGTTATTATAGCTGGGATACCATAATATAATCCATATTCACCGTATCATAAATAAGAATAAACCATCACATAAACCTCATGTTGCATCCCAGATGGAGATGTACTTAATTTTATAAACCTCAAACTTGGGGATGGCTTATGGCATTGGGTTATTAATAATAGGTTGAGGTTTCCCTACAGTATCCGTACCATAGTTTGAGCCTCAACCAACTATTGTAACCTGTGGATAATAAGGGCTTAGGCAACCATTATATATATATAATCTGGTTGGTGGTTTAACCATCTTGAAAAATATCAGTCAATGGGAAGGATTATCCCATATATTATGGCAAATAAAAAATGTTTGAAACCACCAACCAGTAATCATAGCAACCATAGTAACTATAATAATTAACCAGAGTAATCATACTTATTACCATAGTATTTTCACTCGCCTGAAAACTTCGGCCATTGATGATTATCCCGAAAAAACCTCTGGTAATTTAAAATAGCGAGCTGGAAAATTACCATGTTGAATAGATAAATCAACTATGAATCACCATTTTTCATAGGTAAATCAACTATGAATCACCATTTTTCATAGGTAAATCAACTATGAATCACCATTGTTCATAGGTAAATCAACTATGAATCACCATGTTTCATAGGTACGATGAATCACCATTTTCAATAGGTAAATCAACTATAAATCATAATTGTTCATAGGTAAACCAACTATGAATCAACAATTTCAATAGGTAAATCAACTATGAATCACCATTTTCAGTAGGTAAATCAACTATAAATCACAGTTGTTCATAGGTAAATCAACTATAAATCACCATTTTCAATAGGTAAATCAACTATAAATCACAATTGTTCATAGGTAAATCAACTATGAATCACCATTTTCAATAGTCATGTTAAATGACTGGGCATCCCTTGCAGCGCGGCATAGCCATCTCCGCGGGCACCCGCTGCCCCGCGCTGCTTAGCTGCGGCTTCGGCGCCTCCTATGGAAAATCCCTGGGAGTTGACCATCAAACATGGTGAAAAATGGGGGATTGAAGCCTCAGATTGGCTTTGTGATCAATGGTATACTCTATATATAATATGGATATAATATTATATTATTCTATTCTATTTTATTATATATTTATTATATTATGTTATATTATGTTATATTATGTTATATTATGTTATATTATGTTATATTATATTGTATAATATTATGTTATATTTTGTTGTGTTATATTATATTATATATTATATTCTATATTATATTATATTACAATATTATTTATTATATTATTTATTATATTATATAATATAATACATTATATTATATATTATATTATATTATATATTATATATTATATATTATATATTATATATTATATATTATATATTATATATTATATATTATATATTATATATTATATATTATATATTATATATTATATTATATATTATATATTATATTATATATTATATATTATATATTATATATTATATATTATATTATATTATATATTATATATTATATTATATATTATATATTATATATTATATATTATATTATATATTATATATTATATTATATATTATATTGTATATTATATATTATATTATATATTATATATTATATATTGTATTATATATATTACATATTATATATATTACATCTTACATATTGTATATTATATATTATATATTATATATTATATATTTTATTTATATATATAATTATTATATGTATATTATAATTAGATATATAATATCCATCAACAATGGAACTAGTATGTTCATGGTAATCTATCCAAAGATATCCCACTATATCCCCATGATATCCTCAGTGTGGTTGCTATTCTATCAAGGAAAAAACCCATGAAACCATATACAAGCCAGTCCTGATACATGCTTTAAACACATAATGACATGGATTCTCTCTCATATCACGGTTTCCATAAATTAAAACATTAATAAAATGTCACTTCACTGAACAATAGCACTATTGAGGCTTAACACGCACTGCTCATATCCGGTTATATCCTGTTACAGTATATCCAGCTGCATTGATCCTCCGAGTTAGCTTACACCGAGTCACCCCAAGTCACCCATCGAGATCCATCAATACCAATGTTGCGTAAATCCCTGTGCTAAATCCATTAAACCCCGGAAATAAAACCAGAAGATCCCCTGGCGCGGGTCAAACCATCATTTGTATAATTAGCCATGTCTAAGTGTTAACTCCCAGTATATCCCCAGGTAAATACCATTAAATCCAAGTAAATACCATGAAACTAGCATGAAAATGCTATCAAGTCCCATTGAATCATCAAATCAGCATGAAGTCACCATATAAAATCACAAAAAAAAGCCTCTAAAGAAATCGGACAACAAATTCGCATTCACCATCCAAAATCACCATAAACATCCTACCATCCTACAGTCGCCCTCCTAGCTGTTTGGCTTTCCGCCAGCTCCCGCAGTCGTCCTCCATATCACTGACCAAGGTGGCCACCAACTCGGCACTGAGCTTCGCCTCGCTGCCCATCTGCGCCAAGGCCACACAGCAAGCCTCGCATGGGAAATTCCCTATGAATGGAGGCTTTTAATATGTTCTAATATGTTCTAATGGGTATATCCAACATTATCCAACTATAATTCTGGGTAAATTATCATATTTCACTAACCTGAATTAAGGCCATTTGGGGATGATTTCCCTTACTAACCATTATTCCCAGGGGAGGACAGTGATCAAATTTACCCAGAATTGTGTGCTCCCTTCATACTGGTTGGTTGAGAACGGAATTATTCTCCGTTTATTGCGATAATCCCCAATACAGTGGTCAGTGGTTAGTGATGGTTAGTGTAATCCCCAAACTCATCACATCAACCAACGGAGGTCTAGCAGCCACTGCTCACTAATGGTGTGAATCCAACGATCATCAACCAACTCTGGTCATTTGTTGCATAGCTATTGAAAATCCCCCATTTACAGTTGATTTACCCATTTAAAAAATGGGGATGGCAGGCCAGTTCGCTACGTTGGAACAACTACCGAGGCTACCCAGACCCCAAGACCACTGGACGCCAAAAAACCGCTCGTTGGCCGACATCTGAGGATTTCAACATGGCCACGAGCTGGTCGATCTGCGGCCAAGGTGGCTTAACCTACCCTCTGGTCAAACGCAATTGAAAATCCCATAAGGTTTTACTGGGAGAATCTATAAATCAGTGATTTTCCATTGCTATGTTTGACCGGAGGGTAATCCTGCTATGATCAGGGGATTTGATTATCAAAATGGGAACTCAACCCGTAAAAATCTGGACTTGACCCACAGAAAATTGGATCATCCGGAAACTTTGGGTCCAGATCTAAACTAAACCACGAAAAACCTGGATATTGTGATTTTTTAAGTAGGAAGCAGTGCTGTGGCGGAAAGCCTTTGAAGGCTTACCTCATCCTCACAATCCTGGGCATCCTCATCCTCATCATCATCAGAACCACTGCCATCACAATCAAAATGGATAAATCATGGTATAAACAACTACCATTGTTGGTCCTAAATCCCTATTTTTGATAGTTACATCCCCATGCGTGCCAATTAATGTCTAATCTTATTTTTTTTGATCGTTAAATCCGTGGTTGATATTCAATCCGCATCTCTTTGAAAAGAATTTCCCCATTTTTCGATGGATTGGTTTATAGAAGGGAAAATCGTAACCGGAAACCATCGATTTTCCCATGAAATATGGGGCTGTTCGGTTAAGATGTTCCCTTAAACCAATCCAAACATGGAGAAGCACCATCTTTAATTTCGGTAAATCAACTATTTTTACATAGCCATGGCTTCTATGTCGCAGTAACGAATTACCAAAGGCTACCCTCTGGTAAACTAACAGTTTGCTATTGAAAATGGCCCAGTCGAAATAGTGAGTTTTCCCATTAAAAATTGTGATTTTCCATAGTTTTTTGTATGTTTTCCATAGAAATAGTTGATTTCCCTATGAAAATTGGTGATTTTAACCATCGTTTTTTGGGACTGTTTACCAGGCCGGGTCACCACCGTCATAAAACCACCGAATCTTTGGTGAACTCTCCCCGGAGGCACCGTCTCTTTGGAAGCCGCGACCGTCTCCGCCATGCCGCCCAAGGCCAGGGCGGCAGCATAGCCTCGCAACGAGCGACCGAAACCGAAACCGCAACGTTAAACCTCTTTTTTGGGGGGCGAAGTTACGGAATCACCCCTAAAAATAGAAACATGTTAATAATATATATATATTATATTATATATTATATATATTATATATTATATTATATATATATGCTTTCCACTCTAAGCCTAACATGATGGATCTTCTATAGAAACCCTAAAAAAGATATTGTCCGATCAATTTCATAGGCTAATCCTACGAAGTTTACAGATAAATCTACTATCTGTAGTAAATGATAGATGATGCTATAGTTTGTAGATTTATCTGTAAATGATAGTATATACATAATATATATGTATATTATATTATATATATATATATGTTTATAGTAATTTATCAATATGTGTCATCTACTATCCATATAATTTACATCTATGTTTATAGATTTACATGTAATTTATCATATGCATATATAGTAATCTTTGTATTTCATAGTATTTCTTTCTATAGTAATAGTAATAGTAGATTTTAGGAACCCCCCATGGACTTTATCTAAGTCGTCTACAGCGATATTCCCATGTGCCGGGCCACGAGTGCTCACATCCGCATCTGCCAGGCGCTCAGTCACCTTCGGCAGCAGCTTCGCCGGGGCCTGGCTTCAGAGTTCCCCCTGAAAAAAATGCTGAGAAACTGGTGCTTGAGGGTATGGTGGAAACATCAGCCAGAAAAAATTCCTGAATAATGAGAAATTGGGGAAAACCCATGGTTTATTCTGGTTTCTGAAACCATGGTGGATTTTGTTCGGATTTCACCATGAATGATGAGAAATTGGGGATTTTTTGGGGGGAAATTCCACCATGATTTCACCCAAAATCCTTGAGAAACCTTGGGATTTGAGGATGAAAATCGCACCAAAAATATCCACCAAAAATGGGGAATTGAACTATCACTGCGTTGGTTTTAAGGCAAAAAAAGGTCGAAAAGCCATGGTTTTTACTGTAAAATCGAGGGATTTCATGCCAGTGGAGCCAACAAGGTTTGAACTAACAAAGATTGTGCGAACAGACATGAGATTTTCACGGAACCCCTGAATGCCCAGATAGGGGATAGATCCCCTTGGTGAGTCCCCAAAATCTCCCCTTACCAAAGTCCCCTGTTGGCTCAATCCTACAAAACCTCATCAAAATAGAGAAACCCACCTTGGGGCCCAGGAAAGCCATAGCTTTCAAGGCAGAATATGCCAAGCGAGGTGTCGCAAGCCTGGGTCGCTGGGCAAAAAAAGGCTTGGTATCCTACTTGGATAGGCCATGGTTAGGCAGTCAAGTGAATGTTAAGTACATCACTAAGGATGAAGTATAGGATGATGATCGCCAGTTAGCTATCCATGACCCAACTAGGCAGGATCCCCCTTTTTAAACGTTGGCAACACCAGCCTTGGGTCCCCAAGCCCCTTGGCAAATTGGGTCTCTAAAGTCTGGGGAAACCGGGAAACCCACCTGTTTGGGAAAAAACCGACCCCCAAAAAAAAATGCAGAAAAGTTGAAGCCAATCCTAAAGTTTGATAGGTAGAGTTAGCTCGTTCTGCATCTGTATTGGGTTTGCGGCATCAATCACCTTGAGCCAAGGCACATCTCACCCAGCTTCTGTTCTCGAAAATCCTCTGGGAAGCAACTCTCCTGGAGATGTGGGCTGTTCATAGGAACGATTATAGATTGTTCAACTCATGAAGTTGAATATACAATAGTGTTGAACTCATTCAATATTCAAGATTAGATCATGATTGATTCTCGTCGGCATTGATTATGATGATAGTGGAATATGTGATCAGGCAATAGTCAATCAGTCAATTGTTATCTTTTGAATCAAAATCTCAGAACATGAATACTCATTGGAAATTCCATAGCTGTTCTTACTGAAATGCCACAACAAATTGAAATCTTCGATCTCCCATCACCAAAGACCTCCATTTTTTGACAAATTTCGGTGGGATTTCAGGGTTCAAATACCTTCCGGGGGAAGGTTTGGAAGTCGAGGGATCGCACCCCTACTTTTCATGGAACTCACTCTGATTGGATTGGTTTAAGGGAAAATTTACAGGAAACCATAGAGTTTCCCTTCTTTCATATGGGGCTTTCCGGTTAAGATGTTCCCTTCAACCAATCCAATGACACTCTGTTTTCCTAAAAAACAGCACTATATCCCGAGCTGCTGATTTCCGAAGTATCCCTCTCACAGCCGAACAGAAAAGAACAGCCAGTCGTCTTGTGAGCCCATCACACTGACAAAAAAAACCCTCTGTATCTTAGGAGAACCTTCATGTCATCACCATTTATAGAGGATTTTCGGAAAAAAAAAAAACTTGATGAATCCCAAAAAATCTCAAAAAAAATCAGAAGAAAACGTTGATGCCCCGTTGTTTCCCCATTCTCAGATGCACCAAAAAATGTAGGGGTGAGTTATATGTCAAGTAGTTATATCCCATGGAAATATCCTCTGGTAATAACCAATATATTACGTGGATTATATCCAATATATCCCAAGTAGTTATATCCCATATATTACCATTGGATGATGAATACCCTCTGGTAATCAAACGTGGCTGGCTGGAAAAATCCTCGAATGAAATGGCTGATTTTCCAGCTGGCTATGTTGACACCGGAGCCCCAGTAGCTCCGATACATACATCATTCTCGTGATGTCGCGGTGAGGTCGGTATGATTCATCCAGATTAATAGATATTATATATATATATATGTAAGAGATGATTTCCCCCATGATTCTCGATTTTCCATGGTGAAACATGTGAAACACATTCCAATAGCCTTTCTCACATGCTTTTCCCATTTTTTTTTTCGGCTTTTCAGATGTTCCCCATGTTTTTCCATGACTTTCCCATGGATGTTTCCCATGGTTTTCCCATGTTTCTCCCATGTTTCCCATCCACCAGCACCAACCCAGCCCCGCGCCGCTTCACGCGTCAGCGCACTCAGCTGCGCCAGAACCTCCACCAAGGCGCCCACGACTTCGGGCACCTCCCGTCATGGCCATGGTTTAATGATGTTTAATGGGTATCAATTATAATGGCCATGGTTTAATGAGGTTTAATGATGTTTAATGGTTTAATGATGTTTAATTAAGTTAGTTTATAACCCCCATCAACTAGTTTGATATATCTACCATAAGTCCTACTTATTGTAGTTATGTTCACCAACTTAGCTATCGAACTGGGGCACCACTATGTGGGTATCAATTACCATGGCTATTTGTTCATTCATTGGAGGGACCTAGGACCTACCATATAAGGCCTAAGGATCCTGAAATGACCAGGGGTATTTTCATGGTTTAACCAATTTTTCATGGCTATGAAGCATGGTAATGATGGACTATATGGATGTATATTATATCTATATCGGGTTGGTGGCTATTTGTCAATGAGTCATTGTCAATTTTTGGGTATTGATACAGTGGCTATTTAGGTTCCTCGATTACCATGGTTTGACAAATGTTTAATGGTTATTTGTCAATGGTCATTTCAGGAATCGATTCATTGGAGGGACCTACCATTAGCAAAAGGGCCTAAGGATCCTGAAATTACCATTGAATTTGTGGTTTAAGCAATTGTTCATGGCTATGAAGCATGGTTTCATACCATTTTCATGTGAAACCAGGGAGGATGATGGTTAATAAAAAATGTCCGTGCGTTCTATCTTTTGGGAATGCTAAGTTGGAAAAATTCAAAACTGTTTGATTGATGGTGTTAAGTATCTAATTTATCTAATGTATGATCATGTTTGATGGTGTGTCATGTTCACCATTGATGGTAGATGATTCTTGATGGTGTTTCACCATGCTGTTTCATGGTGGTTTTCACCATGGCACCTGGAGTTTCAAATCCAGCGAAACCAGGGATGGCATGATCAAACACAGTCGAAACAGCATCAAAAATACCTTGGGATTGCCACATTCTGAGTCTACATCTTTCCAGTGTTATGTGTCTGCAAAGATATACCATGTGGATGCATATTATCTATATATAATATATTATTGTATATTATTATATATAATATATTATTATATATATATTATATATATATTATTATATATATATATTATATTATATATATTATATACAGTATATATATATACGTGTGAATGGGTTTTTGACCAAAAAATAGTGGATTTTCCCAGATTGCATTTCTTTATGCAGAAAATGATTGTCTGAACACGTCTAAACCATAGAATGCTGGGGTCCTGCTTTCAGACAAAACCCATGAAAAAAAACTGCTTGTGAACCATGCCAGTCCGGTCCAAGCAGGGAGGTGTTCACTGGAAAAAGCTGGAGATTTTATGTAGAAAATAATAGAACAAATCCATGTTTCACTGATAAACAATCTTCTCATGGGTAATGGCTCCGAAACAGGATTGATACCAAGTACGCATAAGATTTGTCATGCCTTTGTACTTACCCATTCCAAAACACCCAAAAAAAATGATAAAAATGGTGGTTCATAAGTTTGAGTTGTAATGTGCCCAATTGGGATTTTCGGATTTTGAGATTAAGTGTGTCCGGTGTGTCCGAAAATCGCGCACGCCCCAATTGACATCTTTTAAATAAGGAACATGTGGAAAAATGATCGTCAACCACTGGACTTAGAGGTACCCTGTTTTAAAAGAAACCTGTATCTGTTTGATAAAGAATTGACTTGATGATTTAGCCTAAGATCTTGCTGATCAAACCCCCACTCCTTAGTAACTTCATGTACTTGGTATGCTGCCAGCACCCCAAATACTAGAGGTGCAAATTGGGTGAATGACCCCTTTGTGGCTACCTTTTTCATAGGTTTTTCAACAATCCACTTATTGATCCAAATCACTTCACATCCCTTGGCTTAACCTGCTCGGTCTGCAAAAGGTCGTGCAGCTGCAACGCTTGTCGCGTGGCTTTCAGCTCCGCGAGCGTTCCTGGGATCGGTAAGCAGGAGGACCAAAAATGTGCTCTTGGCGAAACCCATCAGAAATGGGGATGGAAAACCTGATTTAGCCCATCGAAAAAAATTGCATCGGGGATTTATCAGCATACAAAGCTTCGGATTTTGCCGGCAGAATGGGAGTGTCACCAGCAGAAATTGGATTTCACCAGCAGAAATTGAATTCAAGATGACTTATGCGGCAAACATCTATTGTTGTGTCTCATTTTCAGGTGCCTACCATGTGTGCAGGTCGTCTCGGAAGATCCCCTCAAAACAAACTCGTTTGGGGAGCCACAACCTCACCATGTTTCCGGAGCTTAAAGATCCTAAAAAATCCTAAAAACTGCGCTTCGTAAGGGGATTTCGTATTACGGGGAATGGTTATTGACTAAGCAAAACCCTTCAGTAATCCAACTTGACAGCCTCTAGATCCCATTAAAAATTGGAGCTGCGGCTTGACGTTTACCGTATCCAGTGCCGAACTGTTCAGTGGAAGAGTTTAAGAAGTTTTAAGAAAACATTTTAGAGGCATTGATGGTTTTTTTAAAAAAATGTAAAGACCATATGGTTTCCGCTGAAGATTTCCCTCAAACCATTAGAAAATGCCCATGTCGGGCCAAAGAACAACCCACCCCCCGCGTCAGATCCACACCCAGCGTCTCAAGGCTGCACAGCGCACGGGCACGCTGCGGCCGCTGAGGCATTGGGCCACCTGGCGAACCTGGGCGGGAGCTCCGGCGGGAAGAAATAAGCACAATGTGTCGCATGGATTTGTAGCGAGAGAGACAGAATGAAAGAAAGAAAGAAAGAAAAAAGACAAATAGATAGATTAGACTAGAGTAGACTAGATTAGATTAGATTAGATTAGATTGACAGACAGACAGAAAGACAGCCAGCCAGACAGACAGACAGGACGGACAGGACGGACAGGACGGACAGGACAGGACGGACGGACAAACGGACGGACAGACAGACAGACAAACAGACAGATAGAGAGATGGACAAATGGACAGATAGACAGATAGACAAATAGATAGACAGATAGACAGACAGATAGATAGGCAGATAGATAGATAGACAGATAGACAGATAGATAGATAGATAGATCGATAAGAGGGAGAGAGAGAGAGAGAGATGATACGAGCAGATTTGTTTTAGATCATTGAATTACATAATTTGTATATACAGTATCTATAGATATATAATTATATAACTATGTGTATATATACAAATATATATATATAGGCTTCAATATATCATGTGTAGCCCAGGCACCACCAGCGCCTTTCGGGTGGGCTGGATGTTTGAGCCTCGGGAAGCGAAAAAGACTTCAGATTGGAACCTCATCCAGCTATAGTTCATTAAAGAAACAACTGGGAAAACCATGGTATATATATAATATATTATTATATATTATTATTATTATGATTGTTAATGTCTCTAGTGTATACATATTATGTCACTATGAAAACTATAGTTATATCTATATCTACCATAAACCATGGTTTTTTCAGGTCAGAAATGTCATAAAATGTTCATCCATGTTCATCCTTTCTCTTGTCATTGCTCTTCTGACATTTCAGGACTATGCATCGGAATACACCGGGCTTCCTTGGTTCACCCTGCTTGGTCATGTTCCATACAAGGTGGTGCTCCCCAGTTATGTTTGGTGTGTATACCTCATCATCGATGTATCTACCATAAACCCAAGTGTTAATCTAGCTACATTGAAGCAATCTAAGATCGCTTACTGGAATAACTAGGGTTTTCTGATGAGTATAACCATAGTTAATTGGGATAATCCAGTTTAGCTATCGTTTCCGGGCATCACATTCTCCAAAAAGAAGAGTTCCAGTACCTCCATCCTGCGTTGCTTGGACCGTTCAACCAGCGATGCTTCCACCATGCTACTGCTGCCCTCTGGTCATGGCCAGAAAATCCGTCGGATTTTTTTCATCCGCCATCTTTTTTGGGACACCGGAGGGGATCAACTGAGATCCCTGGCCCATCTTGCCCAGAGCATCCAGCGCTGCCAACACGCAATTCTCATCCATCTGCAGCAGGTGCAGCAACGCCTTCGCCGGTGACGAAAGCCAGGAAAACCACATGGAAAACCATGGGAAAATGGTAACTTCACCTAGAAAGATGGGGGAGTTCAATCGGATTTTAGAGCTGATTGATGTTGGCGAAGTTGGTGCACAGAAGTGCAAGTTCATCAATGATCGAACTAGCTCATGGGGGGTTATAAACCAACCTCTGACTGGGTGGTATACACAATGTTATGAATAAAGTATTAATGAATTATAAGCGGTGATCAAGAAGTTATATAGGTAAATCATCCTTAATCCTTCATTCCATATTATATATATACATATATATATATGTATAAATATACATATATATATATATAAATATAAATATCTATATTTTTATACATCTGGTTGGTGGTTTCAACCCCTCTGAAAAATATTAGTCAGTTGGGAGTATTATTCCCAGATATTATTGAAAAATAAAAGCCATGTTCCAAACCACCAACCAGATATCTGTGTGTGTGCTTAATTCACCTATTTTTGGCGAAATCATCCGAACAGGGTCATCCTGGAAAACCACAGTTTCCCCATCGTTTTCCCTAAATCCCAATGGTTCTTGCTCCAGTCACCATGAAAAATTCGAAATCTCAAATGTTCCTAAGCTAAAGTCACCATGAAATTCATGAAATTCCATGGAGATCACCCATTTTCCTATGGTGTTTCCTATGGTTTTCCTATGGTTTTCCTTCCCCCGGAGCCACGGCACCAGCCCACCGGGCCCAGGCCCACCTCCTCATAGCGCTGTCCAGAGACCTGCGCCACAGCCATGGCTCGAGCCGCCAGCGCGGCCACGGAGCTGTCGCGGTGCCTTCAGGGGAAATCCTCGAAACGCCATGGGTTTTTTCCCAGCAAATCTGGGGGGTTTTCCAGATTTTCCCTACCAACTGACCAACTCCAATGATTTCACAAAAAATGGATTTTCCCAACTGACCAACTCCAATGATTTTTTTGAAAAATGGAGGGATCTCAGAGGGATGTCCATGGGATTTTTTGTGAGATGAGGATTTCAGATGTTCATGGGATTTCATGGTGACTGAAGCATCAAAAAGATGGATAAAATCCCATCAAACATTGGGGTTTAACCAGCAAAAATGGGTTGACTGACACGAATTGACGATTTCCATGACATTTCCCCAAGCGGAATTGTGATTTAGTGGGATTTAATAAAACAAATTGGGGACTTGATGGGATTGAAGCAAGCAAAATGGTGATTTACCAGGGCCTACAAGGGTTTCAACAACAATAATTGGTGGTTGAATGGTCTTCCAGCAGCAAAAATGTGGCTTTGATGTGATTTGACCATCAAGAGTATTAGAGAGATACAATGTGGGGCCACAACAGATAGGATTGCAGCAAACATGTGGGTTTGACATGGGTTGACATGGGTTGACATGGTAGTAATCAAGTGGTTGCAAGTTATGGATGTTGGTTTAGTTGGTCTAGTTAAAGCCATTGAACTGCAGATCTTATGGATGTTGGTTTACCATGGTTTACCTGTAGTTGCACCAACTGCAGATAGATCCATAAATTCCATAACGTATAAATCCAAGAGGTGTTGGAATTGTTTAAACCACCAAAGACCTACCTTGGGAGCCTCACATTGTAGATTTTGGGAACCATCTATGGAATCTATGGTTCGTCGGGATTCAATATGTTGATTATGTTGTGAGCCTCAGTTGTGATTGTTATCGTCGGGAGTTTTCGTGTGTGATCCATTTGTGATTCCCCAAACCCCACTGGCTTGGGCTATCATAATGTTGGATGATAAAACCCCATTGGATGATGTTGGGCTATCATATGTTATCCTCTTGTAATTTAACAGTTTGCTATGGAACATGACCATTGAAATAGTGAGTTTTCCCATGAAAAAATGGTGATTTTCCATAGGGTAGGCTATCCCGCGATGATTCCACAGAAATTCTGGGCATGGGCAAGGAGCAGTGATGAATCGAAAGCCATGGCAGCCATACTCCCACTGAATCTTAGGTAACAAAAAAGGGGCAACTATCAGTAGAGTGATTAGATTCATTAGATGCGCCAGGAATCTGGGTTTAGAAATTGATGAGGATTTGTTTTTTCATTCGCAAAACCTAAAGAGTTCACCCAAAAAATCTGGGGGTGCACCTTCACCCTCAATGGTTACCATCACGGTGCACCTCAAGAGCCGCCCGATGCATTCAACGACCTGTCTCGAGTTACGCCAAAAGTAGCGGAACGGTGGACGGACTCGGCGACTCGGAACTCATGCCATGTCAAGGACAACGGAAGATATGGGCAGATATGGGGATAATTTGGGATAATGATGGGCAGATATATGGCAAATATGTGGCAGATATATGGAGATGTATGGAGATATATGGAGATATATGGAGATATACGGAGATATACGGAGATATATGGAGATATATGGAGATATACGGAGATATATGGAGATATATGGAGATATATGGAGATATATGGAGATATATGGAGATATATGGAGATATATGGAGATATATGGAGATATATGGAGATATATGGAGATATATGGAGATATATGGAGATATATGGAGATATATGGAGATATATGGAGATATACGGAGATATATGGAGATATATGGAGATATATGGAGATATATGGAGATATATGGAGATATATGGAGATATATGGAGATATATGGAGATATATGGAGATATATGGAGTATGGTCATCCATCATCCATCTTCTTCCTTGTCAGACCTTTGATACTGGGCATATTTTTCTCGCGATGGATTGATGACGCAACTTCAACTGGGTGGTCGTCCCCTCCCAGGTGCTAAAAAACATATCCTGCTGATTAAAAACAGCACCAAAGCTTTCCCGGAAACCCGTTGGAAAAAATGATTCAACAATTTTCGGAACATATACGGAACAAAACACAATTGTGTACTAATGATAGAAAATTCTATGATACTACAGTAACTCTGGGAATCAAACATGGTTGGCTGGAAAATCCCTCAGTTGGTTCGATGATCTTCCCATCAAAACCTCCATAGGTTGGCACATGGGGCCATGTTTGGTTTCCCAAGTGTAAACCAACCGCAACAAACTTGGATGATTAAAAGTCAAAAACTGGCTAAATCCAAATCCCATCAAGACCATGAAATATCCGTAAATATCCATCAGATCCCCATTTATATACTTCGACGAGACTTTCCTATATTAATGTTCCCCAAAATACTCCCAATTTTATATAGAATTTCCATGAATTTCCCACATGTTTTCCCACATAAGTTCGATGATTCAAGCCGAGAATTCGCCCACCAAAAACTGTGGATGGGCCAGCGAAATCCTGCACCACCAATTTGGGATGGATGCTTGAAACCCATCCAAAATCCATGGGATATAACTAGGTACACGGCTCACAGGCGGCCGTGAGGAATTCAGCACACCAGCAATGCTGAGCATTTGTTTTCCTGCTGATTTACAGTGGTCAGAGCATTCCAGACCATTTTGGATCTTTCACGCAGCCGTGCCATTGGTTAAAGCGGCTTCATCTCGTAATTAGATGGGGAAAAATATGTTTTTTAGTCATTTTGCAATGCAGTCAAACTATTTGTTTCAGTGGATGAAGCCGTCATTGAAAGTCATGATATTTCTTCAGCAGATCGACAAGAGAATATCTTGTAAGGCGGGCAGCCAAGAACGTTATCAGCCCCCCCCAAAACCCCCCCCAAGAAACAACAATGCAAAAATCAAGAGTGTCTTGCAAGTTACAAGAAGAAGTTGATAGCGTGTGCCAGGGTACGGTGCAAGAGAAGAGTGGATAGCGTAGCAGCAAGTCCAAGAGAATATCTCGTAAGGCGGGCAGCCAAGAACGTTATCAGCCCCCCCAAAACCCACCCCAAGAAACAACAATGCAAAAATCAAGAGTGTCTTGCACGTTACAAGAAGAAGTTGATAGCGTGTGCCAGGGTACGGTGCAAGAGAAGAGTGGATAGCGTAGCAGCAAGTCCGAGAGAATATCTTGTAAGGCGGGCAGCCAAGAACGTTATCAGCCCCCCCAAAACCCCCCAAAACCCACGGCCGTCTATAAGCCGTGGTCCAACTACCCTCTGGGAAACGTTTACATAACTATGGAAAGATCCACCCATGTTTTTCATGGGAAAACTCACTATTTCGACTGGACCATTTTCAATAGCTTTTTGTAAACGTTTACCAGAGGCTATATCCCATTAAATCCCATTAAACCACCATTTTCCTATGGTTTTCCTATGGTTTTCCTATTTTCCTATGGTTTTCCTATGGTTTTCCTATGGTTTTCCTATGATATCAACTGGTGATGACCGGATTTCGCAACCACCAAAAACTGCCGTATCCCGAACTGCACCTGCAGCGACTCGATGGTGGCCTTCCCCGCTGAGCAGAGGTGCCGCAGGACCGGCACCACCTCCTCCTGGGATCCGATGGATATACGATATCTGGAGGATAGTATAGATATGTGAAATATATAATTATATATATAGTTCTATATAATTAGATATATATATATATATGTCTATTATATAACATATATAAAATATATAATATTATATATATATATACATGTAGATAAGTATATAATAGTAATAGTATTGTATCATATTGTATCAATATCTTCACCCCCAGTCGTCTCCAGAGCTGCCCCGGCTCCTTCTTGCCATTGTTCAACGCAACGGCGATCTTGTCGGGGTCAATACCTCGGCACTTAACAAGTGTGGCACTAAGTGCCTCGTGACTTGCTTCAGTGTCTTGGTGTACCCTCCCGTCATTTTGCATAGCTATGGCAGCTATGGTATAGATGGCCCGTGTATAGATGATGAAAACCATATCTTAGCTATGAAAATTGGTGGTTTTCCAAAGCAAACTGTTGAAGTACTAGATGGTAAATAAAAGATGCTGCTGGAAATCCTCTGTATCGAAAACGGTTTGTGAACAGGGAGGCAAATCCCCTGTAGTCCAACATGGCATCATGCACTGCAGAAACATCCGCAGGGCTATCGAATGTGGCGGACACCAGCACTGCGTTGCTTGACCAACGCACGTGGGTCCATTCATGAGTCTTCATGGCACGGCGAACCGCAATTTCGGATTCAACTTGGGAATTTATGTCCCAAAATCAACGGATTTCGGGTTTCCAGAACATCATTTTTTGGGGACCCATCCCAAAAATATTGCTTCAAACTACGCCCTCAGCCAAGGGGCTATGTTTGCTAAAGACCGGCTTGCTTGCCTGTAACCGCAGGTTCACCTGGGTTCGAAGAGGCAGGGCCCGGTTACGTCGCAAGTTGGCATCAAGTCCAAGAGGCGTGGTGTGGAATCCGATCAATTTCTGACACCATCCCACCTGTTGATGGCAGCATTTCATCAATTCGTCTACACAACAAACTTCAAGATACTTCAAGGGTCTTTAGCACTCAAGAAACATCCAAAAAACACCAATTCCTCCCAGCCACCGCATTGCCCCGCTGTAGCGCCAACTGGGTCATCACCTGGACGGGTAGATCACTTCCTTTTTCAGGAAACAAAAATAAACAAACAAGGTGGGATTTTCCATAGCGTGTTTTATGTTTACTGGAGGGTCAATGGGGCATCTATAGAGATATCTTAAAATATGACAAAATATGTAGGCAATAGATATGAACTATATATATAGTCCAGTATATTAACACGTATACATACCGTATACATATGTAATCATATGTTAATATGTGCGTCATTATACCAAGAGTTGATCCATATAGATCCTACAAAATCAGTGCTTTTGGTTAAGATCGGTCGGTCTCCCCGCGAAATCGTCAGGTATCTTCAGTGGCTCCCCATTCTCTTCGGTATCACTATATTATATCATGATACATCTACCATAGTGATATATCTACCATAGTGATATATCTACCATAAACATCCATCAACCACAGTGATGGAAAAGTCTACAATAGTCTACATGAGTTTATACCAGCTTATCCAACTGCAAACCCAAAAAACAGTCATCAGCTGGATTTCCCATGATTTCCCCGGTTTCGTTGGTCTTTGATGGTGGCAGAGGGTCGCCCTAACCACCGCTCCCCGTTCAACGAAGGTGCCTCGTCTTGGACGACCCGGCGCTGCTCGGCTCATTCGAGCTGCAACCGCCAGCCGAAACACGCGAAACAGGGCGAGGCCGTGTTTACGGTGTCCAGTCATGGGGATGTGACCAACAGATGCACATGGGGATATTCGACATCCACATGTTTCTTATGTTTGTTTGATTTTGTTTGTTGATAGTGTTATAGTCTGATATCATATGATATCATATGATATCATATGATCATGATCATGAATGTATACAATATGGGGATACAATGGGATAGTATTTCAACAACGATATGGATGGTTGTTTAATGTCGTTTGTTTATAGGATTTTAAATGATTTGACCATCGACGATCGGGCAATACCAGTATTTGATGGGCATCACCTGTTACTTGGTCCTGGAATTTCGGAGACAGTTCAAAACTTGCTGAATATTGAGAAGCAATCCATCATTGGAACACCACACCGTAGCTGTTGTTGAAATGGAACACATCCGCGTCCATCTCCAAAGGTCATTTTCAGCGCGAGCATCAAAGCTTGTTTGGCCTAGTCGGAGCCGTCAACGAACCAGCAATGATTGCTATCCTTTTTGTTGTATAAGATTCTGATCCAACTCAAATAAGGTTTAACTTGAGCTATAAAACAAAAGGATTCAATGGGATTTATTTAATCCCTGGTGCTTACTGCGCAAAGGACCGGAATTGCTAGGTTTGGTTACTAAAAGGTTCTAGTGGTCTAGTGTCTAGTGGTTCACAAACTGACAAACGGTAGTTTTTTTTGCGTAAACAAAGGCGATAAATTCTTCTGATTCACCAAAATTAGCCATCCTTTGGGATGATTCTCATTGCCCGGAGCAACAATTGCCCTCTGGTATTTTACTGGGGCCTAAAAATGATAGAAATTTTGAGCTCTGGTCAACAAACAAGTCTCTCACTTTTTTTTGAAGCACGAAAAAAAATCATCCAAACACGGAGGGTATGCCAGAGTTTCATTACCAGAGTTACCAGAGGGTATACTGTTACAGAAATTGATTGACTGGTTTTAAAATTTAACCAATGGTGAACTAGTGCTTTCACAGCACGTGGGTCTGGCTTCCACTGAGGCCGTAAGCAGCCCCTGTGTTTTGCGACAAACTACCTGTGTCTGAAAATGGGGGAAAAAGAACCTGCAAGCGAAAAATTGGGAAAATTAGTAAACTCACATCAAATCCGTGGATAGAAAGACAAAGTTCCCCCCAAAAAAAATGTATCCATCGGAAGTTACCCTAGGATTCCGATAAAACGGCGCCCTAGGATTCCCAGCCTGGTATCCTCTGGCAATGGGACACCAGGCTAAGTTCGATTTAGTTCAATAAATATGTCCCATGTTCGATCAGCATTCAGCAAAGCCCCATTTCGCTAGGATTCCTGCGATGATTTAAACCTCGGATTCTACGAGTACTTCTGCAGCATTCCCCATCCAGATTTCTCGCAGATTCCCATTCCAGGTTTCGGGCGGCCTATCAAGGGTACCTACCACTTCCTGAGCGCATGCCCCGCTGGACTTTACCGTGAAAATTTGGGATTTAGAATCATGGACACCCCAAAATGACGGCAAAAATTCTACTAGAATAGTTGATTTTCTCAACTTTCTGTGCCGAGGTTACCATCATTTCTAGTAGCTTTTTGTTGGTGAACATGCCTCCAATAGCAAGGCTTTATGGTGATGAAATAACTACTAGTAATGGGGATCGTAAATTAACTTATAACTCGGCGGTTCACCGCCACCACCTCGTAGAAATATGACATGTTTTTGTCGGGGAAAAAAAAAAACGTCGTCAGGAAATCATGAGATATACGGCCAACAACCGGATATAATTAAATTATATATTATATATATATAATTGGAATATGTTGGAATTATTTGGATATGTGATATATGAATATATATGATGATATATGCAGTATGGGTTTGTCCAGGACTGGGGGATATCACTAAAAATTGCTATCTTCATTCGGAAAGTCCGATGACGTCATCGTTGGCCCAACGGGGGTCCTCCTAAATCCTAAATACCTAGGATCCAGTGGCGGTGGACAATGCCCTATAAATGGAGGTCTATAGCTGGGAAAATCATCGAAGTCAATGCGGGCTTTTCCAGCTGGCCATGTTTGATTTTTTGGGGGGCACCACTTTTAAAATTGGTTTTTACTTTCAAATCTGTTTGAAACGGGCCCTCAGAATCAACTTTCAACCACTTTTTGGTGCACCCACGTTGCTAAGAAGTTGAGCCAATGATCAAATCTATGCAGTGCTTTAAAGGATGGTCATCCCACACTTGAAAGGCTGGATGTGAGCTTCCCTATTCAAAGATATTCGAAAGGTTTCAAAGTAGAATCATGGCACCATGACAATGGCACACGGGAGACATCAAGAATCATCTGGTGGATGATCTTTTGAAAGAATGAGAAATATTCACTGGGAATTGCAGCCACAGCCCATTTTTTTCAGACCCCAGTTACTAGCATAAGTCATGCTAAAATCAACCAAACATCCAAAATTTCACGGCAGAAATCCGTCCATCTCTGGGTGCCCCCAGCATGCTTGGACTTAAACTTGAGCAGCCACGCCTCGCCAGGGAAGACAGGGCCCCCAGCTTTTGGAGCATTTGGAGCTGATGAATCTTGGTGGCAAAGGGAAATTTTCTGAGAAATCCCATTAAAAATGAGTTGGAATATCACGGAAATAGAACCATGATGGCGATTGAACATGTCTTGGAGATGGATTCCAATCTTAACTTTTGGAAATGGCTTAGGAAATCCAAACCACTTAACACGAAAACATGTCCGGAACTCTTTGTTTCAGCAGAGTTGTTTCAGTGTTGGTGAAAATTCCCATCACATCAAGCATCGGGGGGATCGCCGAATTGCCAAAAATTCGCATGTTGGATTTGTCAAAATTGGATGCTCCAAATTGGATGCTTAGTGCCAAAACTGACCCATTTCCACCACTAAACCTGGACAAAGATTGATTTTCATATGATTTCGGCACATGTAAAATCGACCAACTGGGGTTGTCTGATAAATAGGCTGCTAGAAAAAAAATGTTGGAGTAATCAGCGTATTCTGATGAGTTAAAATCGCTACCATCCGATGTTTGATGCTAAGGGGCAGCAATTTTATGGTGTTACCCTCTGGTAATTTGTTACAGTTACATAGCTATTGAAAATGACCATAGAAATAGTGGATTTTCCCATTGAAAACGGTGGATCTTTCTATAGTTATGTAAACGTTTACCAGAGGGTAGTCCCCATCTTCAGAGAACCAGAAATCATGAAAAATCATGAAAAAAATCACCATGTTTCATGGTCAAGATGGGCATTTTTTGTGGTGGTGAAAAAATCATGTTGAATCCCCATGTTGCATGGTGAAAAATCCCTATTGGTCATTCTTACGGACTCCGTTCATTTCACATAGCTTATGGAAAATGTTTCATGGATGATAAAAACCTATATCATCCTGCATATGTTTTTACCTCTTTAAAATGCTGGTTTTGCCTATAAAAAATATCTATAAATCCTGTAACCAGATAATTAAGATGTAGGGCAATCCCCCCTAAATCCCGGCAGATTCTCCCCGGTTCCGGGAACGGCACCTGTAGGGAGGCCCGTTCCGCCAAGGACAGCTCTTGCTTCGCTTCCTCCTCGGTCTCCTCCTGGCCACGTGAAGCTTCAGAACGGGATGCCCCGTGCCCACTGCTTCGCCCAAAATCATGAGAAAAGCCCGAGAAAGGCCTGGGAAAATGGTGACCAATTCCCAACAAATCGGGATTTCATGGGATTTGGAGCTGAATCTGTAGATAGGATTTGTGCAATAATATCTATACTATCAGGGTGATAGCATATATCTCCAATTTCTTATATGATATTCTGATACTTGGGGGATGTACTGCTTTTAAGAATCCCCGAAAGGATCATCGACCAATAGCAAAAACAGTTGAATTAATGTAGATTATCAATATCCAAATACAGGTGTATATATATATATTATATATGTATATATATAATTATGTATAATATATATATAGTTATGTGTATATATATATCATTCGCAAACTTGTAGATGCGGCTATATGAGGATCATTCACTCCAAATAGATTGTATATACATAATATCATAGAGGGATAGGAATATATTGAACATATATATATATATATATATATTATATTATGTGTTGTCGGTATCCCAGCACATAAACAATTACCCTCTGGGTATTTAACAGTTCGCCATGGAAAATCCACTCATTTTTCAGTTCGGTAAACCATGGTTTGCCCCATCTATTTCTATGGGCCATGGCTTCCATGGCAAACTGTGAGTCATAACCAGATGGTAAAACAGCACGGAATCCCCGTTTCTCCTCCAGCTTGTTCTTTGCAAGCAAACGGGCCGCATCTCGACCCGCCAGGATGTGATATTCGCAGCCTGTTTTACGTGCGAATGACAAAGCCCATGGGTTGCTGGTTCCCTGCAGTGATATATCTGCTAGAAACCACAAATCAACATATGAAAAATCACCATCTTTCATAGCCATCTAACAACCATCAGATATCAGAGCTAGATCCATATCTCATGGACTTTTTGCATTCAGAGTTTTTTTACAAATGGTAGATATTATATAATCACCATCTAATAACCATCTAATCACTCATGTATTACAATGTGGTGATTTATCTAATTGTTGAATATTAAGCACTATATATGTCACTAAGATTGTTATACTATGTCCATTATCATTGCAATGATTCTTGAGTTCTTCACACCGGTTTTCTCACATATATGTTAAAGTCATGTCGCATCTGATTCCTAAATCCTAAGATATATCACCATATCAGAAGTAACATTACGTATCCCTACTAGAAGTTCGTTCATATAACATATATCCCTATATATATACTATCCATATCTCCACGTTAATTAACGTCCCCGTACTAAATGTAAAGATCCAAAAATGTCCTCTGGTCCTCTCGTAATCCAACAGTTTGCCATGGAAGCTCGTTCCAGATTGCTCTGTGGGTCATTACCCAAAGGGTATCCCCAAAAATTACAATTCTTGTTAATATGTATTCTTGCTGTTAATATGTTGTTAAAAATAGTATTATTATAATAAATACAATTATAGTAATAACAACAAATGCTTATTGCTGTTACTATTACTATTCTATGTATATATTTACCATTCAAAAAATATGAGGGTCATCATCCCTTCAATAGTTCCCATGAAATCATCATATGGAACAATCCTCGACTCATCCCATTAAAAATGTCCATTTCTATACAGGATGGGGCCCCCAGTCGATAGCGAGCTCGCGTGAACCGTTGCCAAACATTTCAGTGGCTTAATTTATGGTTTATGGTAGATATAACGAACTAGTTCATGGGGGTTATGTAAAAATGGTTGATACATGATTCTTATAATGATTGATGGTAGATATAACTATGTAGCTATAACAATGCTATAACTACTACCCTCTGGTAAATAAACATAGATCCTGGCAGTCATCGGGGTTGGAAGACTAGTTTCCATTAAAAATGGGTGATTTTCAGGGTCAACAAGTTAATTTACCCCTTTTTCCATCGATTTCCCCATGTTCCATACATCGCCACGGCGGCGCATCGAAACCGCCTGGCGCATAGAAGTGGCTGCTGCGCCAAACGTTGAAGACCAAGCCATCGCAGCCCACCAGGATGGGGCCATCCCCACTGGGATGGTGTTTGGGGATGAAGATCATCTCCTTTTGATGATACCCGGCCTGGTAATTCATTGATGGTTAATGAAGCTGATATATCCATATGGGATATTTTTAGAGATACCCGGCCTGGTCATTTGTTACATAGCTATTGAAAATGACCATAGAAATAGTGGATTTTCCCATTGAAAATGGTGGATTTTTCCATAGTTATGTTAGTTTACCAGAGGGTACCCGGCCTGGAAATTTCTTACACTTTGCGAACTGGAAAATGATGAAAATGACCCTTTGTCGAAATAGTTGTTCATTTGCCGAACTTCAACATGGGTGGATTTTCCAGTTCGCGAACTGTTAGTTGACCAGAGGGTATAAACTATAGATGTATCTATCATATATGATAATAGTATCTGATGATGTCTCTATTATTCGTGTATCTATAAATTATAAGTGTATCTATAGTAATCTATGAGTCTATGAATGATATTTTGATGATATAAACTATGTATCTGATTATGTATCTATAATCTTCTACAATAATCTAGAAATATTAGATATACAACATATATCTACCATAAACTTTGCTAGCTGTACGTATGTCATACTGTGGATGGTTGCGAAATCATCGGTTGGTGGTAAACATCTCCTCCAAAAATTGGTGAAATGTGAGTTTCATGGAATATTCATGAGATATGAGTGGAATCTCGGTTCATACCAATGATATGAAACATATTGGGTGAACGTTAACCATGGAACGTATAATCCTTTATCAATGGGAATTTCAGGATCCTAAAATGGAGGTACTGTACCATATAAGGCCATATTTTATGGGGATGTTCCCTTACATAGGCCTTACATAGGCCTTACATAGGCCTTATATATGGTAGGTACCTCCAATTTAGGATCCTGGAATGGCCATTGACTTTATCATCCGTATGATCCATCAACAACTACGAAAAAACCATGGGAATTTTAGGATCTCATGGAACATATGGGTGAACTTTTGAGGAACATACCCGGCCTGGTAAACTAACACTTTGCGAACTGGAAAATCACCATTTTATAACTGGGTAAATCAACTATTTCGACTGGGCCATTTTCAATGTCGCAAACTGTTTGTTTACCAGAGGGTATCTGCATTTTCACTATGTATGGAAATGGAATTCGATGTTACCAGAGGGGATTGATCGATCTAAGCTCGATTTGACATTTCACCGCATCAAACCTATCCATATGGCCCATATATAGATGATTTTCCCAGCTAGAAACCTCCATTTATTTTGGGGATTTTCCATGGCTATGTTAGTCATAACCAGATGGTACCAGAAACCCAATCCTTCACCGATCGTTCACTGGAGGCCACCGCCACCAGAATTCATGATGATCCGCGACTCGAAATCTATCTGAGTGTTGGTTACTATAAATCGACCCTAAAAAACTGGGAAGGTTACGACTGAAAAAGCCGAACACTGAAAAAACTATATAGCCTGTTGGTAAAAACATGTTTATAGCATTTTATAGCCCCCAAAAAAATAGAAAAGTTGAACATCTGGAAAGATGGAAGGTTTTGATCTACTGGAACTCCCATCCCGGCCTCACACAACTTTCGACATCTGGGGCTTGCCTCGTCCATGGCCCCGTCGTATCTCTTCAGCTCTTCCGCGGTCCAAGGTTCCTGGAAGGTTATGGAGTTGTTCCAGGTGAAATCCACCAACGCTATATGTGTATAATACTTGTGTATGCTTATGGTGGAATTTTATTTTTAAAACCAACAGAAATTGAAACACTTCACACGACTTAACATGACTTTACCAACCAAAATTGGGACTAGGCAGCAAAAAATTGGTGACCAACAAGAATTGGGATTTAACCATCAAAAATGAGTAGTTTTCACCACCATCCCATTCTCCATTCACTGGTTGGTGGTATACCTACCCCTCTGAAAAAATATAGGTCAGTTGGGATTATGAAATTCCCAACTGAATGGAAAGTCATAAAAGCCATGTTCCAAACCACCAACCAGATTCATCATGTCATATTCCCATTGTTGTTGGTTTATAGCCTATAAAAACCACTATTAACCATCACTATCGATCACTATTACCCACCAAGCAGATTCATAGCCCCACTATTCAACCATTAAAATCACTACTAACTATAAAATCACTAGCTATCAATCACTATTAAAATCACTATTCAAACCTATAAAAACCACTATTCTGGGTAAATTATAATATTTCACTAATCTGAATCTTGCGGCCATTTGGGGATGATTTCCCTAAAATAAACCATGATTCCAGTGAGGGAGGACAGTGAGGTCGTTATAATTTACCCAGATTTATGGACATAACTAACATAACTATGGAAAATCACCATGTTTAATGGGAAAATCCACTATGAATCACCATTTTCAGTAGCTATTTTGACATAACCAGAGGGTAACCATCCCAAGCCCCACCTTCCTCCGTGCCAGGTAGGCCCGCTGCCGTCGTTCCTCCAGGGATTCAAGGCGCTGCTTCTCCGCCGCGTCGACGCGGCGCTGCTGCAACGCCTTCTGCGCAGCGCTCACGGCCCACCAGGCAGCGCCCAGACCCAGCAAGGCCTCAGGGGGGCGGATGGAGATCTACTGAATATGGTGTGTGTATAATATATATATATATATGTTTATATTATATATATATAGATAGGATAGGATAGGATAGGATAGGATAAGATAAGATAAGATGGATAGATAGATAGATAGATAGATAGATAGATATAGAGATATAGAGATATAAAGATATGGAGATAGATAGATAAAGACGGAAAAGTAATGAAAAGTAACCTATCACTATTCGAGTATGATTTCGATATGTAGCAGACTTCATAGAGGCAGGCAGTTTGAGCGACGTTCAGCAGGTATGGCAAATGCCCTTGGCATGGACCCAGGAAAGTTGGCTATGGAAATGGTTATGGATGGAAGTACCAAACTAATCCATGTTTAGACCACGCATTGTGAAGGTCAATTCATAGGAAGTCTTTAGTAACATCACTGGAACATGCATTCTTCACAGCAGGGTATCCTTTGATTTCCTTCGGTTTCCTTCGGTTTCCTTTGATTTCCTTTGGTTTTCCTTTGGTTTCCTGTGGTTTCCTTTAGTTTTGTTTAGTTTCCAAGGGAGAAACAAAGGAAAGGAACATCCAAGGAAAAGACAAACCAATCGGAAAGTCTAAGGAGGCTATAAGCCCATAGAATGCATCAATCATGCCGGTTACTAAGGAGGCTGGTAGATCAATGGACCACTGCCGCATTTTTCTTCTTTCTAGTTGCTCGTACATATTCCGTCCTGCATTGCAATTGACTTAAAGCAGAGATGCTATACACAGACCAGTGAAGACAAAAAGAATAAAAATCGCAGCACAACACATTTCCAACTGGTGCTGCAGTGACTTCTTTATTTCTCCAGCGGGCACTCCAAGGTGACATCTTCTTCGTTGGATGGGACCATCAAAAATGTTCTAAAGTATTTCAAGTGCCAGAAAAAAGTGCTATGTAGACATTTGGGGTGGTACCATTCATACATATACATATATATATATATTATTATTATCATCATTATTATTATCATTATTATTATGTATACATATATGTATATATAATATATATTATTATTATATTATATTATATTATACTATATTATATTATATCATATCATATATTTTATTGTATTATATTATATTATATACTATATTATATAATATTATATCATATCATATCATATCATATTATATTATATTATATTATATCATATTATATTATATTATATTATATTATATTATATTATATATATTATATTATATTATATATATAATTATATTGTATATATTGTATATATTATATTATATTATATTATATTATATTATGTTATATTTTATCATATGATATTATGCATATATATATATATTATTATATATACATGATATATGGATGATGTCTCCAGGATAGAGATCTGTTCGTCTTTGATGATGTGGCTGGGAAGGATGGCCATTCTCGGCCGGCAAGTTACAAAGTAATTTCAACATCCTCCGAAACTTGCCAAACACAAGGACCCCTGGATTTTTGTGCCCAAACCTTTCCAAGATCCCACTCTTTGTGTGGAAAACAGATGGATCTCCATTCACCATTGGTCAAGTTGGTCAAGTCCCTATTCTTCATGGTTAAATCCTCATGAATCCCCAATTTGATACTTCAGATTTGAGACACATGTTGGTTACCCTCTGGTAAACTAACATAGCTATTGAAAATGGCCATAGAAATAGTTGATTTACCCATACAAAATGGTGATGTTCCATAGTTATGATTCCATAGTTAGAAATAGTTGGTTTACCCATACAAAATGGTAGATCTTTCCATAGTTATGATATTTCCCCTCTGGTAAACTGACATAGCTATTGAAAATTGCCATTTATAGTGTTTCTTCCCATTAAAAATTGTTATTTTCCATAGATGTAGTTACGTAAACGCTTACCAGAGGGTACATTGACCAGCCCCCAGCCACAGGCTGCTTCCCCACCTGCATAGGATCTTCCAACACTCGCCGCGTTGCAAGGCCTCCCAGGTACCCGAGAAAACCACCGAGAAAAGCCACATGGCAATGGAAAAAAAACACCTAAGAGTTCGATGATTTCCCACTAAAATCTCCATTTACCCTCTGGTAATTTAACATAGCTATAGAAAATCACCATTTTGTATGGGTAAATCAACTATTTCGACTGGGCCATTTTCAATAGCTATGTTAGTTTACCAGAGGGTATAGGCTATAGGGGATTAAAACATATCAAAACCTCCATGATTGATTGTGAAGATTTTCCCATTTCGATGCCCAGTTTAGAGGGGATTTCTATGGATGTCTCAGTCAGCCATGGTTGATTAAAGTACCTAGCTGACCTAGCTTCGTACACCCGAAGCTTATTGGCCATGTTTGCTGATTCTATAAATGTCCCTGTCCTTGTTGCTCAAACAGCTAAGGTGATCGGCGCTTCAATGCCCGTTTCAGTTTGTCGTGTCCCCACTTTTTGCCGGGCTACATCCCCCACTTGCTGATTGTTTCAACCGCTGGCTTCCACTTTACATCTACTTAGAATTTATGAATATTTATGAAACTTCAACCGTTTCTTACTCTAGCAACGGTCCATCAACCCCAAAGCTCCTTTTATTGGGCCGGGCCTCAACCGTTTCTTTCTGAACGCTCCCAGTTCCAACCAGTGGCTCCCTGGCGCCTCGTTTCACGCCGCGCCCACCACTGCAGCTCCGTGGCACCGGCACCGCTCTCAGAAACGGCGCAGAAACGGCCGGCACCAGCAACGCCGGCGCTGGTGGTTGAAGGGTCATGGCAGCGTGGCAATTTTCAAGATTGGAGATGTGGATTTATTCATTGTGCCCCGAAATTTGATGATTACCCTCCTAGAAACTAACAGAGATTTGGAACACTTCACGTTTGTAGGTCATTTTCTGAGGGAAACCATGCTTATTTTCCAGATCTATGTATGTTGGTTTACCCCCTTGAAATGGCCATTTATGAGGGGTTGAAGCCATTTTCAGACCCATACAGCTATTCAGTTGGGGGGGCGGGTGTGCAATTTTGTTCACCCACTGGGTCGTTGATCATTGGGGGGTACCATTTTGTCATCACCATTTGGGGGGATTTCCCCCGACTTGTAATCAACCGTACTTCTGAAACCAGGGTTGACCTTGACCATTGTAAAGGTACTTGGTTGATTCTAGCTGTTTTTTTGTTCATTTCAGTTTCAATGGTCAATGTTAGCTACAATTCTCAGCAAGTTTGGTTGTTGAGTGACTATCTATTGCCAGGGTGCATTCCCATTTTGAGATGCACCAATATCTTGAGCCTAAGACATGGACAGCAAGCAAAACAGGGATCTACACAAGATTTTCCTTTTGGGAAGAATGGAGGGGACAGTTTCGTATACCATTTCGTTTCATCTACTCTTCAGTAAACATGTCAATTCACAATCCCTAAAACCAATGGAGGCTTCAATGCGAAAATCATTCCTATCAACGATGGATGGTCAATTGTCATGTTTACCAATAATGTCCTTTTGGTAAAAAATAGTTTGGTATACCATCTATCATCATGTACTTGTTGTTAAATCAATGGGAATTTCAGGAACCTAAATTGTAGGTACCTACCATATATAAGGCCTATGTAAGGCCTATGTAAGGGGATATACCCCCAAAATATGGCCAAAAATATGGTACAGTACCTCCATCAATTGGATCCTGGAGATCTCCCATTAAAGGGGGTTGTTCAAACCCTTCTATTAATTAACCAAACCAATGGGAAAAGGACATCTATGATGTTTACCGGAGGGTAGCTGTTCACTAATGCGGGGACCCCTGGGCCGCAAAAATCTGTGGATCTACCCCCCAAAGTTACCCCAAGTGAGCCATTCAAAAAAAAAACGATCAACTTTCATTCAAAAAAAACAAATGTTCTTAGTCATCAGTTTTTGGAACCAATAATTTAGCATACTAATAATGAATCCTAATCCACGAATTTCAATTCTGAAATTCTGAAGCATCCCCCAAAAAAATCCAGGTCTATCTCAAACGAACCACATCGAACCACTCCTTTTCTTCGCCAAACTGACAGTATCAGCTGGAGCTGTCTCTGCGTCGCTTCCTTGGCAGAAAACGAATGGCATTGGTCTTTGTCACTTACAAGACCATGCATGTTCCACTGTTTATATTTCTATATAAGATTATATAAAGATATGTAGTTATGAATATAAATGTACTGTAATCATATATACTTCGAGAATCCTTTTGTGAGCCGCTGAAATTGTTGGTAGTTGGGGCCCGTTGCCACAGAGGAGACTTGTCAGAGTGGGTGCTAACCACTTAACCTCAGGAAACGTATGAGAACGAAGGAAGCATTTTGACTACTGGAAGGAACTATGGAAAAGACCTTCAACATTCCGGAATTTCGGACAAGATAGTCGTCAATAAGGCATGTGCGTGCGATTGTTGATTTTCTTGCCTTGCAGTTGTTGTTGCAATATCGATTTTAAAAAAAAAGTGGTGTATCTGAAAATCATTTTCCCTTCCGCAGATGGCCGTTTTGGGGGGTTCCTCCATGTTCTTAGTTGGCTGTTGTTGTTCCCACACCTGGACCGCACATCTGTCCCAGGTTCTTGGATTTCTTGTCCCTTCTGTCCTGGAGGGTGTGCAGAAAGCCCCAAGGTTAGATCAATCGGGGGGACTTCGTTGCGTCATCTTGACACAGGATGACACAGGAAAGAAAACTGCCACCACTGTGTAGTCCTCTGAATCCTTCTCTCTCAGCTTTTCTTTGGCCTTCTCTTTCTCTCGAGGCTTATCTTTGGCCTTGTCTTCCTTTTCTTTCTCTCTCGGTTTCTCTTTCTCCTTGTCTTTCGCCTGCTCTTTGTCTTTCCCCTTCTTCTTGTCCTTGGAGTCCTTCGAATCCTTTAGCTTGCCTAAGGAGCCTTGCTTCAGTTTCTCCAACTTTTGCCTCAGACGACCATGAAACATCTGAAAAAGCACTGGCGCGATAACATGTGATAACCATGGTGATGATCCAGTTTTATATATGGCATATCCTCAGTCAAATTGTTCAACCATGTTAAACCATTACTCGCTGGGATGCTCCATGATGCTCCTATGCTGCAAAAAGTAAGCTGCTTTCAATACCCCATCGGCAGTCCTGCTTTCAACACTCTAGACTGTAGTTACTGTAAAACCCTAGGAAAAAAATCAAATACAAGAAAAAGGTTTCTTAAATACCACATTTCTCTTATTCCCTGGTTTCCCAGGGCATATTTTTATATAGCCTGGGTTTCCAGGGCTGTATTGTTATACTTTCTGGCTGGATACAAGATGGTTTTATTTTTGTCACACCCAGGGCACTGCATATCCCCACAGGGAGGGAGGGAGGGGGGCAGGGCGTGCAATTAATCTGCCCAAGATTGTATATATACAGGTATGTATGTATGTATGTATGTATATATATATATATATGTACATGTATCTATACTAGACAGGCACAGTCCAGAGCCCATAGCAGCCCTGGCTTCCAGGGGCCCTGGCTTCCAGGGAATAATTAATAAAGAGCCAGGCCACAGATAAAATAATACACATACATGCATTTCAGTTTTTGTGGGAAAGAAGGGGTGACAACATAATTTGTGTTCTGCCAACCCTCCAAAAAAATCAATTTCATTGGCTGGCCTGGCAATGCCCTAAAGGTGGGGGGGTTATTTTCAGATATTTTTTTCAGATGATAATGTGAAAGAAAGAAGCAATGAGAAAGAACACAATATATATAATATAATGTAATTTATAATATATAATTTAAAATATAGTAATAAAATTTAACTATATATTATAATATCATTTGATTTAATTTAATATATTAAAACAATGTATAATCTAATCTAATAGAATATAAAATTTTAAAATATATTATAATATAATGTAATATAATATATAATGTAATAAAATAATAATAAATAGATATATATATATATGATTTCATGTACGAAATAAAACATAATATAATATAATATATAAAATAGTTTAATATAATATATAATATTATATAATATAATATAACGTAATTTAATATAATATAAAATAAAATAGTATAATATAATAAAATATAATAAAAAATAATATTATATATATATGTATATACGTATATATATATATACAGATCTTCCAGGCAGCCACCCTGCACTTGAGCTGCCCACAGCATACTTCATCGACCTGCGAAGCATGGCTGGGCACAACAGTGCATACTATCAAATGGCAATTGGCAGGCACTCTTATTTCTATATAGTAAGTTTTGTCGTTTAATAGTTAGCCTGTTGAATCATTATTAGGAAATTCCAGGTCACTTCACAAACTCTTTCTGGGCAGGTGGCCTAGCTACGGTTACACTGAAGATATGGAACACATTCATTGGTCAACCCATTTGTTTGGAAGACTACAAACTGGAAAACACATCCAAAACCCACCCACACAAGCACAGTGCTTTTTTTACGGGAATTTGCGCTCGGATCGTGAGGATCTTGATTCGTTCAACCTTGGTGGATTTAAGATAAACAACAAAATAAATATGTAAATGCATTTAGAATTTATTCCCTGGAAACCAGGGCTAAGGTGATGTCAAACAGTCTGCAAATATAAAACATACTGAGTTACTGGACCCAGATGCCAGGGTGATAATAAAATGTGCTCCCATAATCATACATAAAGGGGGTGATGCAAAGATTATGATTCCCACCAGGCTCTGCATCGTACAAAAAGGCTGATGAAATTGTAGCCCAAGATGCTTGGGAATCCATGGGTTGCGGTGTGACCCAGGAAGCTAATGCACTGACAAGTGCCGGCGAGCGATTGCAACCAGCTCATTGTCCCAGTGCAATGAATCAGTAATACTCTGCCTTCAGCGATCTGACGATTGCACCAATGTAACAACGAAATGAACCTGAGAATCAAATGAGGTGTAAAAAAATACCCAGTCTACTCAGTCCCAAATCAAAAAATACACAATCCAAACAAAACAACCCCCCTTAACCCACTGGCTTGCCACCCCCAAGAGGAAAATTACAAAAAACTATGACACAATCTTGACAAGAAACGTGGCCAGTGCCGTCTAGCACTGGGATGTCTTGGCAGTCAGCCAGCACCGATCTCTGCTCCCTGGAAACCAGGGCGATATCAAATAATGTTCAGGACCCACTTATCTATGAGCATGAGAAAACAAATCCACTGCACACTGATGTTGTAGGATGCAACCCATGATAAGTTATATGAATTTCCCTGGTTTCCAGTGCTTCTTTTTTTATCTTCCCATGAGAAGTTATCTTTCCCTGGTTTCCAGGGCTTGTTCTTATGTCCATTGACCATCCCATGAGAAGTTATCTTTCCCTGGTTTCCAGGGCTTGTTTTTTTTTAATGTTCATTGACCATCCCTTTCTGTGGCTTCCATGAAAGGAGATCGCAAGTGCCATTTGGGGCATCAAAGATGCCGAGCGGGGTTCGCCTGTGTCACTAGTTTGAGCTTGATAGTGAGAAGCTTTTTATTTTCACAAAGTGTACTTGTGGGATTGTCATTGTTTTTTGTCATTGGCATTAACTCAGGACTATCATCAACCCTTATCTTCTGTTGAGCAGATGGTGCCATATGAGGAAGAAGATCCCGGACAAGATCAGCAGCCTAGGACTTGAGTCACCTGGCTTTAAAATGGCAAGTCTTTTCTAATCCATCAATGATGATGATGATGATGATGATGATGATGATAATGATAACCTGGATACCACAGTGACAAGAAAATGTTTTCTCATGCTCATGCATCAAGGGTGGAAAGCACATACAGAGGGAAAAACTACACCCCAAAACTACAACTGTTCAAATCAGTATGCTTCCCCACCTGCAAAAAAAGTGCTAAAAACCTGCCATGCAACAGGAGAAAGTTCTGCAGATGGTGCAGATGGTGCTGATGGTGCTGGAACAGCAGCAGGAGTACCCTTTGGTGTCACCTGAATGGCAGTGGTTTGAGGGTCAACTTCATCCAGTCTTTGGCATTATAGAAATTATGTGAAATTATATATAGATAAATAAAACGTAAAACACACAGAGAGAAGCAATGCACCCCTTTTGAAGGTAAGAAACAAACAAAAAGGCTTGCAAGGGACTGGCGTTGCCTTGAAAGGCACTGGTGCAGCCGGTTGTGGAGGTGGTGGCAATGGCCTTGATGATTCCTTGGGGATTTCAGCTTTGTTGGCTTGCTATGAGAGGGCATGAGACTATTGAACATAAAGACTTAAAGGAACCAAGCACTTGAACAAAATGCCATGTACTAGGCCATAAGAAAACAAGGTGAATGTAAAGAGCCAACACACACATGCACTTATCAAGTTAAAATGCCAACAAAGAGTGACATAGGACCCTCTCTCAGTATAATTTGATGATATAAAACACCCTGGATGCCAAGGAAATACAATTTATCATGGGATAGTTTGAACATATCATGGGATGCCAGGGAAAGAAAACTTCTCATGGGAAGATAAAAAAGAAGCCCTGGAAACCAGGGAGCATCCAAAACAAGCCCTGGAAACCAGGGAAATAGAGTTTAATTTAGGATCATGGCATGCACCCCACAACATACAATTTAGTGGGGGGTTCAAGAAAGAAAGATTAAAAACACAAAAGTACAAATAAACTCAACACTGCACAGGTACAACTAAAGAGGGACTCGAACTGGAGCTAGCAGTAGATTCAGCCTGGAAGAAAAGCCACAAAATGTCTTTAAAAGAGTTTGTGGATGGATCCCTGATGTTAAATTGGGCCTTGAATTTGGGTTTGAATAAAAGAACCACAGTATTTTTGAAACCTATTTTGACCAAACCAATTCAACCAAGAAGCTGCCTTGGCCTTGGCTGCAGCTTCTGCCTCGGCTGCCTTTGTACCAGAGTGGGCTGCGGCTCGCCTCTGGTCCTGATTTTCAAAAAATGATATTTCTGGGAGATTCCAAACACATATTGCATGCCATTGCATGATCAATAAATGTGTTTCCTCAGGGGAATGCTTTTTCACATATCCAGGAATTTTGCTTCTGCTCCTGCACTGTTTTCAACTGGGGTCAAAAAAAGGGACACATAGACAACAGAGACCCCAGTTGAAAATTCCTGGATATGTGAAAAAGCATTCCCCTGAGGAAACACATTTATTGATCATGCAATGGCATGCAATATGTGTTTGGAATCTCCCAGAAATACTTACCATATTTTCTTGGAAAAATGGAAAAGTTGGGAGCTTCCAAAAATTGGCAATGCCAAGCTTCTCTAGCATGCATTGCTTTGGCTTTGCCACCCCCCAATCCTGTTGCCAGCTATAACGCGCCAAGGCGTCCCATCAATTGCGTCAGGGTCAGAGGATGTGTATATATATATATGAGAAAATGTTTATGTGGTTATATATATTTATATATACATATATATATACGTATATGTATATGTGTGAATGTGATATAGTAAATTATTAAAAATAATATGTTATATATTTGTGCGTGTATGCAAAAATCATACCTACATCTTTTATTTCTATATACACATGTGTGTATGACATGCTTTTAAGGATACATATTTAGATTTGTATACTTATAATATGTTATGCAATTTAATAGATACACATATATACATATATATATTATGATCTATATATATATATATCCAAATGTCTGCATTTCAGTTTTTTCAACGTAACTCTATTACAATGATGCTTGAAGAGCCCTGTGTCTTTGACAGCAGGCTTGGAGCCAAATCAGGGCCACATGGGCATGTCTAAGCTTTTTGGGAGAACTACATGAGGATGTTTTACATATATGGAGCATTGAAAAAACACCCTATGCCAGGGAATGAGTCAATGAGAACATAAACAAACCTGGATGCCATGGACTTTAAACGTAGAGCATGGGATTGTTGGTGGATGCAAAAAAACAGCATGGCTTCCTGGATGGCAAGGAAATACATCCAAATCATGGGAGTGTTTTGATTAAGATATCAATTGCCAGGGGCGACGAGGAAAATATATGATTGTGTCACCTCACTACTCTGCTGAAAAATGCACATTATTCCACATGAAGTAGTTCCTTGATTTCTTTGTCATGATAACTGCATTTCTTTACACAATTTGAGATTACACAAAACCAACCATTGATTGGTGGGCCAATTGTTACTTCAGTTGGGTTTGGCTGTTCTTGTAAGTGAAACCAGTAAATTTCATGGTCCAGTGCAAAGCCTCATCACCACCATTAAAACCACTATCTGCAGTGGGTAAAGCTCCCCATAAGTCCATAAGTGGCAAACCAACTTGATCTTCTCGGGGCTGCGCGATTCTGAACTTGATTGTAATTTTCCCGTTGGCTTGCCCAAAAAGTCAAAAACATCCAAAAAGGAACCCCCCACCCCGGTGGCACTTTTTCTTTATGGAGATTTTCTTTAGTGGTGGCAAACCAACGGGAAAATTGCTAGAACTTGAACTACCAATTATATGGGAGCTGATTGTACAATACGAGGCTGCTTGTTCACCAAAACATGTCTCTGGACAGGTCATGCCTGATGCTTCAATGTTGTAATGTTGTGTTCTTTCTGGACTGCAAGCCTAAGGCCAGGCCATGGTTGGGGGATAGGGAGAAGAGGGGGCCATTCCAAATCACATAGAATAAGTGTTAAAATGAAACATGATGGAGATAGAAGACAATATCTTACTTGCTATTGATGTGTTTACTTTGGACATTTTTTTGATAACACCAGTGTGGGAATGAATCTGAAATTTGTATCTGGAACGTTTTGACCATCAAAGAGCACTCACTGTGCTGGACTGCAAGTCCCAAAATTACTTTACATTGCTATTGTTATGATATTATCATAGCAGTTTGAGAGATTTTCCCACATGACCCAAAAATAACTCTGTGCTGATGGGAAATGATGGCACAAATAATAATGATTATATAATGTTATAATATGGTGTTTCCAATAGAAAATACGCACAATACAACTTATCCAATGATCCATGATCAGCCCATCATGTTCATATGAATGTATACAAATAATAGAGTAATTGTAACACATAGTTATAATAAAATATAATCTGATCTTTAAAAACATAATAAAGCATAATATATAATATAATTTGACATAAAGTAGCCTAAGATAATATAATATAACATAATACAATATAATATAATACAATGCAGTATAACATAATATAATGCAATATAAAACTATTCAATATAACATAGTATAATATTATATATATATTGTAATAAATTATTTAATATTATTTGATATGTAATATTATTAGTAATATAAAATAAAAATATATATATTATAGTAATGCAGTTTATTTCGTAAAAATACAACACCATTTAAAATAGTAATATATATTATTGTGTATATATATGAATAAACATGTATATACCTATATATATTTATATAAATAGATCTTCCAGGCAGCCACCCTGCACTTGAGCTGCCCACAGCATACTTCTTTGACCTGCGAAGCATGGCTGGGCACAACAGTGCATACTATCAAGTGGCAATTGGCAGGCACTCTTATTTCTATATAGTAAGTTTCGTCTTTTAATAGTTAGCTAGTTGAATCATTATTAGGAAATTCCAGGTCACCTCACAAACTCTTCCTGGGCAGGTGGCCTAGCTACAATGAAGATATGGAACACATTCATTGGTCAACCCATTTGTTTGGAAGACTACAAACTGGAAAACATGAATCCAAAACCCACCCACACAAGCACAGTGCTTTTTTTACGTCCCAAATTTGCGCTCAGATCGTGAGGTTTCCATCAAATTCAGGAAATCCTCAAATGAGCTCACGTCGACCACCTGCCCTTGGGTCAGATCTCGGTTCCGAAGGATCTTGATTCGTTCAACCTTGGTGGATTTAAGATAAACAACAAAATAAATATGCAAATGCATTTAGAATTTATTCCCTGGAAACCAGGGCTAAGGTGATGTCAAACAGTCTGCAAATATAAAACATACTGAGTTACTGGACCCAGATGCCAGGGTGATAATAAAATGTGCTCCCATAATCATACATAAAGGGGGTGATGCAAAGATTATGATTCCCACCAGGCTCTGCATCGTACAAAAAGGCTGATGAAATTGTAGCCCAAGATGCTTGGGAATCAACGGGTTGCGATGTGACCCAGGAAGCTAATGCACTGACAAGTGCCGGCGAGCGATTGCAACCAGCTCATTGTCCCAGTGCAATGAATCAGTAATACTCTGCCTTCAGCGATCTGACGATTGCACCAATGTAACATCGAAATGAACCTGAGAATCAAATGAGGTGTAAAAAAATACCCAGTCTACTCAGTCCCAAATCAAAAAATACCCAATCCAAACAAAACAAACCCCCTTAACCCACTGGCTTGCCACCCCAAGAGGAAAATTACAAAAAACTATGACACAATCTTGACAATAAACGTGGCCAGTGCCGTCTGGCGCCTCATCTCATAACGGATGTTGTAGGACCACACTGGGATGTCTCGGCAGTCAGCCAGCACCGATCTCTGCTCCCTGGAAACCAGGGCGATATCAAATTAAAAAGTGTTCAGGACCCACTTATCTATGAGCATGAGAAAACAAATCCACTGCACACTGATGTTGTGGGATGCAACCCATGATAAGTTATATGTGTTTCCCTGGTTTCCAGGGCTTCTTTTTTATCTTCCCATGAGAAGTTATCTTTCCAGGGCTTGTTGTTTCTAATGTTCATTGACCATCCCATGAGAAGTTATCTTTCTGTGGCTTCCAGGGCCCCTTTGATGCATGAACATGAGAAAACATTCTATTATCACCGTGGTATCCAGATCATCATCATCATCATCATCATCACCATCATCATCATTGATGGATCAGAAAGAAAAACTTGCAATTTTTAAGCCAGTTGACTCGAGTCCGAGGCAATTGATCACCGCGATCTTGTCCTTCTGCTGGAAGGACTTCATGTGGCACAAGCCACTCAACAGAAGATAAGGGTTGATGATAGTCCTGAGTTAATGCCAATGACAAAAAACAATGACAATCCCACAAGTACACTTTGTGAAAATAAAAAGCTTCTCACTATCAAGCTCAAACTAGTGACACAGGCGAACCCCGCTCGGCATCTTTGATGCCCCCAATGGCACTTGCGATCTCCTTTGCAGTTGAGCACCAAGGGTGGAAATAATGAAAAAACGCAAACATAAACTATTATGAAAGCACATGCAGAGGGAAAAACTACACCCCAAAAAATACAACTGTTCAAATCAGTATGCTTCCCCACCTGCAAAAAAAGTGCTAAAAACCTGCCATGCAACAGGAGAAAGTTCTGCAGATGGTGCAGATGGTGCTGATGGTGCAGATGGTGCAGATGGTGCTGATGGTGCAGATGGTGCAGATTTTGCAGGTGGTGCTCGGACAGCAGCAGAAGTACTCGTCTTTGGTGTCACCTGAGTAGCAGTGGTTTGAGGGTCAACTTCATCCAGTTTTTGGCATTATAGAAATTGTATTAAAAAAAACACAGAGAGAAGCAATGCACCCCTTTTGAAGGTAAGAAAAAAAACTAAAAGGCTTCCAAGGGACTGGCATCGCCTTGAAAAGCACTGCTTTCAGTGGTGCTTTCAGCGGTGAAGGTAGTCGCGCCTTCTTCTTTGGATGCGCCTGCAGTATTGGTGGTGGATGTTGGGGTGGTGGTTGAGGTGGTGGTGCTTGCGGTCGTAGTCGCGGCACCGCTGGTTGTCGTGTTGGTGGTTCAAATGATGGTTGTGGTCCTGGTGGTTTTGATGGTGGATGTGCAGGTAGTGGTGGTTCTTGTGGAGGTGGTGGCAATGGCCTCGATGATTCCTTGGGGATTTCAGAATTCAGGCTTGCTATGAGAAGGCATGAGACTATTGAACATAAAGACTTAAAGGAACCAAGCACTTGAACAAAATGCCATGTACTAGGCCATAAGAAAACAAGGTGAATATAAAAAGTCAGCACACACACAAACACTTATCAAGTTAAAGTGTATAATTTGATGATATAAAACACCTATGGGATGGTCCATGAACATCAAAAACAAGCCCTGGAAACCAGGGAAATACAATTTAGGATTGTGGCATGCACCCCACAACATACAATTTAGTGGGGGGGTTCAAGAAAGAAAGATCAAAAACACAAAAGTACAAATAAACTCAGCACTGCACAGGTGACAGGTACAACTAAAGAGGGACTTGAAGTGGAGCTAGCAGTAGATTCAGCCTGGAAGAAAAGCCACAAAATGTCTTTAAAAAAGTTTGTGGATGGATCCCTGATGTTAAATTGGGTCTTGAATTTGGGTTTGAATAAAAGGAGCAAGGTATGTTTAAAACATAGTTTGACAAACCAATTCAACCAAGAAGCTGCCGTGGCCTTGGCCACAGGTTCTGCCTCAGCCTTGGCCACAGCCTTTGCCTTTGCTAGATGATACTCAGCCGCGCGCCTCGCATCCTGAGATTGTAAGGCATCAAACCTGTTGGGGAAAACAAAGTTATTGTTTGTTTGGAATCTCCCAGAAATATCAGATTGATTTGGAAAAAAGAAAAGTTGGGAAAACTTCACAAACATGGCCATGCCAAGTTTCTCTAGCATGCATCTGCTTGCCGCCCCATCTTTTTCCGGCCGAATCTCTCCACGGCATTGCGATGTGTATATGTATATATATGAGAAAATGTGTATATGTATACATATATATATATATTTGTGTGTATATGCGTGATTGTGATATAGCAAATATTAAAAATAATGTGTTATATATTTCTACATGTATGTGAAAATCATACCTACATCTTATATTTTTATATACACATGTGTGTATGACATGGCTTTGAGGATACATACTTAGATTTGTATACTTGTACGAAGTATATATATTTTTATTTATTTATCTATTATATATATATAAAGATGCATTCTTCATGTATAAGATATATATATATGTATATGTCATTGTGCGGTTTAAAAGATGTACATATATACATAAATACATATACATATCTACATATATACATATATACATATATACATATATACATATATACATATATACATATACATATATATATATATATGCATATATCATATATCTATCCAAATATCTGCATGTCTGTTTGATGGTTGAAGAGCACTGTGTCTTTGACAGCAGACTTGGAGCCAAATCAGGGCCACATGGGCATGGCTTAGCTTTTTGGGAGAACTACATGAGGATGTTTTAAATATACAGAGCAAAAAAACACCCTATGCCAGGGAAATAAGTCAATGAGAACATAACCTGGATGCCACGGGTTTTAAACTTAGAGCATGGGATTGCTGGTGGAGGCCCAAAAAAAAAGCATGGGTTCCTGGATGGCAAGGAAATACATCAAAATCATGGAAGTGTTTTGATTAAGATATCAAATGCCAGGGGCGACCAGGAAAATATATGATTGTGTCACCTCACTACTCTGCTGAAAAATGCCTGTTATTCCACATGAAGTAATTCCTTGATTTCTTTATCATGATAACTGCATTTCTTTACATAGTTTAAAATTAAACGAAACCATCCATTGATTGGTGGGCCAATTGTTACTTCAGTTGGGTTTGGCTGTTCTTGTAAGTGAAACCAATAAATTTAATGGTGTAAAGCCTCATCACCCACATTTAAATCACCATATGCAGTGGGTATAATTCCCCATAAGTCCATATAAGTCCCTCATCTTCTCCAACCATCCTTTCTTGGCCATAGCTGGTTGTTTATCATGCATGGTTTACAATGATCTCACTGTCCAATAGCCATAATTTCCATTAAATTCATGCTTGATCTTCTTGGGGCGTGTGATTCTGAACCCAAACAACCAAATGCGATTCTGAACTTGATTGTAATTTTCCCGTTGGCTTGCCCAAAAAGCCAAAAACAGCAAAAAAGGAACCCCCCACCCCCCCGGGGGGGGGTTCCTTTTTGGCACTTTTTCTTTATGGAGGTTTTCTCACGTGCAAAGGCCCAGCCTTCTTCACGGACGGGTCTTGGAGAAGCAGAGGAATCAGGACGCAGCCTGCTTCATGAGAGCTTGGCATGCTCCACTGTGCTTCATTCTGAATGTGCAACATTTGAACATTTGACAGAGATGGAATGTACATGGAGATTTGCATCAACAATGAATGGCAAATCTAAGCACAAAATCTGGCTTGAGTTATGAGACATCATGTTTTGGAGCAATGATCAAAAGCAAACAAGCCACAAAGGCGTATTTTCCAGCAATGGTGTTTAAGAAATGAGAACAGGACTGCACTCTTGTGAACATGCTGGTTACACTGTTACACTTGCATCAAAGGGAACAGCCAACACACACGAAGTACAATCATTTTTCCACCTTGCAAAAAATGCGTGATGCAAAGAAAAACAATCCAAGCCAGCATGGCCGCAGAGCACGCAGAGAGAAGCTGGGTGGCATTCAACATCCGGTTTGACGATGTCCCAAAAACTGTTGTGATGCATTTGTGCATGGCAGCAAGGACAAAACGTTTGCTGAAGGAACAAGAGCTCCTTGGCAATATAGTTTTGCACACTAAAGCTTGGTACTGTACTTGATGGAACATGTTTACGAAACAAAACCAACATAATCATGAACTAAGGAAACAGCAGGACCAACAACACAAGCGGGACCTGGAAAAGTATCTTGGCCAAACCAAAGGGAAAAATCCAACACATTTTTGGCATAAAATGCAATCAGCTGGCAAGGTTGGATGTGGCAGGGGCATGGCTTCACGCTGCTGAGCTTCAGGGGGAGAAGGCTGAGCTTGAGAAGAAGATTCTTGGGCCATGTTGAGGTGTCTACCAAAAGAGGCATCAATATGGTTTAATTCAATGCTCAGGAATGAGTGGCTCTTGCATGACCAGCGCAAGCTCAAAGCAGAGTTTCTTGTCTTGGGGTTGGGTGGCACAAGTGACAGAACAATCTAGCACTCAAGGGTGTTGAGAGATGATGGTTTCTTTTAAGAATGAGAGCTCCCACTGGGCCCAAAGGATGTCATGGTTGGATGGAGAAACAGGTGGACAAGAACGAGCTACTTGGCATGTTGAAGTTTTTGCAAGCAAGTGTCAGTGCAGCACATGCATAACAGCCTTTCCCCAGGGCAAACTGTTCTTTTGTTTTTGAGGAAGGCCACATCAGCTTCATCATCATCATCCGCATCATTGCCATCTGGTTCATCAGAGATACTTGGCAGGTGCATTGAGAAAACAGGCATAGGCAACCATAGACCATAAAGATGAGCAGTCAGCGTCCTGTTCACATGCAAGTCCTTTCAATATCCACTACATGTTTAAACAAAAAAGCAGATATTTTGGAACATGTTGAGGATATTACTTTGCTGGCATTCTGACTATCCAGGAAAGATCCAAAGAAACAAAAACTGTGATGCAGTGGCAGCCCATGGTTTAAAAAGGAAGGATGCGGCTACAAGTTGCCTGATATCAGTGATTGCAGCTGTGATCTTTAAGTTTTAGCCTAGGAGAATTTGTCTTGCGTGTAATCATAATAATTGGTTGCCTTACAATGGTACTCATGGGAACCCCTGGCAGGACATCTCTTGCCTGGCTGCAGTCCTCGTGGTTCTGGTGCTGTGGCCTCATGGCCAAGTTTGGGTGCTTCATTATATATTTACACATCGAATTGACCTCCTGGTTTCCTTGGGCTGGCCTGTCTGTGTTGGAACAAGGATATGCTATTGTCCTTGTGTACAGGGCATGGTGTATTTTGCAAACCAAGAATGATATTCTGTGCAATACCAACTAGATTTCAGATACATATGGTGCAACACATAGTGAAAACACTATCCAAGGACCACATTGTGAACACATAGTCTTTGACACACAACTATGTTGCTATGTGAAAACCAGGGGAAGTGCCTATGAATTTCATGTTTCATTTGCCTTTCCTAATGGAGGACATGGTTGCTTACAAAAATAAGTTCCTACCCTACTATGCCACTGGCATAGTCATCCGTAACCTACTATCAGCTACACACAGGGCCCTTAAGTAATGTTTGACTGTGAGTTTATATACACATTTATACATATACATATATATATACATACCTGTATAGTATAGATACATGTATTTGTATTTTTTAGTTGTCATCCTCAGAGGCCAACACATATTTTGCTACATACCTAGAAGCCAGGATCTCATTTCCACCTGGTTGCACCGACCAAACCTGATGCTGAGGTTCCACACCAAAGGAAACTCCCTTGTGCCCCCGTTTAGGGCACTCCTTGTTATATTCTATACCCTGGTGATGTGGTCAATTAGCATATAAAATGCCTTGGAAACCAACAAGCCCTGGAAACCAGGGCAATATTTTTTCATGGAATTGAATGGCTGATGAACAAGTAAAATAACCCCTGGATACCAGGGCTGTTTATTAATAATTACTCCCTGGAAACCAGGGCGGTTTATTAATAATTTGTGGAAACGAGGGCAGTTTATTTATTATTCCCTGGAAACCAGGGCGGTTTATTAATTATTCCCTGGAAACCAGGGCTGTTTATTAATAATTAATTATTCCCTGGAAACCAGGGCGGTTTATTTATTATTCCCTGGAAACCAGGGCGGTTTATTAATTATTCCCTGGAAACCAGGGCAGTTTATTAATTATTCCCTGGAAACCAGGGCTGCTATGGGCTCCGGACTGTGCCTGTTCGGCACCCTGCCTATTCGGCAGTCCAACCTGGAAGATCTTGTTCATGAAACACCTGTGTCCTGAATCCAGGGACAAGTTGATTGATTACAGTTATTCTCATTGCAATTAGTTACAGTTACATTTATTCTCATTGAAATCTTAAAGCATTCAGCATAATAAATTAAGTTCACTGAATACCCATGAAGTATAAGTTTAACGTCATGACTGAGCAACGGTTAAAATGTGTTAAATTCACCTTTCAAAACATGAGGAAACCAGACCGAAAGTAGAAAAAAATAGTCAAAAGGAAGACATGACAAAACCATTGCAAATCCACTGTTCCAACACTGATCGACCGATTTAGCCACTAAGGTCTTGACACCTGGTTATTATTACTATTATTATTACTATTATTATTATTCTATTTTATATATATATACACACATCACAGGCCAAATCTAGGCAATGAACATGTTCAGATTATTTTTATGGTTGGAACAGTAGAAGCCAGGGGCAAAACCAATCCTAGCAGGTATATTGTTTTTCCTGGATTGCAATCTAGTGCATGAAAAATCTAATCACTTTGCAATACCATAAGCTGCAAGTTACAAGACTGACTAGTTTTCATGGTGTTTCTGACATGTCTGGATCTAGAAAGTGCAGTTAAAATTTATTATACTATCAAAACATAAAGAAACCAGTCAGAGGAGAAAAAATGATTCAAAGGGAAGGCATAGCAAACACATCCACCGTTACCCAATTTAGCCACTGAGGTCTTGACACCTGCGTTGGACGAGTGCCCCTTTCTGTGTGGGATTTTTGATCACCCTGGAATTGAGGGAGTGTAATAAAGTGAACTTTATTATTCCCTGGAAGCCAGGGCTCTTTATTAATTCGTACCTGGAAGCCAGGGCCCCTGGAAGCCAGGGCTGCTATGGGCTCTGGACTGTGCCTGTCTAGTATAGATACATGTACATATATATATATATACATAGATACCTGTATATATACAATCTTGGGCAGATTAATTGCACGCCCTGCCCCCCTCCCTCCCTCCCTGTGGGGATATGCAGTGCCCTGGGTGTGACAAAAATAAAACCATCTTGTATCCAGCCAGAAAGTATAACAATACACCCCTGGAAACCCGGGCTATATAAAAATATGCCCTGGGAAACCAGGGAATAAGAGAAATGTGGTATTTAAGAAACCTTTTTCTTGTATTTAACTTCTTTTTCCTAGGGTTTTGTAGTTGTTAGTTCTGTAGCTAACTGGAGCTTTCTACCCTTCGCATCGTCCGCTTTTTTAAACTCCAAGGCACTTTTGCTTTTCCAACTTCTTTTTCATTTTCTTGGCCTTCTTGTCCTCTGGATCGCCTCATCAGAGATGGGCATTCTTGGTGCTAACCTCTCCCGCATCATGGGGCATCATGGGGCATCATGGGGCATCATGGGGCATCATGGTGAATTCCAACGCCAACTTAACTGATCCCACCTGGCAAATCTAACAGAATCTCACCAAGTCCCAAAATATTGGGGAAGGGCCATAAGCAATAAACATCATAAACCCTAAACCCACAAACGGCTTTTAAGATTCCCAAGTTGCTTTGATGATTTTGATTTATACAACGAGTTCCCATCCTCACCTCCCAAATTGCTTCCCAACTTCCCCTTTTTCTCCGAGACGCCCGTCTCCAGTGGCCCCCCCATCCCCATCCCCAGGGGCCCCTCAAGGGGCTCAGATCGCCGAGAAGCTTTCGTCGGAGGACTCCACCTGCATTCGCTTCATGGCTTCTTCCTCTTCCTTGGAACATGGCGACAGAGCCAGTGCCACAGTGCCATTCCATGGCACAAAGGATGGCGATGGCTGGCAAATATGACTTCGTCAAGTGGGGGTTGTTGCAGATATACAGGATGGAAAAAGCAACACATAAGTCCCAAATTGGCTTCTTAGAATGAAAAAATATCCATCTAGAGGATGTACCAATCATGGGCCATTACGTGTCCCAAATGTTCAGGGGTGAGCTTAGACTAGTGACCAGACATCACATCCTTTTTTCATGGTCAAGCAGTGGTTTGCTTTGCCAGGTGTCTGCAGGACAACTGTAAGGGACCCAAATCTCCAAACTGTGTTGTTATTCATATCCCAACATGACGACCATGCTGATCACATCGGACCTGAACAACTCTTAAGTCAGTTTAGAACCATTCTCGTCCGTCGTGCCCCTCCATTTGTCATCTCATTTCAGCCGCATAACATGGTTGAACTTAGAGCCATTTACCGTCTTGACCCAATTTTGTGATGTTGAACCCCAATTCTGATCATTGTCATGGTGAAATCACTCATTTTGGGGTGGCCCAATTTCTTCCCCACGTGATTCATCACCGCGTCCGGTCCGGTCGCCTGCTCTTTTTTCCATGCGAATTCGTTGCCAAAGCCTTCCTTCTGAGCGTTGATGACTGCATTCGCTGCCTGGAGAAGTCATGAGAAGTCCCCATGGAAGGGATCCCCAGTCGTCACCATCGTTGTTTCAATACTGAGTCGTTGTCATCCATGACGACTGGATGATTTGGGGGTACCTCCATGACTCAGTAAACCTCCAAATCATGATAAATCCACGAAAAATGTCTGAATCAGAATCATCCAGATGTTGCATCCCATGGCCTATGATACATATACCTCAAACAAAATGACAAACAGGAACAGATATGAAACATCGGGGTGTGTCTGAGAATAGGGTATCCCGGGTATCCTAAACTTGCCCATGGTTCCATGGTTCTGAATTCCCTCATTGTTCACATCCACTGAGTGCCAAATTTTGGGGGGAAGCCTCTCACCAGCCACCAAGCTATCCTGCTGTTCGCGCCTGGATGTGTTTCAGCTGTTGCTTGGGAAATTCCTCAGTGCACCGCCAGAGGGACACTCATCGGTAGAAGCCTCCCAGTTACTGCATTCTTGGGATGGTCAATGCTCATATTTTGTATGAATGCTCCACTCGGATTCGTTACTTTAGGTCCCAGATCGGTTACATCCACATCTTTCGTCATGTGAAATCCCCGGGTCCTCGATTTTCTGGAAATTCCGAGGTCCTGGATGGCCGAAACCCCAAATTGTTGCTGAACTCCCATTTGCCAAGCGTCCCATCCCACGTCTTTGGGCACGCGCCCGCGGCCGTTGAAGGGATCCAAATCCCGCCCGTCCTTTTGATGGACGAACCTGCCGATGTGTCGATGTCGACTGGGTTCTGGGGTCAGCTGAAAAGTTCCGTTAAAATTCCGTTAAAATCAAGGTTGCTCCAAACACCACAGGCACTTTTGGGGGTAAAATTGTTAAATATTAGGCTAAAGTGACCCATTAACCCCCCAAAAAGTGGGGAGATCAACCCCTTTTTTAAAGGCTGCACCAGAAATTTGGGGCCAAGTTGCCTCATGTCCAAGGCATACTTCCCGTTCTCTTCCTTAGCCACGCAACGAAAGGTGCAAATGTCGGGCAATTGATCCTCGCGCAATCAAGAAAAGGGTAGTCAGCCAGCACGTGAATGATGACACTTGAAGCCCACCCTTGGCCACATATATCGTCAGGATTTTGCGGCCAGTCTCCCACAATAGGATTCATTGAGCGGTTATATCTCGTTGGTTAAACCTTGTTAAACCCTACGTTTTTGTTACCAGGCCTGGAAGGGATAGAAGGGAACTCACTTGATTTCCAGCAATCCCAAGCCGTTCTTGTCATTGTGTTGGTTCAAGGGACTTTCCCTTACATCCATCCATCGACTGTAATTTTTGGTGAAATCCCTATTATTATGTAAAAGAAAAACAAACATCAGATCATACTACCAGTAAATCAATCATAATATCATATTATAACTTTTATAAATCCCATTATATAAACCCCGAAAAATGTCATGATTAAAGTCCAAAAAAGAAACACCGCGGTGCCGAGCGGTGCCGAGCATCATCAACATCTCGCACCTTGACCCAAACCTTGTCCCCCTCTCGGACCACGGAATTCACCTCGGTCTAGTCACTTGGAATTGGGAGATTCTCATCTAACCATCTCACCATATCTAATCTAGATATAATATATATATAAGGATATTTTGGGATATATAATCTATAATCTATAATATATATATATATACCTAATCTAATCTAATCGAATCTGTCTATGACGAGTAGTTGTCTCATCTACGATTGCCTGTCTATCTGCATGTCTATCGATGAATCCATTCATCCACTTACTCTAAGATTATATATATATGTATGTATGTCAGGCGTATGCTTTGTACTAGTCGTAGAGATATCAAAAATTAATTCCAAACCATCAAACCTGTCCATATCTGGTCCATTTGTTAGTAGCCCCTTGTTCATCGAACATGGCTGGGAAATTCCTTAGATCCATTGACAGAGGACAGTTGGGCCGCATCGAAGTCATATCTTCATATCACGGTAGACCATATTAGATCGTATGAGATTATCTTAGCAAGAATCATACAATCAATATATCTAATATAATATATATATACAGTATATCAGATATATCAATTACATTATTTTCATATAGTTCTCTAAGCAACGATTATCTTCATATAGTTCAGCTGTCTCAGCCAGAATTGTTGGGTGAAAGGCAGCTGGTCAACAGCCTTGGAAATCGCTCTGCGCTCTGTAGAGAGACTTCACTGTGTGGTCCAAATCCACTCTGCAACCACCAAAAAACAAATATATATATATAGAGAGAGAGGTGCCGGAATTATAGAACGGAAGTTGAGGAGTACGAAGGTACGGTTATTTACCGTACCCTGTTGTTCTATAATTCTGTTTTCCTCGGAAGGTGTGAAAAAAAAAGTATCTGAATTTACTCCTAACTTTTTTCGTCGTTCTATAATTCTTGTCGGAGCGCTGCTGTTCTATAATTCTGTTTTCCCCCATTTTTCTCACATTTCCCATTTTCGTTCTATAATTAATGTTTCCCGGGCCCCGTTCTATAATTAATTTTTCCGTCGAACGGAAAAATTAATTATAGAACGGACAAATTAATTATAGAATTATAGAACCTCTTCCGGGGTCCCAGAAATCCTACAAAATCACCATGAAATCTAAGAAAATCACCGTGAAATCCCATAAAATCACCATGAAATCCCATAAAATCACCATGAAATCTCAGAAAATCACCATGAAATCTAAGAAAATCACCTGGTAAATCCTGGTAAATGTGGGAAAAATGGGGGAAAAACGAATTATAGAACGGAAGTTGAGGAGTACAAAGGTACGGTTATTTACCGTACCCTGTTGTTCTATAATTCTGTTTTCCTCGGAAGGTATGAAAAAAAAACGTATCTGAATTTACTCATTAAATCTTCATTTTATAGATTGTATATGTACAAATATGCAGTAAATATCAAGTCAGTGCCAGAAATTATAGAACGGGGAAATTTAATTGTAGAACGGATCCCCGTTCTATAATTAAATTTCCCGACTCCGCGCGGAATCGGAACCCGGAGGAGCACAAAGGTACGGTATTTTACCGTACTTTTGTACTCCTGGCTCCGTTCTATAATTCTGGCACCTCCTGTATATATATATACACACACATATAATCCCATGTTTTTACCCCAAAATGTTTTTCAACTTTTCAACCCTCACTTTCCACTTAAAATGGCCATAGATTAGGGGTCAATCCCCTCAACATTCCATGTTTGGTTGGTTTCATCGCAGCCATTTTTTTTTCGAGGCCGGGAGACCACCTCGACTCGCTCCACCCCGGGGGGGTTTGGCAAACAGCCGATGTGCAGAAAGCCGTCCTTGTACTTCTCACCTTTGCCTCGGCGTCATGGTCGAGTTGGTTTGGATCTGGGGTGCTCCAGATGCCCAACATGTGGGGTTCATGGGATGATTTATGGCCATCCCATATTGGGAATGCTGGATTCAGATGTAAGGATTCTTCACCCATGGATTCTTAACCGTCTTAACCCATGGGATTTATGGGGCAGGTGCTATGCGCAGGCTGCCATGGGATTGATGGGCTTTCATCCCAGAATGGAAATCCATTCGTTGCTACTTTCAATTCTCTAAATTTCAGGATGCTGTGGATGTACCCCCATTGTAGGAAACTTCTCATATAGCCAATGTAGCAAACACCAAAAAAAAAAAGAAAAGCAGAATCCCAATCTGAAATTCATGACAAAGCTACGCATACTAAACCAACGGATTTCTGGGGATGATCCGCCTGGGGATCCCCAAGGTTTGACATCACCCCTTGGGGATCTCCGAAATAGAAACGAACCCAGGTTGTAACTAGACTTAGGCCAAAGTAATTTTCTGCTTAGTCAATCCCCAATCCTGGCCTATCCTATATATTCAATATTCTTATATATAATTTTATATAATTCTATATAGATTATAGATGTTCTTCCCAAGTTACCCCTTCCATCCCTTAACTTTTTCACACAAGCACCCAGCTGCACGAAGGCCCCGTACTCCTTGGTGCACACGATGAGGCCCTGGTGGATGGTGTTCTCGCGCGGCATCACGGTGCCCGTGGTGCGCTTCCGCGCCAAACCGGTGGACTTCTGGAACTGCTCGGCGTCGTACTCCCGGTAGCTGGTGGCCTGACACCCAGGGTGGACCGGGATCTATATATGTATATACATATATATATATATACATATATATATACATATATATATATGTGTATATATATGTATATATATATGTATAGTAGAGTATACATATAACTATATCATGCGAAGATATCTTAGGTCTAGCATTAATGCATACGTAAGTAATTTTTATAACTGTACAAAGCAATGAATAGTTGATATTCTATGTACAATTCTGATCCATCAGCCTCTAGCGTCTTTTTGTGGGTAAACCCCCCGCAGTGTGCAAAGACTTATTCATGGTTGGATATTCCACAAAAACGACAGATCTAGATACAACTTCTCAGATACTGAATCTAGAAAAGTGTTAAACCAGGTCAGGTCAGTATGGTAGTTCGATGATGTTTCCCACATCTATTCCAGGTGTCCAACGTCTCGGCACCTTTTTTGTTGGGTCTGCTGAAGAGTTCGCGTCCAGAAGTTGAGGAAATTCACCGCAGATATTTACACAGGAAAGGGTCCCCAAATGATAGGAGGCCAACAATTGGATTTACCTTGGAATTGCCTGAAGGGAAAAAAAAGCCCCAAAAAGGTTCGTACATCAGCTTGCCACTGGGAGCCCTTCTTGTACCATCTAATAGTCATCCTTGAGTAGATCCAATCTGGACACGTCAAAACAACAATGGGGAGATCTTTGAAAAATCCCCCAGATTCTATCTACTTCAGTGACTTCAGTGATCAAAAAACCCTAAAAACGTAGCATGTCTAAAATCTCAAGCCGGAAACCCCCAGCCCGGCAGCCCGGGGACCTTCTGTTTGAAGCCCGTCTCCGGCTTGGAGATCCGAAACTGTCCAGCCACAAAGCCTGAGGCTGAAATTGTGAAGGAAATATTCGCTGAAAATCCACATATGTGTGTATATATATATATATAGAGTTAACATATATAGTACCAATCATCCTCAACAATCAATAATTATATATATATATGATTATATATATATGATATTATATGATTATATATGGGGATTGGTTAGGATTGTTAGTACTTTCACAACAGAAAGCATACTGATCAATTATGTTTCGATATTTTTGAAGGTTACTATATGGTATACCCAAGTTGGGTCGGAGTTTGGGGATGCAACGCGAGAAACCATTCATGTTTCGTCAGCTTCACCCATCCGCCATTCGGGGCGGAAAAATCGCGGTTGTGCTGTCGCTGCAAGGGGAGACCTGCTTGGCGATGTTTTTCCAGGAAAAAAAACTTCAATGCTTGTGACACTACTCCAAAAAAATGTGAAAAAAGGGTGGAGTGCGAGTTCTTTGAGTCTCTGCTTCACGCACTGTATGAATTGAGCCTATCCTCTTTCTATATGTTCTGTTTGGTGTGGCTTGAAACAAACAGGCATCTTGATGATTCTCTTTTGAATAAATATGTTTGTGTCCAACCATGGAACACCTCTCAATCTGAGTCCCACTACCTGACCATGCTCGTTGAGCCAAAGCTAGCAGAAATGCATTTTTGCTTCAAGAACCGGTGCCATTTCAGAATCCTGTTAGATCTAAACATACACTTGCAACACGTTTGAGTCTTTTAGTCGGTTCGCAATCTCCGATCATGGCCCAGACTTCCACTAACCGTTGCCCCCCACTCTCCAAACAAGGGGGGAAGCCCACAAGATGCATCGACGTGTGGCCAACCAATCCACTCTTGAGCCAACCCAAACTTCGCCGAGGGAAATTCCAAGTTCCACAGCACGCGCAGCATGATTTTGGCTCGTGGGCACTTTGTCCCTTCGATGCCTGCCATGGTGGAGTCAAGGGACCGGCTGGTGTGGCTCCACGGCCTTTCCCGGCCTTTTTTTTTGGGGAGCGCCATCATCATATACCATGGATTGTTCATGAAATTTCCTGATACCTGTCCTTGCTGCTTTGGAAGCCCTACTGGCCAAAATATGGCACATTGTCTTCCCCCATGACTATCATGACTCATGACTCATCAATTTTCCAGACTTGTTGAATTGCTCATCCACATGTACCCACTGCTGTCATTGTTTGGACTCTAACTATCAATCAGCCACGGAACTGCTTGGAATAGGAGAACTATTCCAACCACTTTCTGCAAATAATTACAAGTCACCAACCTGAGATAAGCCAGTGGGGTCGTTCCCCGGCTTACCCCCGCTCCTAAGCATCTTGGTGAGGTCTGGTTGTCTAGGTCCCCAATGATTTGGCGGGTCACAACCCTGCACAACATGAAAATCGCTGGTATTTTCATGGATCTGCATTCCCTTTACGAAAAAAACGCTCCAAAAAAGGCTTCGTTCAGGACTTGGATGATGTTTTTCCCCATGACTTGGATATGGGTCAAAACCCTATACCCATGGTGAACACCAAAATAGCTGGCAAATGGATGTTCATCCCACTAAAATGGTATTAGTAGGTATTGATCCATACCCACTTGGGAACCCTCCATACCCAGACTCCAACGGACGCCCACCTTAGAGAAAGGTCACCACACCGAGACATCGCCGGCGGCGCCGGCTTGGCCAAGTTGGAGCCAGGAAGGACATGGAGGCCTGGCAGTTGATCAATTTCGAGGATTTTCTGGCGATCGATTTATGGGATTTTGATGGGTACCAAGGTGTACCTATTAACACTCAATTGAAAAAACTGGTATCATGAAATTATATATATATATGATTTTTTGATATGTGTCTGAAAATGATTTTTAAAGTAAATCCACGGGTGAATCGAAGAAGTTTTCCTTTTTTTAATTCCCATTTTAGGGTTATACTCCATTTTCTTCAACAAGGGGTTTTATGGGCTCCCAAGCCGCAGGCCCTATGTTCACATGGTTTCGCCCCAAAATTGATGGGTTCCAGGCCGTTCATCCAATTCCGAGACAACTCAAAATCCCAGGGTTTGATTGTCATGTTCCCATCAAGGTAGTAGTTTTGGGGCATGCCCAATTTCTGGACGATCCCATGTCTAACATGGTGAAATCAAAGCAAACCATGTCCCCAGAGCTGGGCCCAGGGAAATAACCACAGTCTCAATCAGGAACCTGCTGTATTGCCCCAACAATTCTCTCCATGTTTTAGTGAATGTTATTGTTCCTCAAGTTTACAGCAAAAACATCATAATATACCAAGTTTGACTCACAGAATGCGCAAAACAGAAGTCACAATATGACTTATATAGATACAAGAAACGTCTCCAAGCCCGTGCTTCGAATAATTATGATCTTCTCCGCCAACCCTAAGGTGCATTGGTTTTACTCAGGTGCTCTGTGCATAATTTGGATCCAATTGAAACAATTTATATTACACATATACTACACATATACATATTATGTATTTATTTGAATGTGTGGTTTTCCTACATCACTTCAAGGCCTAGATGTTTGAACAACACTGGACTACGCCGGTCTCAGGGCCATGACCCTTTAGGATGTCTTTTGGTCCACCCGCAGAGGATCACCATCGAAGTTCATCGAAGGATATGAAACCCTGAGGGGATGAAGATCCCTCGCATCCAAAGAAGCGTTCGAGTGGGCGGAAAATAACGCGGCAGAAATTATCGATGGTATCACAGCGAAAGTCGATCATCTTGAACACTTCAGCATCGATTGGGAAACTCCACTGGCAAGGACTTGAAGAACCAGTGGGACAATGCTATCAGTACATCCGTCTCTTCTTGTTGACATGAGGAAACAGGCCATCGTTCTTTGTGTCGACCGAATAGACAGCCTTCGCAATGAAGGCAAGACGCTGGAAGGGATCCTTGATGGCAGGACAGCGTGGGAAATCATGGACGATAACTTTGAACCAACAGTCATGTCCGCTGTGCCAGGCATCCTTGTAGCATTTCAGCCGCCGGTTGCCGCAAACGACATACTTCTTGCCCTCGTACTTTGCAGCCACCAAGGCCGGTATACGGTGGGGATTCACAGTTCCATCTACAAGCTCTTGAAACAAGGAATCCAGAGACTTACCTGCACCGTGACCATGAATGAAGTGGTCACTGACCTCCCCATGGCCAAAGCGGATATCATCGTCGCTTGCGCGACACCACTCAATGGCCTCGTGGAATTCCCACTCTGCATCCTTACAGCGTGCAGGGTCCAAGTCCCATGTTGCATTCTCGTCCAGTACTGCCCGCAGCATCGACTTCTGAAGTCTCGTGAGCTCGCTATATCCCTGGAATCCTCCCTGGTCACCTCGTTCAGTTTCTTGCTGATGGCTTTCCTGATAGTTTTGTTGAGGATCGTCATTGCCCTTCAACTCATCCAAAAGGCCTGCCAAGGTTGAAACTTGCACTGGCGAATGGTTTGTTCCACTGGTTTGTCTAAGTATAATGTATTTATTTAACATAGCCATGGTATAGATGGCCCATTTATAGATGGTTTACCTATTAAAAATGGTGATTTTCCATGGCGATGTTAAATAACCAGATGATATCATGTACCAGTAGTACCGCACAAGGCGGTGGCGGAAGTTTCAAAAATGGAAAACCTATAGGAGAGGTGAGTTGCAGAGCGAACCCACTGATGGATTGAAAGGTGGTTGGGTGTTTCTCCCTTTCTGTCTCTCTTTCTCTCTTTCTCTCTGTGTCTCTCTTTCGCCATCTATCTACAGAGCTACCTTTCTAGCCATCTACCTATCTACCTGTCTATTCATGAATCTATCGATCGATTTGTTTATTCACCTACCTATTAAACTGTCCATCTTTCTGTCTATCCAGCTATTCATCCATCCACTTACTTCTCTCTGTTAGTTTTTTTTCCGTCCATCTCTTCATCGATCCATGTCCACAGCTATCCATCACCATGTTCTTCGTTCTGTTTCTCTATCGATTCATCCATGCATCTGTCCGTCTACCTCTTCTTCCAGCCATCCGTCTATCTAGCTACCCATGCGTTTATCTGGTCATCGACGCTTCTAGCGATCTTTCGATTTAGCGATCTATGTGTCCATCTGTTGATAAGACACACGCGCTGGCCCGCAACAAATTCCGGCTGCTGATGCGCCATCGTGCGGTCAGAAAAGACACACATGCTGGCCTGCAACGAATTCCGGCTGTTGATGTGTCTTCGTGCCGTCAGAGACGGGCCAAGGGATGCATTAGCGTGTAAGGAACTAAGGATGCTGCGGCACCGTAGTGCCGTCGGAAAACCGACAGTGACTCACCAACGGTGGCGAACAAATCTGGTGACTCAAACAATCTGCATTTATTGTTTGATGCCCCTTGACTGCTTGTCACCGCAGATCTCCGGCAAGCGCCGCGATGTGCTTCCAAGAAACGTGATCCCGCGTGCCTTTTCTACAATCCACTGACACAACCCAACATCGGATGCAACAGCGGTAGCAAAAAAGAAAAAAGGGATTCCAATACTAGTGTGGAGCTCCTCCCTGCTGCATCTCACATTTATCTATCGATCTATCTATCGATCTATCTATCTATATGTCTGTCGATCTATCATTTTTTCTATTCATCTATCTATCGAGCTAACTATCTCTCTATCTATTTGTCTATCTGTCTATCTATCGATCAAATTCTCTATATATATATATATCTCTCTCTCTCTATCTGTCTATCTGTCTATCTGTCTATCTATCTGTCTATGTCTCTACCCATCTATTTCTCTATTTGTCTTGGTATCTAACTATCTGTCTATGTGTCTATGTAACTATCTGTCTATCTCGCAGCCATCTATTTCTCTAGCTGTCTCTCTGACTATTTATCTATCTGTCTGTCTGTCCATCTATCTATTTATCTATCTGTCTGTCTATCTATCTATGTATCTCTGTCTGTCTGTCTGTCTGTCTATCTATCTATCTATCTATGTATCTATCTATCTCTCCATGTATCGATCTATGTATCTATCGATGTATCTATCTATCTATCTGTCTGTCTGTCTGTCTGTCTGTCTGTCTATCTGTCTAGCCATCTATCTATCTATCTCATCTACCCAGCTGGCCTCTCTCTCTCTCTCTCTCTCTTTCATCTAATTACCTATCTATCTATCTATCTACCTACCTATCTATCTATCTCTCCCTTTCATCTGTCTATCTGTCTAGCTGTCTACCTGTCTATCTGTGTTGCAGCGTCATTCAGTGTAATGTAGTGTGGTGTAGTGTAATTTAGTGTAGTTGAGTGTACTGGAGCGTAGTGTAGTGTAATGTAGTGTACTGGAGCGTAGTGTAGTGTACTGTCCTGTAGTGTAGTGAAGCGAAGCTTTTGACTTCCAAATGTGCTTCGCGCCACAACGGCGTGCACTTTTTCGACATCTCAACTTCCAAAAGTGCTCCGAGACCCTCAGTTTTTAACACTTTTTACTTCCAAATGTGCTTCGCGCCACAACGCCGTGCACTTTTTCGTCATCTCAACTTCCAAAACTGCTCCGAACCCCTCAGTTTTTAACACATTTTACTTCCAAATGTGCTTCGCGCCACAACGCCGTGCACTTTTTCAACATCTCAACTTCCAAAAGTGGTCCGATCCTGAGGTGTTTTGTACCTTTTCACTTCGAAATCGGCTTCGCGCCACAACGGCGTGCAACTTTTCATCTCTCATCTCCCCAGATGTCTCCGCACCCGCCGCTTTAGCGAGCCTACTTTTCAACCCTCCGGAGCCACAAAACCACGAAAAAACACAGTGTTTCGCGACTTTCCTACCTTTTCGCGCACCTGCATCTTCTTTCTTCTGATCTTTTCTCTTCTGACTCTTCTCCCTGCTGACTGCTTTTTCATCTCTCCATATTGTCGGAAGTTTGACTTCTAAACTTCCTTCGATGATAATGTATGGCTCATCACCCATCTGCTAGCTCCGCATTTTGGAGGGACTGCAGCTTAAAGCAGCTTACCAAGATAAATCTATTGCGATGGTCTCTGGAAAATCGATTCTAAAAAATTGCGTGCCAAGTTCCAGATTTTTTATAGCTAGCTATGATCAAAATTGAATTCATGATGGTTCCATCAATAAATCACCCACTAAAATGGGATGGTTTACTAGTCATCGACCGGATCCCCGGATCCCTGGATCCCTGGGTCGGAGGTATTTTGACCGTTCGGAGGAAGGTCCTCGCTATCAATACACGAACGAAAAAAATCATGGGTTTATTCTCTGCAAGACTCAACTACCACAGTAAGTGATGTTTTTTTTAGAAACGCAACTTAGTCATGCTAGTCTTGATTTCCTGGCAGTATGAAGATAGATTACAATATACATCCATCACATTCATCACATCCATCACATCCATCACATCCAAAAACTATAGTCTCTGCATCTTTGGGGCTTAAAAGACGGATTAACAAGGTCACAGGGTCCCAATACATTGGTCGCAAATCATCCTTTCACCCTTCCAGGAACCGGGGGTCCCTCATTGGGTGATTTTGCAGGGATGGGATTAACAGTTCGACCCTGGCAGTCATCGGGGTTGGAAGACTAGTGAAACCATTAAAAATGGGTGATAAAATCAGGGTCCAACTGCTAATTTACTGGAGGGTAAATCCCTAGTTTGTTTGGCCAAAAAAACATAACTGGTTGGTGGTTGAGCCCTACCGCTCTGAAAAATGATGGAGTTCGTCAGTTGGGATGAGGAAATTCCCAATATACATATATATATATATACATGTATATATATATATATGGAAAAATAAAAAATGTTCCAAACCACCAACCAGATAATGTGGAAAACTCACCCTGTATCATTTTCCGACGGGTTTCACCATGGGTCAACTGTCCATTTTTCACGGTAACATCTCCCACGGCCATGGCACCTTGCACGGCCGTGTCGAAGGTCTCCGTGACATCCGCGCCGCAGTGGCTGCGCACCTCGTCGAACTCCTCGTAGCTGGAGCGGTCATGGTGAAGCCAGTCGCGAAAGTCTTTCTTCAGCTCATCCGAAAGACGCCAGGCCTCAGCCGATGGTTATCAATGGGGCTATAATTATTATCTATGGTTATCAATGGGGCTATAAACCAACTTATCACTACAGTAGGGGGTTATAACCAATCTGACTATGGTGTTGTGAATATGAGATAATCATTGAGAGAATTACCATGGGGATTGGGAGAGTTGGGATAATTCCCCGAATCCTCAACATCATTCAAGTGAGAACAGTTAGGTTTTTATAATTCACCCAAATAGATGTGTATGTGGTAAGTATATATATATATACATATATACTATACATACATATATATATATATACATACATACATATACAGTTTATAATGTGAGAAAGCCAATGCCATAAACCTGCAATTTAGGAAGGTTTATCATGGTTTACAGAACCCGTGATTTCGGGATTATTTCTTATTGGGTTTATCACGTTAAACAGAATACACGATTTACATAATTATATATATATACATATCATGATTTTTCTAAATATATACATGTAAGCATACAAAGGCTCTCCAACCCCTTAGGACAATGATGGCAATCCTATGGTACGGAGAGGAAGCGCATGTTGACATCTCTGTCATCAGCAAGTAGATAGTACGGAAAGCAAACTCATGTTGACATCCCTCTCATGTCCTGGGGTGGAGGGGTAATAACATCATGTCTCGAGACCTGCATCAGGGAGGATTGATAGTTCTAAGAGATGGGAGCAGGCTATACATATTCGATATTCATATACATATTTACATGGTACAATATGTATTGATGAACAAGCGATGTATGAATACGTGTATATATATAATCATGTGTTATATATATAATATATAATATGCATAGAACATATATATATATTATAGATTATCATACACAGAGACACGTTGCATAACCCACTACAAGACAATCATGGATCCAAACATAAAAATTAGGCTTTATTGGCGGGTGAGAACTGTGCTTGTGCTGTTCACAGGGCAGTTTGAGCGGCAGCAACAAAAGGATCCCAACCGACAGTGGTCGTATCAATCCAAAACAGAAAAAAAACACGTGAACACATTTGATCACATTTGAAGATTTCTCAACCTTGCGAACACCAAAAACAATTTTTTATTATTCATTCCAGGCAAGGAATCCCAAGGTGTGCAGTCCCCAATGTTGAGAAGAAACCATTTTGTTGTTTTGTAGCCAACAAAAAAGTTTGGGCATGAAACAGGAAACTTGGAGATGCAATCTACAAAGGAGAGTAAGATCCAATGACATGGTAGCTGCGACCAGTCCTGTGGTTCGAAGGATCACTTGGGCTCAAGACACTCCAACCCTATTTGGAAAAGACCACCGTTGCTGGACATAAAAGGTTCGTTACATGTCCTTTAAGTGTTTTTTGGGGAGACAAATACACCACTATTGAATACACTTACCACTTCGTGTAACACCTAGTCCTCTGACCTGGAAATCCACGTCGCACCCCTGAGGCCCCCAACATGCAAAGAAGCTTCGGTCGCCTCAGGTGGGAGGAAGTCGCCCTCCTGGTATCCATCAGGGCGCTTCGCATCCCTGAAGTCCCGAAGCAGGTTCTGGAAGACGTTCTCCTCAACGCACCATGGGGATTCCCAACGGGACGAGGATTTGACCATTCTCGGCCTCGGAAAATAGGCCCTAACAGTTCCTTCCGAACCACCAGAGACTTGTTGGTTGAATGAAAGGGAATATGGATACCTGATACCCATTGCTCCTTAGCTCGCTCGCTCCCCTCCTCCTACCCATTCATTTTTTTTACCATCATTTCTTCCTTTTTGAGTCATTGAAGCACATTGAATTTCCCCCTGCTAACTTCTGGATCTGATAATTTCACATAGCTATATGGAAAATCACCATAATTCTATAATTTATAGGCAAATCTCGATGTAAGTCATCTATACATGGCCTTTTTTTCCATAGCAAGCGGTTAGTCATTTCCGGGTAACGTACATCAAACATCATCAAACCGTCGAGCCGTCACCACGGAAGCTGCCCGTTTACCGACCGGACAACCGTCTCCTGGAAGGCCTGCCAACGATTCTTCACCTCCCATCCCGCCGCATGGCGGAAGGCCAGGATTTCGTCTTTGCGGGAACAGATGGAGCGCATCGTCTCGTCCTAAGGGGGACATTCGGAAGCCTAGATAGAGAAGTAATGACATATGGATAGCTTGGTGTTAGATAGGACTATATACCAGTAGTACCGCACAAGGCGGTGGCGGAAGTTTCAAAAATAGGAAACCTATAGGAGAGATTGGTTGTGGTGAATCAGGGATGGCAG